ACAGTACAGTGGTACCTCAGGTTAAGTACTTAATTCGTTCCGGAGGTCCGTTCTTAACCTGAAACTGTTCTTAACCTGAAGCACCACTTTAGCTAATGGGGCCTCCCACTGCTGCCATGCTGCTGGAGCACGATTTCTGTTCTCATCCTGAAGCAAAGTTCTTAACCCGAGGTACTATTTCTGGGTTAGCGGAGTCTGTAACCTGAAGCGTATGTAACCCAAGGTACCATTGTATGGATGAACACTGCAAAAGAAGTGAAATGCAACTACCATTTAAAATTCAACTCCATCTTTTAATCCAAGTGTATGAACCACAGATACTGTTCTGAATTGTGCTGACAATTGTCAGCCATATTGAATTGAGTCAATTCCTTTTTTCTTTTTTTCTTTTTTTGACAGAACTGCAACTAGGAAGCTAACTAGGTCAAATATCCTACGGGTCTGGCTTTTCAGCACAGAGACCAATAAATCTCTTAAACTATGGTTTGAAATGGGCTCGTTTCCACTAACTATTGTCATAATGAACAGTTTTGCCTGAGCTTGGACGACACCGAAAGCTGTAGCTATTCCAGAGTGGAAGCCAAAGTTTCCCAACTCCTCACAGTGGCGCAGGAAGAAAACAGACGAGGCGAATGTGAGTCAAGGAACAGCAAAGTTCATTCTCATAATGCTAACTCCTGTCAACATGGCATTTGCATGTGGCTGCAAAGGCTTACCTTGGTGCCCACAGAATCCCAATTCCACTCCTGAAATTAAGCTTGGAAGCAGCCCTATTTAAAAGCTGATATGTTGTCCAGAAGAGTTCATCTAGTTTGCATGTACAACAGGCCCACAACTAAACTATAACTTAATGTTACATCTAAGCATAGTGCCAGGTGTTTAAAATTTCCATGATTCAAGAGGAAATTCAGAAAGTGGAATCTTTTAAGAGGAAATAGTTAGAGTTGGAAGAGACCTCTAGTTCAACCCTCAGCAATGCAGGAATCTCAACTATCGCAGCCATGACAGATGGCCATCCAACCTCTGCTTGAAAACGTCCAAGGAAGGAGAGTCCACAACCTCCCAAGGGAGACCATTCCACTCTCAAACAGCTCTTGCTGTCAGAAGGTTTTTCCTGATGTTTAGTCAGAATCTCCTTTCTTGTGGCTTGGTTTCACTCCTACCCTCCAGAGCAGGAGACCACAAGCTGCTCCATCTTTCAGGTGACAGCCCTTAGATATTTGAAGATGGCTATCATAGCTCCTCTTGGGAGAAAAGCAATGACAAACCTAGACAGCATCTTGCCAACAAAGGTCCGTATAGTTAAAGCTATGGTTTTCCCAGTAGTGATGTATGGAAGTGAGAGCTGGACCATAAAGAAGGCCGGTCGCCGAAGAATTGATGCTTTTGAGTTATGGTGCTGGAGGAGACTCTTGAGAGTCCCATGGACTGCAAGAAGATCAAACCTATCCATTCTGAAGGAAATCAGCCCTGAGTGCTCACTGGAAGGACAGATCGTGAAGCTGAGGCTCCAATACTTTGGCCACCTCATGAGAAGAGAAGACTCCCTGGAAAAGACCCCGATGTTGGGAAAGATGGAGGGCACAAGGAGAAGGGGACGACAGAGGACGAGGTGGTTGGACAGTGTTCTCAAAGCTACCGGCATGAGTTTGACCAAACTGTGGGAGGCAGTGGAAGATAGGAGTGCATGGCGTGTTCTGGTCCATGGGGTCTTGAAGAGTCGGACACGAGTAAGCGACAACAAAATCATAGCTCCTCTCATTCTCCTCTCTTCCAGGCTAAATAAGCTCCTTCAACCGTTCCTCTTATACAGGCATAGGCAAACCCGGCCCTTCAGATGTTTTGGGACTACGACTCCCATCATCCCTAGCTAACAGGAACAGTGGTCAGGGATGATGGGAGTTGTAGTCCCAAAACATCTGGAGGGCCGAGTTTGCTTATGCCTGCTCTTATAGCTTAGTTTCCAGACCCTTGATCGTCTTGGTTGCCCTCCTCTGCACACATTCCAGCTTGTCAACATCCTTCTTAAGTTGTGGCATGAACCAAGAGCATATAAAAATGCTCATATAAATGCGGCATATAAAAAGCTTTAGAAAAAAAATGTTTAGTTAGCATAATCAAATGGAAGAACTTTGAGGTGCTTGCATTTTGCACACAACAGAATTATTTCATGTGTGATTTTGTTTTGCTGAGGGAACCACTGTGTGCGCGTGTGCGCACACATAAAGTCCCTGTTTTTGCACTTATGTGGGTGTTAAAAGGTATTAGCTTTGGTCATAGCACAGATGAGGTCAAGAATGGGTATCCATGTGAGAAGCAGTACAATATGTGTTGAGTTGACCTGTTGCCAGCACTGTAATTCCAGGATTTAATTCCAACCCGTTCTTAGGGTTTTATAGAAGACTTTAGTAACTTGGGTTGGATTTAGAATAAAGAGAGAAGTCAGAAGAACTCCCATTGTGCCTCAAAAGGCTAAATCTGTTTAATTCTGGAGCAGCACGTTCCCCACCCCCATTAAACAGCTGACCAAGCATACATTTAACAGAGTGCTCTGTTTTACCAGTGCTTTATTCCCATTGTTTTTTAAAACACAAATGCATTTAATCACTGGGCAACCCCCGTGACCTCCTTATATATTAGCTCGAGAGCTGTTCAGATGGAGAGTTCAGACATGGTTGTGCCTACAAGCCTTGACATTTCTCTAGCAACTGGCATTTAAGTCACATTCCAGAATTAATTCCTTCTGTCGCCATCTGGCACAAGTGGCCGTTATCCCTGCTGTTAAACAAACCACACCTCCCCAATTCATTATCAAATCAATTCTGACAATGCAAACTTAGCACCCAGACGATGTGCTCAGGTTCGGTGTGGTAGAAATAACCCTCCCTAACTCACTTGAAGCCATTGTGAGTAGAATTTTACATCCCCAATGCACATACCCCCCCCCAAATGTTATTGATGTATGGTTGCTATTAGAGAAGGGATAGTGTTCGTTTGTGAATATTTTAATGGGGACAATATCTGTTAATTTTGAAACCCCATCTAGCAAAATAACTGGAACCAAACACACTAGACGAAAATGGTCGTGGATGTTTGCTCATATGTCTGTTGTCTTCCGTTACACCTTTCGAACAGGTACATCTCATGTTCTACAAAACTCAGAAGCACACTGGACATCTTGTCTCTTTACCATATTACAAGCACAACAGTGCCACCTACTGGTTTTAAAAAGGTAAAGGTAAAGGTAAAGGTACTCCTGCCCGTACGGGCCAGTCTTGACAGACTATAGGGTTGTGCGCTCATCTCACTCTAGAGGCCGGGAGCCAGCGCTGTCCGCACACACTTCCGGGTCACGTGGCCAGCGTGACGAAGCTACTCTGGCGAGCCAGAGCCGCACACGGAAACGCCGTTTACCTTCCCGCTAGTAAGCGGTCCCTATTTATCTACTTGCACCCGAGGGTGCTTTCGAACTGCTAGGTTGGCAGGCGCTGGGACTGAGCAACGGGAGCTCACCCCGCCACGGGGATTCAAACCACCGACCATACGATCGGCAAGCCCTAGGCGCTGAGGTTTAACCCACAGCGCCACTGGTTTTAAGCTAGGTACTAAAATCTTCTCAGCGGTCTTCTCTCGCCTTCCTGACCGTCTCATGGCAAAGAAAAGTCTGGATTAGAAACTTCCAACAATAAAAATGACCAGAGCCTTTATTGAATAAAAATGTTTCATACTTAGCAAGATTGGTAAGAAAGCAGAATATTTTACAACTCTAAAATATAGTTAGAGCTAATCTCAGTGAATACATTACAAAAAGATTAAAAACTATTTAGGTAAAACCCTTTTAACCCCATCTCAAAATACTATGATTTATAAAATACCATGCAGTCAAGTCGAAAAGCACTAAAAGCACAATGCTAGGAATCAGTCCCAAGAAATTCCCACCGTTTCATCTATTTTGTCATCGCGGAGATTTTTGCGTGCAGCATCTTTCATGTGGACTCTTACACCTGGCAGTTTGGGTACACGTAGAATTGCTTAAAACGTACACAGTTTTCAGAAAAAAGGAGAAGCAAAGTTTCAAGTAGAAAACATTATTCGGAAAGACAAACATGGAATGAAAGTAGCAATGCCCTGCAGACAGAAGCTTTGCCCTCTACAAAATCCTTCCCTTAGCATTGCTCCAGTAGATTAAAATGCTGTGCTTCTAAGCCCAGGTATGAGACAGATCCTCTTTTTCACTGGCCAGCCAGCTGATTCGAGATTCACCTGGACCCTAATGCACAACAAGTCATATACAAAAAGAGCCTAATGCAAAGACAGTTCTCTCCTGATGGCTGCCAAGTAAACACAGCTTCCCCCTAAAACCATGCTGCTGACTTTTATTTCAGATACTGTCATTATCTAGAAGAGACAGTGTTTTCACTATTCAAAAATGTATCTATTGTGCCTTTACACATACATTATTAAAGTGCAGTCATTGCCATTTAAACGGTTCCCCAAGTGCCCTTCGAAACTGGTCCCTAAGCACTGCAGTAACATAGTTAAGTGGTAATAGTCCTGTATCTCAGAAAGCCCCATTCTCCGTCAAGCTCGCCTTTGGGGAATATAGTGACATCCTGCAAAAAATGGCTGAAAACTACCAGAAGCAGAAGGGAATAAAGGTGGCATTTAAGCTGACCAGGTTACAGAGCAGAATTCAGAAATGTACAGGGTTGTGTTGTTGTTTTGCTCAATTGAGGCAGCTTTTCCCACAACGATTTTATGCATACTATCCGTTTTCCCAAATTTGGTTAAAATTCTTGCAGGTTCCCAACAAGCTTTCCTATAAAATTCAGATCTGAGCAAGTTTTTATGGTTCCCTTATGCATCAGCCTGCAGCACGGTATCTCTTTAACCAAGGGAAGCCACTCTAGGAAGAAAACAAAAAAACCCCAAATGCTAAACACACCAATTTTAAGGCCCAGCACCCTGCAGTTAAGTTCTTTAGTGAAAGAGTGTCCCATTTATTCCTCGTCTTCTTCCTCTTCGCCGTAGTATCTGTTCCGCTTGATCTGCTCTTCCACAGTCAATTCTTCCAGGTCTTCACCTTCAAAAAACCCAACGTCTTGGGATTTGCGATTTGGGCTAGCGGATAATTCTTTTACAGCGGTTGAATTCAAGACAGAATGCTTAGGGGGCGTATGGAATGGCGCTTCCTTCTCCAGTGAGGCTGGCTCTCCTGCCGCCTTTTCTTCTTCTTCTTCCTCATCCGTGTCGCCACTCCTCTGCCCGTTTTCAACCAAGATCTCTTCGCCACCCGCTTCTTCTCCTTTCCCCCCATCCAGCTCTTTATCCCCCTCGCCCAGGTGTGGATCAGCCATGTTGCTCTTTCCCTCTGGCTTGCTTTCCACCGCCAATTCCGGTGCCGGTTTCTCCGTTTGTCTGACCGTGCTCCTTTCAGCCTTGGGAGGAGACGCGTTTTCAGTTCTATTGCTCTTTACGGATATGGTTCTAAATGAGGCAGCGACTGTAAACGGACGGCTCCTTTCTTTCAGCGACGACGACCGTCGCAGCTTTTTAAGGTCTTGGTCCACGTCTTCCTGATGATCCGGCTTAGCGATTTCATCTTCCGGGGGCCACTTGGGCTTCAGGACCTTGATGCCTTCTTCCAAAACACTTCCTTGGCTGCCTTGTTCGGGAGGAGGCGGCCAAGCAATCTTCAGCTTCTTGGTTTCCGCTGGCCTCTCTTCCTTCTCGAGCAAACCGGCGGCTTTTGCTTCCATGGTGGCTGCCAGAATCCCAACTTTTGCAATCGGGGCATCTTCCACGCCGGGACTTTGGGGGCCTCCCTCAGCGTTTCCAACGCTGGCGGGTTTCTCCTGGGATTCTTCGCTCTCCGTTTTGCTTGCCCACAGCTCCTTGTGTGGCTTATGCCCAAAGCCTTCGTCGTAGTTGCCTTTGGCCTTGAAGAGCTGGTTAAAATGTGGCTTGCAGTAAACGTTCCCATGCAGAGATGCATATGTTCCAATGCTGTACAAGGGGGGAAACACACAATTATTAGCACCTTCAGTATCTTGCAAGAGAAGAAATTAATAACCAAGTCAACCAAGATGTTTAAAAGGTTGGATGTGTAAAGAATTAAGTTTGTTGTTATTGTTTATCAGTTTATTGTTTTTCTTCTTTCATTTATTGATCAATTTTTCTTTTCCCCCCTATTTTTGTGTGTCACTCCGCTTTGTGGTTTTTGTTATTATTGTGGAAAATCTAATAATTTTTTATAAAAAAAAAAAAAGAGAGAAGAAATAATAACCATCTCAGAATGTACTAATTCAGCAGCTCTGCAGGTACAAGTTGCTGGGAGCCACGGGTGCGAAGAATGCTCTCGCACTCAGCTCCTGCTTTCAGACCTGCCACAGGCATCTGGTGGAACTGAAATATTGAACTGAAATACTTTATTGTCACTTGTATGACTTGTATATAGTGAGATTACAGAAGCACCCCCCACTCAGCTCTCTTAGTCTCCACCCCCATCATTCAGCCCGGATACTGAGATCCAGCGCCGAGGGCCTTCTGGCGGTTCCCTCATTGTGAGAAGTGAGGCTACAGGGAACCAGACAGAGGACCTTTTCGGTAGTGGCGCCCACCCTGTGGAACGCCCTCCCATAAGATGTGAAGGAAATAAGCAGCTATCCTATCTTTAAAAGACATCTGAAGGTAGCCCTGTTCAGGGAAGTTTTTAATATTTAATGCTGTACTGTTTTTAACATTTGATTGGGAGCCGCCCAGAGTGGCTGGGGAAACTCAGCCAGATGGGTGAGGTATAAATAATAAATTATTATTATTATTATTATTATTATTATTATTATTATTACTACTACTACTACTACCCTCGTTTACTGACGCACGCACACCAAACCCGAAAGTCAGTTGCCCTGTTGTTATCTTTTCATTCAGCAGTCTAACAGCCCACAGATAGAAGCTGTTCTTTAGGAGCTGCTATAAGTGTGCTTTTGTCTCTGGTGCTGTTAAGTGTGCTTTTGTCCACCAGAGAAGAATGGCAGATCAAGTGGATGGATTATGCAGAAATGGCTAAAATGACCGGAAGAATCAGAAATCAGGAAAATATATAACTGGTCTTAAAAGCCATTGTAAACAGTTAAAATTGTCAGTAGGATTGGAATAACACTTGCAGTTTAATGGTGGGTTTTGGACACAATGGAGAGGTAAAAGATTTGGATTATCATAAAAGATGCAGGAGGAAATGATTAACAATAGGACCCACAAAGGGGAGGAGGGAAGTCCAGGAGATTCTTTGGAATCTTGTTTTTATGTTGGATGTTGGATATGTGATTGTAAATTTTTAATCTGAAAAATCAAGTAAATAACTTTTTTTTAAAAAAAAGAAGTGTGCTTTTGTCAATAAAGAATTAACTATCGGCCCTTAACCTTCCTCGGCTGCGTGTGTGCAGGACACTCTCCCTGCTTTATTGTGTCGTATGCAGAAGTACCGTATTTTTCGCTCTGTAAGATGCACCCGACCATAAGACGCACCTAGTTTTTGGAGGAGGAAAACAAGAAAAAAAATATTCTCTCCCTCTCTGCTCAGCGCCTCTCCTGCAAAGTGGGAGGAAGGGGCTCTGTTTCTCCTCCCACATCGCTGAAGGGGCGCTGCACAGCGTTCCCTCTCTGTGCAGTGCCCCTGTAGTGAAGCGGCAGGAGAAATGGAGCCCCTTCCATTTCTCCTCCCGCTTCGCTGAAGGGGCGCTGCGCAGAGAGGGAAAGCTGCTCAGCGCCTCTCCAGCAAAGCAAAGCCAGGAGAGCAAGAGGGATCGGTGCGCACTGATCCAGGAAAGCAAGAGGGATCGGTGCGCACCGATCCCTCTTGCTCTCCTGGCTTCAGCGAAAGCAACGCAAAGCCTCCTGAGCGCAGTGGGAGCGCTCCCACTGTGCTCAGGAGGCTTCGGGTGACTATCCCTGAAGCCAGGAGAGCTCTCCTGGCTTCAGCGAAAGCTGCGCAGTCTGCATTCGCTCCTCGCTCCATAAGACACACACACATTTCCCCTTCCTTTTTAGGAGCGGAAAAGTGCATCTTATAGAACAAAAAATACGGTACATCCTTGGATTGTAGATTCCTTGGGAGCTCTTAAGAACCACCTGAAAACCATGCCCACCTTGCTTTTCTCAGCACCTAAACATTGCCCTTTCCTAACCCACACTAGAGAGTTAATCTTACAGTAGCCTTTTTATATATAAAAAAGAAGTGGGCTCTCCCTGAAGGACTTACGTGAGTTTGCTGTTGCAGTAAGAACAGCGGAAACAGCTGATATGGTATACTTGCTGGTTGGCAAAGAGACGTTCCATTGGGTAGACAGTCTTCTTACACGCAACACAACTTTCCTTAGCCGGCAACTGGAACTTCTGGTGGAAGAAAAATTGGCAAGTAGTACAGGGTTCAATGCAAGACTCCCAACAAGGCTGACAGTCAGTCCTAGCAGAGCCTCCTTCTGAAGCAGTGTTTCCCAAACTTGGGTCTCCAGCTGTTTTTGGACTACAACTCCCATCAACCCTAGCTAGCAAGATCAGTGGTCAGAGGCGATGGGAACTGTAGTCCAAAAGCAGGTGGAGACCCAAGCTTGAGAAGAGCTGTTCTCAAGAAAATAAGGGGGACATGTGGCCTTCCAGATGTTGTTGCGTTCCAACACTTCCATCAGCCCCAATAGGATGGCTCATGATTAGGAATGATGGGAGTTGTAGTGAAACATTGTTGTAGCGCAATGTATTGAGAGCCACACATTTCCCCGTCCCTATTCCAAAGCCAATACGCCAGGGGTTGCCAGCACACCACCCAGGCTAACCCAGATCTTGTGCTAATACTTCTGGAGCCAGCCCAAAATTAAAACACAAAAATATCGTATTTTTCACTCCATAAGGCGCACCTGACCTTAAGACGCACCTAGTTTTCAGAGGAGGAAAACAGGGAAAAAATATTCTGAATCAAATGTTGTACTAAACTATTTAATAAGCTACTGGTATATCAGAGTGAGACTGAGAGGGACAGGAGCTGTATGTTTGTTTAGTGTGCATGCTCAAGGAACCAGCGGATCAGCTGAGACGCGGGGGATTTGCGTAATTTTCCCCTCGCCCTCATCCCCTGCCTTCCAGTCCCCAGCAGCCTTCCTATTTTACCTCCTGATTTTCACTGCGCTCGTGGCTCAGAGCTCGAGGTTGGTGGGTTTTTTGTTGTTGCTGGTTGCTTAAATTTTATCCTTCCGGATCCAACCCCTCCTGTGCCCTGCCGTCCCTCTGCAGCCTCATTGCTCCGTTTAGGGAGCACGCGGACCTTTGCTAGCTGAGGCTGCTGCAGCTGTTGCTGGCTACGCACCGCTTTTAAAAGCGCCTGCTGGCTTTGAATCGCCTGCCTCCTCCCGGCTCGCTGTAAAGCAAGCAAAGCTAGAGCCGCGCAAAACGGGACAGAAGCCCTGTAAGCGGCTCCCGCTTTGCTTGACTGCCATGGCTCCAGTCCAGTGCATGCGCTCCATAAGACGCACAGGCATTTCCCCTTTCTTTTTAGAAGGAAAAAAGTGCGTCTTATGGAGCGAAAAATACGGTAGGTTTAGGAAACATGGAACTGGCTGTCCAAACAACCCCTCCAATCTAAAGCACCCATAATTTGCACCCATCTTCATTCAGTCTCTCTATAGGAGTTGGTGAGGGTTAGGAGATGCAGGAGGGAAGGCAAAGTCAAAGTGGGCAGCGGCACTCAAATCTAAAAGGAGAAAGACAGATCTAGCAAGTTCACGCTGTATTCATCTGCTGATGTGGCAGATCAGATTCAAAACTGAAAAGGCAAGGCATACCAGCGTACTGAGCACCATCACCTCTCCATGTGCTCAAAGTTGGCTGTTCCCCTTTCTAAACGGCCGCAAAACTCTGATACGGGCCACATCCACATCCTGCATTCAAAACACTCGTGCCACTTTCAACAGTACTGGCTCCACCCAAAGAATGCTGGGAACTGTAGTTTGTTAAAGGGGCTGAGAGTTGTCGGAAGATCCAAGAGCTCCAACTTCTCGGTTCTTTAGGGGATGCCATGACTGTTAAAGTGGCAGACGAGTGCGTTAAATGTACGGCATATGGGTGGGACCACGTTTCCGTTCGTTTCTCGGATTTAAAAGGGGAGCCGCTTTTCTATTTATTTTTAAACGAAAAGCTGCCGAATGGCAATCGCAGGGAAGTCAATCCATTTGCATCTTTCTGCTTCAAGGAACGGTTCCCCCAGCCTGCCTTCTCCAGAGCTCACCCCCTGGGGAGGAAAAGTACGTTTGGGTTGAATACAGGGAGGGTGCTAGATCTGCCTCCGCCCACAAAAACACAAAATGCGTACAATCTGAGAGACTGAAAGAGCAGAAGTAGCAGAGGAAATGGCTTTTAGCTCAGGTGGGCAGGCTGAAACAGCCCTGATCACATGTTTTACCTTCCAAACAGGAGCTAATATAGTTAAATGCCCCACATTATTATTTTTTTTTAATCTACTTATGTTGAAAAAGCTTTGAAGCCTGGAACTTCAAGTGTTTTTTTAAAAGGTGGCAGCTGATGCAGGTAATCCCATATGAAACTTTTAAGCATGCATTGTGCCTGGCAAGTTGGATGTGTTACCCAGGCAAATACATTGGGACAGCAGCTACAAACCTAACAGATTTATTGTGCTGCCATACGGACAATACCTCCTAGGCTACGCTGTTGGTTTGATCAGCCCAGGGATGATTTACCAAACTTGCAAAGGCATACCTGCTTTTCCTTTTAAAACAAAACCACCACCTTCTGTTGCACTGATAATCAGTAAAATCTCAATATTAACAGGGTAATTTAAGCAGCGTGGAATATAGATCCCTCTAATGAAAGAAAGAATTTAGGCAATGTTGCTTGGCTGTCAAAAACGAGTTTTTCCCCAATTGCATCTGGGAACCAGACATTAGCATTTGCTGCAGCAGCATAAATTCCCCGTCCAACTTACATGCAAAAACCATGGAGGTTTTGGGGTGTGTAGAGGCAAGTTTCTTTTTCCAAGCACGCTACGATTAGCAACTACAGTGGAAGGGTGTGAAGTCCGGTTAATAAAAAGAGGAGGAGAACAGGCAAGAAAGCCGAGAGTCGAGCTCACATTAAAAAGGGAGGCAGGAGTAGAGATTAGGAACCAGGAGCAGGAAACAGAAGCTGGAAAAGACAAATGGCTATTTATAAACACATCTCTGGGCTGGAGTGAAAGCGCACTAAGATGTTCCCTGGGACAAAAACACTCTCATATTTACACTACGAGAAACATACTCAGCTAACAACTAAGTTGCAAAAGATCAAGGAGAAAAAGGTCTCTTTTAAGCAATAAATAGTATAAAGATGATAAACATTCAGTTCTGAATAATCATGAACCAAACGTTGGAATTTTGTACACTTCATCTACAATATGGAAAGCGAAGCAGAAGGCCTTATGGACTGCTCGCAAGTTGTACAGTGAATTAACAGTTCCCTACTCAAAAAGCAAACACACCCTTTTGTCCCCCCCACTGCCCGGCACAGAATTCAATCAAGTATAATTAAAATTTGCGGGAAATATAGATCTGCACAAGATCAAGGTATTCTATCTATAGCATCATTTTACAGCTGCAAGGATTGGTAGCAATTTTGCAAAATGTGCGCACGTGAAAGTATATAGACAATCCAAGATTATTATTTCTTGATGGCGTTGGGGCTAAACTTCTGGAATATTGACTACAACCGTCTTAATTGCCCAAACAGTTAAAAAAAAACCTAGTTATTAAAATGCACATATTTAAGTCTGATGAATTATTAATGTAAGGAAGTTTAACAAGAACTGAAATTTTATTAACCATTAATATTCAAAGGAAAGGTTTACTACCAAAGATGTTGGTTTATTTTGATCCACCCTGTTAGGAGTTGAGGCAGAGTTGGGAAAGTGAGCAAAACATCTGATTATTAATAATAAAAACTGGTGATATATTTGTAAGTATGTAACACACAAATCTATAAAATTACAATTAAAGAAAAAAATGTAAAGCTGCATATCGGCGGTGCTTTACACCAGCAAGGATTAAGAAAACATCTGATTTCAGTACTACGGACTGTCAGATCTACAGCAAAATCAGTTACTTTCATGTATATATGAATAAGTTATTTTTCAGAATATGTTATTTTTTAGGGAAAGCTATTATTATTGGATTTACATGCCACCTATCTGCCAAGGCACCCAAAGTAGTTTACAGTTTTAAATAATATTACCTTTATTTTCAATGTACAACCTGTGTACAATGAAATTAACCGAACCTCCCTCCCCCAACACAAACACTCAATCTCATTGCAGTCTGTGTGCTTGTCGCACAACACACCAACCCCAAAAGTCAGTTGCACTATATTATTTTCTGTTCAGCAGCCTAACAGTCCATGGATAGAAACTGTTTCTTAGCCTATTGGTACGGCTGATTATACTTCTATATCTCCTGCCTGAGGGTAGAAGATTAAAGAGGTGCTGGCCAGGGTGTGAATCATCTCTGAGAATTTTTCTCGCTCTCCTAAGGCATCAATCCCTTGCGATGTCATCTAGCGGGCTCAGGGGACAGCCCATAATATCATGTGCTGTGTTCTTCACCACACTGTGTTCACAATCTGAACATTTTACCCAATAAATGCCTGGAAAGAACTAAGTCCTCTTCACAAAGGTGGCTCTGTTAACTGGTATAAGAAATGTAACTGATAAATATGATTTTGGCAGCCAGAATTCTTGCTGCATACAGTGGTGCCTCGCAAGACGAAATTAATCCGTTCCGCAAGTCTCTTCGTCTTGCGGTTTTTTCGTCTTGCGAAGCACGGCTATTAGCGGCTTAGCGGCTTTAAGAAAAAGGAAACAAACTCGCAAGAACTCGCAAGACGTTTCATCTTGCGAAGCAAGCCCATAGGGAAATTCGTCTTGCGGAACGACTCAAAAAACGCAAAACCCTTTCGTCTAGCGAGTTTTTCGTCTTGCGAGGCATTCGTCTTGCGGGACACCACTGTATAACTCAGCATCTATAAAAACACCTTTGTGCAGCTGGCTTTATAAAATGTGAGTAATGCTTATGGGAGGAAAAATTTGTTCACAGTGCAATAGGAAATCTAAATGCTACTGGCACCCTTTTTTTACAAAACACAGACATAACAATGGTGCTGAATGTCATAATATGAGTTATTTTGTTCTCAATAAATTATTTCAATTAACTGCACAAAACTGGGCTATTGGAATAATTATGGTTTTTCAAGACATTTGGCGGGGGATCTTTTATTTGTATTCTTACAAGTTTCTTTTCATTTTTTTCAAGTATATGCATATAACATTTATTTTTGTATCTACATATTTGTCTGTGTTTAATAAAAAATATATTAAAGATCGCATAAATGTGAAATACTGTACTTTTCCATGTATAAGACTAGGTTTTTTTTACTAAAAAATGTTTAAAAGGGGGGGTTAGTCTTATACATGGGGGCAATCTCCCCCCATTTTGTTAATTCTGAGTCTCCCAAAATAGGGGCGTCTTATACACGGGGGCGTCTTATACACAGAAAATACGGCATGTCATTTTTTTTAATGGCTCCGTGGCGCTGTGTGTTAAACCACAGAGCCTAGGGCTTGCCGATCAGAAGGTCAGCGGTTCGAATCCCCGCGACGGGGTGAGCTCCCATTATTTGGTCCCAGCTCCTGCCAACATAGCAGTTCGAAAGCACGTCACAGTGCAAGTAGATAAATAGGTACCGCTCCAGCAGGAAGGTAAACAGCGTTTCCGTGTGCTGCTCTGGTTTGCCAGAAGCGGCTTAGTCATGCTGACCACATGACCCGGAAGCTGTATGCCGGCTCCCTCGGCCAATAAAGCGAGATGAGCGCCGCAACCCCAGAGTCGGTCACGATTGGACCTATCCTAGCAGGGGTCAGGGGTCCTATCAGGAGGGGTCAGGGGTCCTATCAGGAGAGCTTCAGCTTCTAAGTTTTGAAGGGTGCCCAGAACCACTGCACAGAATGCTTTGTTTTCCTTCTCTGAAGTTCCTTGCATATTTCAAACTGAGGGTTGCATCCAGGGCTTCCCCCCCGCCCCGACCCCAGCCGGAACTCGCCGGAACTCAATTCCGGCACCTCTCAGGTGGGCACTATTGCCATTCTAAGAGAACAAGGGAGGTGTTCCTGCTGAGTTCCAGCTCCTCTTTTTCTAGAAAATATCCAATGCTTTGCATGCAGAGACCCACTCGCTTTTCTCCTGGGTCGACCACTGCTACCGAAAAAAGCTATCCACTGTACCTACCTTCACGGCTTTTGGGGGAGAGGTGTCCGTCTGGCTAGATGCTCTAGAATCGGGACTTTGTTGTTTGGCATAGACAGACCTCGGGGCGTCCGTTTCTTTCTGGAACTTGAACCCAGCTAGAAGAGGGGAAGATAATCTTATTAGTATCTGCCACTTAAAACTCAAACGATTTTGTTTACATCCTGAATTGAGGACAGCACAACTAAACGCAGCGCAAGATGGGCAACTGATCTCACTTGGAACAAACGGAAAACCAGATGCAAGCAATTCAAAAACAGTCTCAGCTACTTCAGAAGCTGCGTTTTCTTCACAAATGGAAACCCCTTTGAGACAAATCCTGGAGCATAATGGGCTTCAAACATTTTGGCCCAAAGGGAATTATTTTCTTAACACGTAAAAGGATGATGATACTTAGGTGAGGTGGGGCAGAATTAAATGTCTGCAGAGCTCAATAAGGGGGTCAGAGTATAATCTAGGCCTGAAAACCTGCCCACCAAAAGTCCTGTGAGAGATACATCAGCATCCATTCATAAGAATACACTTGGAACTGGTGTGGCTGGCTTGCATGTTTCTGTCATACAATGTGGCCAAAACTGATTTTCAGGAAAATAGGAAACTTTGTATGGAAGAGGGTGCAGAGAGACAGACAGGCCTGAGGTGGGCACATGCAGAAGTACAGGCAGTGGAAGAAAAATATTAACAGCATTTTGTAAAAAGAAATTGTCACTTCAACCAATTCTACAAAATTCTGTAAAAATTTTGATTTCCTCTCTTAGCAGCAGAAATGGGAAACTTTTGACTCCTGCCTTCGGGGTGGCCAACTTGAGTAAAATTTTAGTGCGGGGAGGAAGCAAGCACTGCCCTGTATAATCGATCACATGATGCGATACACAGACACTATTTGAAGGGCAATGCTCATCAACCGGGGGTGGGGCAGCCCCCTCAAATATTTTAGGAGGGGGGCAAAGCCCCTAGGAGTTGGCTCCTATGCCTGCCATAACATCCAGATTTAGAAATATCCAGGAGGCAAAAATGACTGGAATCTATGGTTTCAGAAGACAAAGCAGCTATTTCATTCGGTTAATTTCATTGTACACAGGTTGTACATTGACAATAAAGCTATTATTATTATTATTATTATTATTATTATTATTCTACACCTAGACACCAAAAGCCAAGTGAATATGAGTCAATTTCTTATTGCAGGGGAGGGATTAAAAACTTACGAGTGCCATCTTCGCAGAGACTGGAATTCAGACCATCTACTATGGAAATCTGTAGCAGGGGGGAACATATAAATGATCAGTTCTTCAGTACATGAATATCCTCACTAGTCTGCTCTCAACACACCATTATTGTTTAATATATTAAAGAGAAGAAATATTTAGACAAGGCACAACTGAAACAGGCCAATAAGATGTGTACAGCGCAAGGCAGACGGTGGTCAGATGCGAAGAACACAGAAACTTTGCCACATCCAACTCAGAGATCTGTGTCGCCCAAAAGCCCTTAGATTCTACATTTCAGTTGCCTTAACATAGGGTGGAAAGGGAAATGATTCATCCACTGAAGCTCCTAATTTGCAGAGACCATAGTTTCACCTGGCCTAAAGTACCTTCTCATTGCCATTTCATCTTGATACTATCACTGCTGAGGCAGAGCCAAATCCAGGTGTCTCAACAACAAATTCAGGACCATACCTGTCCCTCGGTGCCAACCTCAACAGCGTAACAGGTGTTTAAAGATGACAGCACCGATTTAAATGTCTGCGTTGCCTACTTAGGTATGAAGTCACTGTATCAGCTGAAAGAAACCACTGAGTCCACTGTACAACACTGTTTCTCAAACTGGGGTCGCCAGATGTTTTTGGACTACAACTCCCATGATCCCTAGCAACCAGGACCAGTGATAAGGGATGATGGAAATTGTAGTCCAAAAACAGCTGGAGGCCCAAGTTTGGGAAACACTGCATTTCTTTACTATAGCATCTCAGAGAAAGCGTAACCGCTTGAATGAACAAGGAACTCAAGGCCATATACCAATTTTTATTTTTTGAGCAAATTCTTGGCCCTTTGAAAATTAAAGGTGTCTGCTGTTTTTGTTTCTCACCGCTGTGGCGATGTGTTTTTCAAAGCCAGCTTTGTCCTATTTTCACCAACAAAACATCTTTGAAGACCTAAAAAGTGGCTGGCCTCAAAACAGTCTAACAGCAGTTGTAGCCATTTCCGCCTTGGAAGACTACGCTACCGAGAGGGCAGGAGACATGTGAATTTATGAGCTACAAAGAGATCTTCCTTGGATAAGGTTGATGACTGTTGAGATTATCCAATCTACAGACCCAGAGATAAAAAATTGCCTCAACTATACTAAGGATTTGAGGTCAAGATAGATAATTGGAAATGACCTCAATCCATCAGAAGGCCCAATAGCATGCCTCTCCCAGTGGATTATCCACTGCAGACACAGCTGCTGCTGAGAGATGATTCTCAATGTACAAGGGCCTTCCCTATACACCTAAACCTGGAATTTGGGGTGCAGGTGGCGCTGTGGTCTAAACCACCAAGCCTCTTGGGCTTGCCGATCAGAAGGCCAGCGGTTCGAATCCCCATGACGGGTTGAGTTCCCGTTGCTCTGTCCCAGCTCTCCTGTCAACCTAGCAATTCGAAAGCACACCAGTGCAAGTAGATAAATAGGTACCGCTGCAGCGGGAAGGTAAACAGCGTTTCCGTGCGCTCTGGTTTCCGTCACAGTGTTCCATTGTACCAGAAGTGGTTTAGCCACGATGGCCACCTGTCCCAGGAAGCTGTCTGTGGACAAATGCCGGCTCCCTCGGCCTGAAAGCTAGATGAGCGCCACAACCCCATAGTCGCTTTTGGCTGGACTTAACTGTCCAGGAGTCCTTTACCTTTACCTTCTTAAATCTGGAATCTTAGGCATATAGCCACTGGTTTGAATACTGGGCTACCTCAAAGCATCCCATGATGCTCTAATGAGAGAGAGAGAGAGAGAGAGAGAGAGAGAGCGCAAACTGATCACTTTTAACCTCTAGCTATGGTTGCCATGCTACCACAGCGCTCCAAAACCCAGAGGTACAGGTATTGCTGTATCTTTACTACACACCTACAGGCTACAGGAAATCGCCTCCCCAAGCTGTTAACACACAGTCATTGTAGAGTCTGAGGGGACCATGACTGCCATCTAGACCAACCCCCTGCAATGCAGGAATTTTTTACCCAACGTGGGGCTTGATGCTGCAACCCCGAGATTCAGTGTCTCACGCTCTACCAATTGAACTATCTCCCAGGTAGGTGCAGGGCCAGTTGTATGAATAAAACCCTACATCGCGGCCCCCGCAATACTGCTAGAATCTCTTGATTCATACATACTATTATATTAGTTGATACTGCTTTGTATCCTGCCTATATGTGGACATTTTCCAAGCCACCATCCCCTCAGCAGCAGCTTCTGCTACAGACATTTGCTTTTCTTTGAATTCAGGGCAATTATAAGGAAGAAGGGGCTAAAGTCGTAACACAAGAGTGCCATTTCCCTCCTCTAGGATGTCTGCTCTATTAAATAAAATGCAGCTTAAGGCTGCTCACACTAAGGAACTAAATACGCCATAATAAGCTTAACGGTGTAAATTAGCTAGATGCTACTAACAACTGGAAGCCCCATTCCGAGCAACAGAACTGTTAAGAATTAGTTAGGAAGCACATAAGCTGGGATAAACACACTGTGCTCATTTGACTCGTTTTGGGAACAGATCCCTAAGCATTCGACAGTGTCAGGGAGCTCCCGGCAAAAGGGTGATACTCCTGTGATACCAGGGGAACCCAAAAAGCACTTCTTTCTGCATGCAAACTAAAGGGTGTGTGTGCAAATAAGCACATGGGTTAGGCTTATGAAATGTTTCCACTCATTTCCCACGTCCAGCTAGGACAGAAGGCCAACACGTTTTACATGGGTGTTTGAAAAGACAAGTGCCAACACATTCTCACCCCTCCCCTACCTCACCCCAGTCTATTCAGCGTTCTTGCATGTGCTCATCAGCCCATCATGCAAGTGCTTAGTCACGATACGGTAGGGCTGCCATATGCCTGGATTTTCCCAGATGTTACTGGGATGTCAAAGGCGGAATTGACTTCCGAGGGGAATTTCTGAAAGGCAGCGCTTTGCCCTGGATCTTGGGCCAGCCAATCGAAAAATTGTGGGGGTTTTTGGCATATTTTAAAAGAGAAAAGCTCAACAGTTTTGGGAGTCTTCCTTTGGGGTTTTCCTGGTTTCTGCTTTTCGAAATATGGCAACCCTACCATAGGGAGGAAATAATGCCTATAAACGTAAGAGTTATTCACTCTTTCAAATCCGCAGGAAGAGGCCTTTCATTCAGACCATCCATTTAGCTGCAGAAAAGGGAACAAAGACAGGAATTACTACGGAGTTCAATATGTGTGTTTAAGTGAGCTCACCTTTTATTGGGGAAGAGGTTACCCAGCAGAGGATTTAAAACAGTTGCCTGAGAGGATCTGCCCAGTGAGAATCAGGAAGCTGCCAATAGCTCTCCAAAAGTCAAGCTAATACACGCACACCATCCCAAATTACTAGCATTTGAAACAGACTTGTACATACTCCCCAAAACTAATCATCGAAGAAGCATAAGAACTGGGCTTCAAGATGTTTATTTCTGAAATGATAAAAGCAAGCAGGGGCAGAATTGCAGGACAGGGGAGAGATTTAATGCAGGGCTAGGGAGCTTCTCCCATTTTCTGTGGGAAGTTCTGCTGTGAAAAAGTGAAAAAGGAGTTTAAATACCAAAACTCACTGAATGGAAGAGGCACTGATTCTGGGAATCCAAAGAACTTAAGGTGAGGGTGAAAACTGCACATGGTCGAGAGTTCGAACCTCAAGCTGCGATCCAGTGCACAGTTACAGCACAATCCTAACCATGACTACTCAGAAGTAAACCCTACTGAATTCCATGGTGCTTACTCCCAGGTGTGTGGGGTTTAGGCAGCCTAAATGTACACAGGATTTCAATCATTGTGTTTTGCACACGTTGAATGACAGGAGTAAATGATGTTTCACACCATTTCCAGTATCTGACTGCACTAAAATCTCTAGTGTTTTGCATCTGTGCTTAGAATTTTCCAGCTGAGGATATCCACTTCTGATGAAACATCCACTTACAGAAGAGACAGAGAGTTTCCACTCCCAATTTAACAAAAGGTGGGTGGGAAGAGGAAGGAAAGACAGAGGTGTTGGTCTCAGTGACTTGCCCAAAGTTAGCAAAAGGAAACAGTCCGCCAGAAACATATCCTGCACAGAAAACCCCCTTGCAACAAGTGAATACTGTGCAAGATTTAGATACCCAGCCACCCTGAAAAGTACCCAAGGCAAAACATACAGATAGAAATAAGATTTTAACATTCTGATATGGAAGAACGCTGGAGCTCACATTTTGTTTCTATGGAGCAGTAAATTTTTCGGTGACAAAGACAGGATGCTACTCAGTATTAACCTAGCAACCTTTGGGTTATATCCAATACTATCTGTGTGCAAGCAGAACTGACTTCCACTCATGCAACAGGACTTCGCTTTCTTATCCTCCCCCCCACCCCTCAAAATTTGCTCCAGACGATTAAGGACCTATAAAGCCTTAAACGGCTCAGGACCACAATACCTCAAGGATCGCATCTTTCTATATGAACCTACCCGGACCCTGAGATCATCTTCTGAGGCCCTTCTTCATGTGCCCCCTCCTTCGAGAGGTGTGGTGGGTGGCAACACAAGAACGGACCTTTTCTGAAGTGGATCCCCATCTGTGGAATGCTCTCCCCAGAGAAGTTCGCCTGGCACCTTCATTATACACCTTTAGGTGCCAGACAAAAATACTCCTTTTTAACCAGGCCTTTAGTTGATCCGATGTACATCCTATGCCCTTTTAAAAAGTGGGGTTTTTTTGGGAGGCGGTATTTGGTTGCTGTTTTGATTTTATTCTGTGAACCGCCCTGAGACCCCAGGTATAGGGTGTTGTATAAATTCAATAAATAATAATTATAATAAGGAACTCTTCCCAAGCAGATTGAGGGAGTGCAGGGGTAGGGGGCAGAGAGGAAAGTGAAGTCCTGTTGCACTTGTACAACGCTGGAATGTAGTTTTAGGTAGCCGGTGCTAAGGGAAGAAAAAAAGGATATGAACCCTAGCATGCTTTACAGATAGATTCAATGGCTTAGATTCAATGCTGTTTTCCGTGATGTTATAGTCAGAACCTCAGCACAGCCTGCAATCAATTTACATCAGCAGATACAACTCGAGTTTCCAGATGTTGCGGTTTTACAGTGTTCCGGGTGTGCGTCTCCAAGCAGTTCCACTCCCAAGCGAAGCTGTTCTGATCTTCACCCAACACGATCCATCTCTTACCTTCTCCCCATCCTGCTGGGGAAACGTATCTTCTGAGGACGGTGGCAAGTTCTCCTTCTGTTCACAATTGTAGCTCTTATCTTCGCTTTCAGTGGCTTGAGTCTCACTCTACAGAATGACAAAGCACTTGAGCGTTGGTATATTTTAAGTCCTTAAAGGGGGGGGGGAGCTCGCTCAAGTCTTTTGAGAAAGTCGGGTATGTTATAGGACAATGGAAACGGAAGTATTTTTATACCACCCTTCAATCGTATCCTTAAAGTGGCTTTAAAACAACAACAACGCTGGAGCCCTGAGTGTCAAGATACAGCAGTTTCTATCAACACGTTAGAGTGTTTTCCCAGAGAGGCCTTATTCCTTACTAGATGAAGCTCTTAGGTGGCCAGAGCTGTTATTTATCCTACACAGCAACTGTTACTAATAGTCTTCACAAAATAAGACACTGAACTCTGACCCAAGCCAGCTGTCAGGCTTTACCACAAATTAGCAGAGAAGTCGTTAAATAAGCATGCATCCCCTTCAAATTCAAACAAAAGGATCCAAAAACCTTGCATCAAGCAAGGGGAAATGTTTAAGAAACATTGCCTTCCAGTCTCCTGAACGCTGTTAACACAGGTTCCATACAAAGCATGCTTTTATTTCATTTTATTGCCTTGTTTTTTTTAAAAAAAATAGCTTACCATCCAATTTAACTAGCTATTGCATGTACAGTCGACTTACATCTTACATGGGTGTTACGTTCCGGGAATTATGCACAGTGCTATTTTTCTAGAAACTCGCCATGCCAGAACTCACCATGAACACCTCCCTTGTTCTCTTATAATGGCAATGGCACCCACCTGAGAGGTGCCAGAACTGAGTTCTAGTGAGTTCTGGCTGGGGGAAAACCCTCATTATGCATATGGGCAAAATCACACAGCCAAAACAACTGCAGAAAACAACTGCAAAAGCAGCTCTAACTTTCTAAAGCTGGTGTGCCAAACATTCGTTGCCTTCCACGCATGGCGGAGAGCTTTTAAGTAACAACCATTGGATACCAGCTGCAAATGCATTATTAGACAAGCTTGGCAGTTGCAAAATCTTTAGCTCTGTTTAGCATTTTTATTTTACTTTCATTTGCTAAATTGGATCTGGGCATCAGCAGATTTTTCCCATTCAAAGTGAGTTTTTTTTTCTGGTGCTAATTACCCTAAGCAACTTAGCCTGATTTTTCTTTTTTCTTTTTCCTGAAAAACCCACCACATTGATGCTCAGAAGCAAATCTCAGCTCCATCACGAAGGCAAACGGACCTGGAGTCCCATGGAGTGGAAGATACAGCAGAAAAGCTGCTGGCAGGTAAAGGGTTAAGCACCCCACCACCACCACCACCACTATTCCAGTGAAGAAATAACACCGCCCCCCAAAACACAAAAAACACACAAACACTGTTTTCCTTTACAAGGGGTCCCTGGGATCCTGCTAGGCACATTTCTGTGTAATGAGGAGTTCAGCCCCAAGATTGCTTCTGATCTGGGATTCTCAGCCTCTTCTGCCATTATTATTAAAAATCTGGACACAATCATGTGCTTAAGAGGCTCTGTGCATTGACCAATTCACCCCTAGAAGCCAACAGACTGCTGACACCTGTTATTTGAGAAAGCAAGGCAAGAAACTGAAGGCAAAGCAGAGGGAAGCCGTTAGTAGTTAAGCAGATTTGTTAATCAAGGTGCAATTACCCATGCCATTAATTTCCTTTCAATTACTGAACTAGAGCATCAGAAATACGGCGCTGCATATGGCAAGAAGAAGAAAGGCCCTGTGTCAGAGAGGTGAACCTGCCCATTGCAAGATGGAGCACTCGAGAAGTTTAAGAATTTTCAGAGAATTCCCTGTTAGCGCAATAATAATAATAATAATAATAATAATAATAATAATAAATTTTATTTATATCCCGCCCTCCCCAGCCAAAGCCGGGCTCAGGGCGGCTAACAACAATCAAATAATCAAACAATCAAATAATCCAACATTCTAAAACATTTCATTATAAAAATTAATTAAAATCAAATTAATGGCAACCGTTAAGCAAAGTTCTGTGCAGGTTGCCAGAGGAGGGAGTCAGGCTGGGCCCTGACCAAAGGCCTGGTGGAACAACTCTGTCTTGCAGGCCTTGCGGAAAGATGTCAGGTCCCGCAGGGCCCTAGTCTCTTGTGATAGAGCGTTCCACCAGATTGGAGCCGCAGCCGAGAAAGCCCTGGCTCTAGTTGAGGCCAGCCTAACCTCTCTGAGGCCTGGGACCTTCAGGATGTTTTTATTTGCAGACCGTAGGTTCCTCTGTGGGGCATACCAAGAGAGGCGGTCCCGTAGGTACGAGGGTCCTAGGCAAGAGAGGCAGAAGGGAAGACCAACTTCCCTAGTGCTTATGAAATCTAGATTGTGCTGTGTTTACCTGCTTACGATGCTCAAAATGTGTGCAGGGTCACAACAGCATACAACAAACAATAGAATTCATTATTAGAGGCTCTTGCATACACAATACCCATCCAAAGGAGTCTGCCTGCTGTATCCCTGTATGATTTATTGTTCCAGCTTTGCCTCCTTTCCCATTAGCCTCTGCTGGGATAGATGGGAAGAGGCAGGGGGTGGGGACAATGACAGACCTCTGACACTATATAACTCCTGTGTTTAAAATCAGGTTCAAGGCTATTGTATTAATTTAGAAGGCTCTTAACAACTTGGGTCCAGTATACCACTAGGACCATCCACTCCCTTATATCCCTGCATGATCACAGAGTCTTTGGGGGAGTCACTGTTAGTGGCCCCCCACATGGCTTAGACACATCCACCAAGTGCCATGTACTCAGTATTATCGGCCCAATTCTACGAAACAACCTCATCGCCAAGATCAAACAGGCCCCTCTCTTTGTACTGAACTTCAGCTGCCTAGTGAAGACCTTTTTTTAGAAAAAAAATAATTTCAGCAAAGCCAGCTTTTTTCTGATTTTGAAACTATGGTGTTAAGCAGCATAGCAATTGCTTTAAATAAAGAAACATATGCTCTGTATTGGAAGGCAATTTGATCCTTCCACCATCCCTGAGACAGCAGGGTTCTTTGCCCCTGGCAAGGGGAGGTTGCCAACTATGGGTGCAATCGAACACAGCACTTAATGGAACGTTTCCGCTTGCGCAACAAAACATTCTCCCCCGTTCTGCATCCACCCCTAAATCTGTACTAGGGGTTACCCCAACTCTCTGGAGCAGAACTGGGGAAGGTGCAGGGCACAGACAGTGGGAGGGAGGAAATCTTGTTGCACAAGCGGAAATCCATGCGCAGGCAGGACGCAGTAGCTGAATACGGCCCCACATCTCTGCTCAAGTCACATCAGCAATCTGTGGGGAAGATGAAGAGGCTGTGGGCTCTTCTAAGCATGTCGCTTTCCCCTTTTTACTCTTGCATACACTTTTTTTAGGGACGCGGGTGGCGCTGTGGGTTAAACCACAGAGCCTAGGACTTGCCGATCGGAAGGTCGGCGGTTCGAATCCCCGCAACGGGGTGATCTCCCATTGCTCGGTCCCTGCTCCTGCCAACCTAGCAGTCCGAAAGAACGTCAAAGTGCAAGTAGTTAAATAGGTACCGCTTCGGCGGGAAGGTAAACGGCGTTTCCGTGTGCTGCTCTGGTTCGCCAGAAGCGGCTTAGTCATGCTGGCCACATGACCCAGATGCTGTATGTCGGCTTCCTCGGTCAATAAGGCAAGATGAGCACCGCAACCCCAGAGTCAGCCACGACTGGACCTAATGGTCAGGGGCCCCTTTACCTTTTTACACTTTTTTTAAAAAGCCAAACCACCCAAGTTTTTTCACCTCAAAGTGTGACACATGCTTCCCTTTTTAATCCAGAAAAAGAAAAGCAGTGGCTAAGCTATCATGAGTCTGGGAGGATACTGGGTTGTGGACACAAAGCTACCAGAAGTCACCAATTTTGAACAAAACAGTACCTCCACCCCCCCAATCGGGAAACCTGGCACTCCTGCTAATTTTCCCCTTGAAGGACAAATTGCTCTATAGCAGCTATTCCATCTCCCGTTCAAATATTTGTCTAGCCAAGTACAGATCAGCCACAGAAGCACAGCATGAACAAATAACATTGTTATGGATGAATTGGAGCTTGGAGCCGGGGGTGGGTGTCGTGCAGGGAGAAGATGAATCCATTGATTACACAGAACACCATACAATGAACCAGGAAAAAAAGGGGGGGGGGGGAGAGAGAAAAGATAGCAAGGCTTTGGGCAAGTCACATCACCGTTTTGCACCTGGCTTCCCCCCAGAAACATGCTCCCAGCAAGATGGCCAGGCTGGTTTCCGAATGCATGCAGAGATCCTCAGAGGCAGAGCGCTAGGCACATGCAAACCAAGAGACAGTAGCATTTCCAAAAGCAGGAGGAAGAGGGGTGTCTGAAAACCCTTTCAGCAGCTTTAAAACAACCTACATGCACTGTATAAAATGCATTGTACAAGTCACCAACGCCACTCCTCAAGGATCCAAGTATTGCACCTTCTTCCAAACAAGATCAGCCTTCGCTGGAGTCACCCCTCATGCAGTGGGCTCTGGTAAAGCACCAGCCGGCCAGTTATAGGAAAGGGAGGACCTACCACAAGACCACCAGAGCTTCCCTGCTTAGAGACCGCTGCCTGGTACTTAGCAAGCCTATCCTTGATGGATGTTTCCGACAAGCGAGGCATCTCCTGATTCTTTCTGCTCTCTGCTTTCTCCAGGCTTGATGTCGGAGAGATGCACAGCGGATGACCTAGAACACGAGAGCAGACAGTTGTCATTACTAGTCGGTAAAGTAAAAAGGTAGGGACGCGGGTGGTGCTGTGGGTTAAACCACAGAGCCTAGGACTTGCCGATCAGAAGGTCGGCGGTTCAAATCCCTGCCACGGGGTGAGCTCCTGTTGCTTGGTCCCTGCTCCTGCCAACCTAGCAGTTCAAAAGCACATCAAAGTGCAAGTAGATAAATAGGTACCACTCCGGCGGGAAGGTAAACGGCGTTTCCGTGCGCTGCTCTGGTTCGCCAGAAGCAGCTTAGTCATGCTGGCCACATGACCCGGAAGCTGTACGCCGGCTCCCTCGGCCAGCAAAGCGAGATGAGCGCCACAACACCAGAGTCGGTCACGACTGGACCTAGTGGTCAGGGATCCCTTTACCTTTACCTAAGGTAAAAAGGTAAAGGACCCCTGGACGGTTAAGTCCAGTCAAAGGCGACTATAGGGTTGCGGCGCTCATCTTGCTTTCAGACCGAGGGAGCCGGCGTTTGTCCACAGACAGCTTTCCGGGTCATGTGGCCGGCAGGACTAAACCGCTTCTGGCGCAACGGAACACTGCGACAGAAACCAGAGCGCACGGAAACGTCGTGTACCTTCCCGCCACAGCGGTACCTATTTATCTACTTGCACTGGTGTGCTTTTGAACCGCTAGGTTGGCAGGAGCTGGGACAAAGCAATGGGTGCTCACCCCGTCATGGGGATTCGTACCGCCGACCTTCCGATCGGCAAGCGCAAGAACAGACATAGGCAAACTTGGCCCTCCAGATGTTATGGGACTACAACTCCCATCATCCCTAGCTAACAGGGCCAGTGGTCAGGGATGATGGGAATTGTAGTCTCAAAACATCTGGAGGGCCAAGTTTGCCTATGCCTGCCCAAGAGGCTCAGTGGTTTAGACCACAGTGTTACCCACGTCCCCTAATGCAGATTTGCCCAGGAATGAAATCGTACAGTGGTGCCCCGCAAGACGAATGCCTCGCAAGACGAAAAACCCGCTAGACGAAAGGGTTTTCCATTTTTCAATGCGCTTCGCAAGACGAATTTCCCTATGGGCTTGCTTCGCAAGACGAAAACGTCTTGCGAGTCTTGCGATTTTTTTCGCTCCCCCCCCTTTTTCTAAGCCGCTAATAGCCTTTTAGCCGCTAAGCCGCTAAGCCTTTAATAGCCGCTAAACCGCTAATAGCGCTAATCCGCTAAGCCGCTAATAGGGTTGCTTCGCAAGACGAAAAAACCGCTAGACGAAGAGACTCGCGGAACGGATTATTTTCGTCTTGCGAGGCACCACTGTATATTTTTGGGTGGGGGTGGGAGAGGGAAGCAGAAAAGAGAAAGGGATGGTATTTGGAATGAGAAAGGCCATCAAGGAATTGATTTCCCCTAACCAAGGCATGATAACTGCATCTCAAGGGCTGTTCTGACACCTGTTTTAAAGGATCCACAATCTCCTTTGCTAGCCAAGGGCCAAACTGGCACCGAGAGAGGAACAGATTATTGCCCAGTCCCTTCAAGGCAGGAGAATGGGGAGACTTTGAAAAGTGTAGCATTGGCAGACAGAAGGGGGGGGGTGAGAGGAAGCCTGAACCTTTTTGTTGCTCGTACGTTTGAACCTAAAGGCAGATTCTCTTCTCCAAACTGCTGGGGCTATGTTTGGTCACTAGAAGAAACACCCCCCAAAACTGTTGTTTCAGAGGCAACAAGAAGGCAATGGAAAGGCTCATCCCTTCACCCCATAGTGTAGTTTAGCTTCCCCCTCACTTTAAAGGACATGGTACAACCCAGGGTGGGTCAAGTAACTGTCCTGGCCTCCCACCTAGTTGCACTGTTATGTCACGCTATCTATCCTACAGCCGTTGAAGAATCGTCTCTGGTCGCTTCTGCACTCACAACAGCTAAGAGTTTCTGCTCTCCCCACCCCAACCCCCTTCTTCCGTGTCTGCCAATTCATTTCAGGTAACAGTAGCAACAGGAAACATCAATACACACAAGTACATGCCACCAGAAGCCTTGTACGGTGAGCAGGTGCAATACAAGCAAATGCTCAGGAATGCAAGGCAAATAGCACTGGCTGTGGAGGGAAAGATGTCAAAAGAAACAACTGTATTTCCCTCGGGAAAGCAACTGCTAGCAGGATTATCACAGACTGGTAAAGCAAAGGACAAATAAATTATGGACTACGAACCACAAATCAGTCAGCAGACTCAGCTATGAACCGGGAAGTCCTCTCCCAATCCAAATATTGCCTCTGCCAAGGTAGTCTTTGCCTTAGTTTCTCTCCCAACCCCCCCAAATGTACAATTTGGGGAAATGATAACGCTGATTTACAATGCTTGATGATGGTGCCCTAGCATTGTTGGTGATGATGACAAAGATCATTGCATCAATCATAATAATAAGGAAGAAGTTTGACAATAATCCTCCAGCTGCTATCTGTGGTATGGATGCATCCCTATCGATGCTCTCTTATGCATGCGTGGAATAATGCTATCCCAAGAGATGCCTCACATGAATCTATATTGTGTGCCTTCATGGTTTTCCTTGTAACACGAAATAGCTATACTGGCCCCTTTTTATTTCATGTACTGTACACCCTCTTGCCGCCTCAGGGACCAAAAATAAAAACTGAAGATCTCAGCAGCGCATAGGGGGCAATCGCAATTTTAAATTTGCAACTGTAATTTTAAAAACAACACAGAGATATCAGTCCTGCACATTAAAATGAAGGGCATAGGTTTTCATTATATAAGAATGTTTTTAATATTCTGCGGAGCCTTCCAGTGTGGCTGGGGAAACCCAGCCAGATGGGTGCGGTATAAATAATAAAATTATTCTTATTCTTATTCTTATTCTTATTCTTATTGCTACTCTGCATAAAATGAGAGGAACATCAATTAGTTTATCGTTTGTTCGCCCTTCACCAAGTGGTCCAAATGCAGGTTACAAAACAAAGTACAATCGGCAGAATACAATTCACATTAAAATAACAAAACAGCTAACAACAGAATGACAAAACGGTACAGTGGTGCCTCGCAAGACGAAATTAATCCGTTCCGCGAGTCTCTTCGTCTTGCGGTTTCTTCGTCTTGCGAAGCACGGCTATTAGCGGCTTAACGGCTATTAACGGCTTAGCGGCTTAAAGAAAAAGGAAACAAACTCGCAAGAACTCGCAAGACGTTTCGTCTTGCGAAGCAAGCCCATAGGGAAATTCGTCTTGCGGAACGACTCAAAAAACAGAAAACTCTTTCGTCTAGCGAGTTTTTCGTCTTGCGAGGCATTCGTCTTGCGGGGCACCACTGTAGTGTGCAGCAGCAGAGAAGGAGGGAAAACATCCACTCAGTTGATGGCCTGGGTAGAGAGATACATCTTGACCAACTGTCCAAAAGCAGGAAGTGATGGCACATATGCACCTCAGAAGGGAGGTAATTCCACAAACCAGGGGCCACCACAGAAAAAAGTCCTGGCATGCTTTGCTACCCCTCAAACCATGGAGTATGGCAGCACTGCTGATCCGCAGTGCCGTCCTCGGACATCCCAGGTTTTGGAGATGATCCCTCTTCCACTTTGCCAAAATGATGCTTAACCAGTGTACCGTACCATTTGGGGAGAAGCCGTCATAACACAAAGATCCATGCAACATTGAACGCTGCCCACCTGAGACATTGTGGCTTCTTTCTCCGGAACTGAAGTCAAGGTCTTCCGAGGAAAAGCTGTTCTCCGAGATTCTCCTACCACCACCAGCCCTGCCTTGGTCACGAAAAACCTGCTTTAAAAACAAAAGGAAAGAAAGGCACAAACCCATCAGTTTACTGGCTCGTTCCGAAACGGATTGTCTGAGCATCGTGCTTTTGAGCACACAGGTTTCATGGCCAATAAAATTATATTCGTTAATATAAAGAATATACATCATTTACGTAACAACAAAAATCAGTTCTACATCTCCTCGGTTTCCCTGGCTGAAATGCTTGGTTAGCTCCTGCCTCTGCTACAAGCCTTCTAGGTTTCCTTTTGCCACAACCTCAGTCCTTCCACAACTCTATCCAGAACTCTGTGGCCGAGTATTTGTTTATCTCTGTATCATGGATGTCCTCAAATATCTCCAGTAGCTTCCCTTCCAGCACAAATACCTTGTCCTTACTTCTCAGCTCTCTCTTCTCCTCTGTCCCATTCTACTCCTCATGCTTATTTTAGCTCCTGTGCCAAAGACCTTCCATCTCCCTGATCTGTGGCCTTAAACCACCTGGAGATTTCCAGCTCGCTTAAAACTACTTTGCTCTTTCCTCCTCGCTACTCTATGTCTGGACTCAGAGCTTCCCTTCTCTCCTCCTTCAGATGCACTCCCCAGAACCTACTTCGTCCATTAAGACTTTCGTATAACTCTCCATCCCAGCTGGAACAAAGCATGCATGCTTAGCTAGCTGTCTTTCTGCCTCCTCATTCTTGCATCTCCCTTCCCAACCCTCCCTCAGTTGTCTTCCACCCGTCAAACATTAAACTATAGGTAAAGGTAAAGGACCCCTGGATGGTTAAGTCCAGTCAAAGGTGACAATGGGGTTGCAGCGCTCATTTCACTTTCACGCCGAGGGAGCCGGCGTTTGTCCACAGACAGCTTTTCTGGTTCATGTGGCCAGCATCACTGAACCGCTTCTGGCACAATGGGACACTGTGACGGAAACCAGAACGCACGGAAATGCCGTTTATCTTCCCGCCACAGTAGTACCTATTTATCTACGTGCACTGGTATGCTTTCAAACTGCTAGGTTGGCAGGAGCTGGGACAGAGCAATGGGAGCTCACCACCGTTGCGCAGATTCGAACTGCCGACCCTCTGATCAGCAAGCCCAAGAGGTTTGGTGTTTTAAATCACAGCGCCACCCACATCTCTGCACCAAAGGGGCAGAGATCTCTTTTTTTAATGGTTACCCATCATTCCATGCAGTGGCTTTCTTGAGCAGATTTTAGAGGAAACTGGGTTCCCCTTACCTTTTTAAAATTAAATAATATTAATTTTTTGTATGTTGGGGCTAGAACAGATATACATCCAATGTCTGAGCCAAAAATCCACCTATATCTGTAATCAAAGTTGTGGCCACTTATAATCCAGATCATTGTCTGCTTGAGCTTATTAACCACATCTTACATTTAGCCACTGCCTTGGGCAGAGGCTGGGGGTAGCACAGCGACTGGGCTCACAATAAACGAACAAACGAACTTTGTGGTGAGTTCCCCCACTTCCCCCCCCCCCAGAAAAAAAAGCACTGATTCCATGCGCACCGATACCACTGTACCAATCACAACCACTTTCTTTATAACCTAGGTAGGCCACATTTACCTAGCTAGGTGGGAATCTTAAACTAAGTTAATATTAATCTACAAAGCTGAATGTACAAGACAGACAAGCCACACTGCCAAATGAGGCCCCAGGGCTTGCACAAACCTTTAATTTTGTTGTGTTTTTTTTAAAAAAGAAGTTTATTACTTTTAACTCCACCTTTCTACAGATTCCCAGGGAAGCTAACGAAAAATTACAATGCCAATAAAAATGAAATCTCATAAGAATGACAAATACTGGCCTGCATATAATTACTCAAAACTGGCAATCACATGGGTCTTAAGACAGAAAGAACCTAAGAAGAACTTGCTGGATGGGGCTAATGGTACATTTGACTGGCATTCTGTTCTCACAGAGACCAACCAGTGTTATGACTCATTTACGTACAGTATAAGCTAAACAAGCTATAGCTTAGGGCCCCACTCTCTTGGGGTCCCCAAAAAAATTTAAAGGAAAAAAAGGTGGATGTAAATTTCCAAGCTATAAAATAAAAAACAAATAAAATAAAACCTACATACAGCAACAGTGTTTTGTGTTGTGTAGGCTCCTATGATGTAAGTAATAGCCCCGCCTGCTAGCCTACTCCCTAAAATATCACTGGTTTGCTCATTTCTCTATATAGAGTGCCTGCATTCTGCATGGACTTTTCCAAAATTACTTTGATAAAATACATATTTTGTTATGTGCAAATGGCTTTAGATACCTATTAGGTCCATAAATTACCATATCGCATGTATTCAACACAAAAAACAGCTACAATTTGTTGTTGACAAAGTACAGTTGGACATATAAAGAGCCCCATTATTTTCAGTAGCTTAGGGCCTCATCAAAACTAAATCCGGCCCTGGTTATGAGGGAGAAAAACTTTTCTCTATCAACCTTCTCCAGTGCCAGGCATAATTTGACCAACTTCTATCATGTCATTGTTATGATTATTAGGCAGTTTTATTTTCAATCCTTTCCTAATGATCCCTGACATGGGATTTGGCTTTTTCACCCGTGCCGTGCATTAGGTCAACATATTCCTTGAGCTACCCACCACAACTCCCAACCTCTCATTCCTGGTCCATCACCACCAGTTCAGACCAAAGGTCTCAAGATTTTCTGTTGATGAAGAATTAGTAAAGCGATCTTTAGCAGGCTGCTTATTCACATAGAACATAGTAAAGGGACCCCTGACCATTAGGTCCAGTGGTGGCCGACTCTGGGGTTGCGGTGCTCATCTCACTTTATTGGCCAAGGGAGCCGGCGTACAGTTTCCGGGTCATGTGGCCAGCATGACTAAGCCACTTCTGGCAAACCAGAGCAGCGCACGGAAACTCCGTTTACCTTCCCGCCGGAGCGGTACCTATTTATCTACTTGCACTTTGACGTGCTTTCGAACTGCTAGGTTGGCAGGAGTTATTTACATTTTTCTATTTTGCATCAAGGCGGGGTGCTTCTTTTTAGCACCAGAACCTACAATGGGCTGCAACTCAGTGCAAAGAAGGTTTCTCCACTCCCATTGTTTGGCCCGGACACTGAGGAACGACTCCAGGGACCTTCTGGTGGTTCTCTGACCACGAGAAGTGAGGTTACAGGGAACCAGTGGAGGACCTTCTCGGTAGTGGCGCCTGCCCTGTGGAACACCCTTCCGTCAGATGTCAAGGAAGTAAACAACTATCTGACTTTTAGAAGACATATGAAAGCAGCCCTGTTTAGGGAAGTTTTTAATGTTTGATGTTTTATCGTGTTTTTAATATTCTGTTGGGAGCTGCCCAGAGTGGCTGGGGAGACCCAGCCAGATGAAAGGAGTATAAATAAAAAATTATTATAAATTATTATTATTATTATTATTATTATTATTGGGCATAAATCAGGCATTCAAAAGAGAGGAAATAGAACTGTTGCCTTGTTGATATCTATGTCCGTGAACATACTCTTTTCCTCAATTTTATCGCAATGCATGCACACAATGGGTATACAGTGATACCTTGGTTCTTGAATGGCTTAGTTGTCGAACAAAACGGCTCCCGAACGCCGCACACCCGGAAGTAAGTGTTCCAGTTTGTGAACATTTTTGGAAGTCGAACGTCTGACGCGGCTTCCATGGCTTCCGCTTGAGTGCAGGAAGCTCTTGCAGCCAATCGGAAGCCGCGCCTTGGTTTTCGAACGGTTTTGGGAGTCGGACTCCTGAAACAGATTAAGTTCGAGAACCAAGGTGCCACTGTATATGGACATACGCTCCCCACTGCTGTTTTCTCCACATCTAATGAAAGAGACTCCTATTTACGGAATATCATGTGACAGGAAGTCTTTAAGAAGTGCAGAGGACTCTGTCAAACTGCATATCCAGAAGAAATAATTGCTTAGGTACCTTGGTCTAGGGCTAGGGCTGAGCAATGTATCGATATATCATCAAAACCCAGTTTGAAGTCCATATAGCAATTTGGTTTTATAGTTTTTGACCTGGAAATATATTTCAAACCATGATGTGTGTTAGGGCTAGGCGATATATTGTCCAAAACCGGTTTCAAGTCCATTTTCATGATATTGGTTTCATAATTTTTGACCTATGCAAAAATCACAATGTGGGAAAAACTGTGAAGCCAGCCAATGTCTCTGCATAGCTCCATCCTTATTTCAGACATTGTGATATATCGGTATATTGCAATATTTAGCTGGGTCGTATCTCGCAATATTCAAAACCAGATATCACCCAGCCCTAATTTGGGCTGCTTTCAAAACCAGAAAAAGCTTCAAGCTGAATCAGTGGGGGCTGCAAGTCAAAGGCACAAAAATTTTGGAAGCAATTTTGGGTTTTGGATTATTACTTTAATAGGAATATTGAGCCGGGGGGATTAAAGATGGTATTTCCTTTTACCAGTGGGTGGTAACTCAAAGCTTGAGAAAATGCATTTTACAATTTAGCAGCATACATAAACATTAAACAATTTGCAGCTGGCTAGAAAGCAGATCAGCTAAAACGCTTGTTAAATGTAGAGGCTTTCAAATGAAAGCGAGAGGTTGCTCAAGTTTATTTGGAGCAACTTAACCCGCGTCTTCTCTCCCCAACCCCCAGCTTGCCGTAAGCAGACAGGAATTCGTTTTGGTGAGGATTTTCCCAAACACTTAACATGAATAGTTTGTGTCAACAGAACTTTAGGTCAGCGTTCAAGTTCCAGGAAGTCCCAGCATCAGGAAGAAGCTGGAGTCATGATTTCAATGAAGGTATCGTAATTAAAATACAAAAAAATTCAAAACGTAATTGCTTTGGGGCATGAGCAGCCTGCGAAAGCTGGCAAGGGAAATAATACACGCCTGCTTGTAACGGCCACATATAATAAAGTTCACTGCAACCTAGCAATTTCTACTTTCCATGGAATGGAAACTTCTTAACAGGAAGTTTAGAACAGAAAGGGGAAAAAACACTTCATTCAGTTGAACCAAATTGCTAGAGCATCAAAATGTCCATTTGCAAAGCAATTCTAACCTCTGTCTACTCAGAAGTAAATCTCGTTGGAGTAAGTGGGGCTTGCTCCCAGATAAACCAGGTTGGGATCAAATAGTCACCAAGGCTATAATAAGGTAAAAGACCCCTGGATGGTTAAGTCCAGTCAAAGGCAATTACAGTATGGGGTGCAGTGCTCATCTCGCTTTTCAGGCCGAGGGAGCCAGTGTTTGTCCACAGACAGCTTTCTGGGTCATGACTAACCACTTCTGGCGCAATGGAACACCATGACGGAAACCAGGGCGCACAGAAACGCTGTTTACCTTCCCACCACAGCGGTACCTATTTATCTACTTGCACTGTGCTTTCGAACTGCTAGGTTGGCAGGAGCTGGGACAGAGCAACGGGAGCTCACCCCGTCGCATGGATTCGAACCGCCGACCTTCCGATCAGCAAGCCCAAGAGGCTCTGTGGTTTAGACCACAGCGCCACCTGCTCCCTTCAAAAAGGAGACAAGGGAAGACAGCAGGACCTGGGGTTCTGACTAGAAAGTTAAATCCAACTGAATGTTCGAGGGCCAAACTAAATACCTAACCGGGTTTCATCGACTGTATGCAACACCGCACAGGTAGAGTTCCTTCCCCTCACACAACTAGGCTTCCCCTTCCTATTCTTTCGCTGCACATCCCCAAAATCTGCTCCTGGGACTCTTCCAACGGTCTGGAGCAGATTTTGAGAGCCTACCGTGGGTTGTAGGGGAGGGGAAGAGATGTCCCATTGTGCAAGCAGAAACTAGCAGACAGGAGTTTCTGATTTCTTTTGTTAGAAGAAGGCAAACTTAAGAAACCTGTCATGAGGAACGCAAGAACAACTGGGGTGGGTGCTTAACTAAAGATGCAGGAGGAAACAGTTTTAAGTGGATTTATGCACATAATTTGGCAGTTCTGACCCTATCAAACTTTGCTCGAATCAGACGACCTCTTGAAACGAGTGCCCATTTATGTCTGAAACACTCAGGGTTGTGTTTTTTTTAAAGCCCAACAAATTATACACAGAATTGTGCACAAACCTACAGTGGTACCTCGGGTTAAGTACTTAATTCGTTCCGGAGGTCTGTTCTTAACCTGAAACTGTTCTTAACCTGAAGCACCACTTTAGCTAATGGGGCCTCCTGCTGCCACCGCGCCGCTGGAGCACGATTTCTGTTCTCATCCTAAAGCAAAGTTCTTAACCCGAGGTAATATTTCTGGGTTAGTGGAGTCTGTAACATGAAGCGTCTGTAACCTGAAGCGTATGTAACCCGAGGTACCACTGTACATGCAAAAATGCACATATGCATGTGCAGAATTTTAAAAGTTGCAAGTGCTATTGAAAGATCACCTGGTCTAAAGCCCTGCTGATGCAGGAAAAGCCACCTCGGTCAGGAAAAGTTACGTAGGTGGGTTTCTATCCTTCACTCAGCTACTAAACTTACAGAAGCATGGCCAGAAAGGGGGCATCCCTCCCTGAAACAGCCTATCATCCATCCCTGTGTAGAGTCTGAGTAGTCACAGTCACGCCTCCCCACTTTATGAGACCTCCCAGGTTCAGTAGACTTAAGAGTTCATTACACTAAAAGTTATTAAGAATGTAAGAGCTGGATCACACCAAAGGCCCGTCTAAGTCCAACACCCTGCTCTCACAGCGGCCAGTCAGATAGTTTTGGGTAGCCCATAAGCAGGACTCAAGTAGTGCCTTGGAAGAACATGTTGGCAGTGCATGAGACTCTTAAACATGGGTAGGCAACCTAAGGCCCGGGGGCCAGATGCGGCCCAGTCGCCTTCTCAATCCGGCCCATGGATGGTCCGGGAATCAGTGTGTTTTTACATGAGTAGAATGTGTCCTTTTATTTAAAATGCATCTCTGGGTTGTTTGTGGGGTCTGCCTGGTGTTTTTACATGAGAAGAATGTGTGCTTTTGTTTAAAATGCGTCTCTGGGGTTACAGTGGTATCTCTGGTTGCGAACGGGATCCGTTCCGGAGGCTCGTTCGCAACATGAAAAGAGCGCAACCTGAAGCACCGTATCTGCGCAGGTGTGTGGCGCAATCTGGCACTTGTGTGCATGCATGAGCGGTGAAACCCGGAAGTAACCCTTTCCGGTACTTCCGGGTCACCGCGGGAGGTAACCTGAAAGAACGTAACATGAAGCAAACGTAACATGAGGTATGACTGTATTTGTGGGGCATAGGAATTCGTTCATATTTTTTTTCAAAATATGGTCCGGCCCCCCACAAGGTCTGAGGGACACTGGACCGGTCCCCTGCTGAAAAAGTTTGCTCACCCGTGCTCTTAAATCTCAGGGTTGTGGGTTCGAGCCCTGTGTTGGGCAAAAGACCCTCGTGGTTCCTTCCATCTCTACAATTCTGTGATTCAACAGCCCTCTTTTTAGATGAAGTGCAAAAGCCAAGATCAATCAACCTCAAGGCACAAGCAGTTTTAACATCAGAGGGAGATCTAGAGAGAGATCAAGAGCAGGCATAGGCAAACTCCGGCCCTCCAGATATTTGGGACTACAATTCCCATCATCCCTGACCACTGGTCCTGTTAGATAGGGTTGGTGGGAATTGTAGTCCCAAACATCTGGAGAGCCAGAGTTTGCCTATGCCCGATTCAAGACCATTTCTCTGTTCCGAACGGACGAATCCCTTGAAGTATTTAAAAGTGTTTTCTTTGGTACTCTGCATCATAAGGAAGAACCAGATCAGGTTTTTTTAAAGGTGCTGGTGAGTGTTTCATTTTACAAATCCTGATGGAAGGCAGGAATAATTAATCAAAGGGTGTGGTGCTTTCAGACAGTAATGGGGTCTCAATTGTTTTAAGGGTCGATTTCTAATTAAGAAGCCTGAAGGACAGAATCATTGGCCGCAGTCTTCAGAGACTTGCGTCCTTCCAGGCATAACGTTAGATTGGCGACTCAAGTGAAAAAAGTCTCTTGCAATGCACTTGCACCAGCTCCAGGAAAACTACTTGGGCACATCAGGAGTTGGAATTACAGTATGTCCTCTTCCGGAGTTCCCAGCATCTTGACAAAAATAAAGTCTACTTCTAATGAGGTATCACCTCTTTGCCTACCTCACACATGGTACATGCTCAGAGAATCCTCATGAATTGGCAAGTTAGTAGCATTTCTTTTGCAGAAAACCAGGGCTCTCTGCTAGTGACTGGAACCCAGGCATGGGCATAGCCAGGATTTACATTGGGGCGCTATTTATGGGGGGGGGGGCAGAACAGAGCTATCTGCGACACAATTGGTCAGTTAGGTATTTTTATTTATTTACTTGAAGTGGGGGCAGTCTCCCCTCTGCCCCCCTTGGCTACGCCCATGAACCCAGGTGGATTCAAACAAAAAAAGTTTGGTAATAATATTTTATTCTCTTTTCCCCATATAGAAGTTACATTTGTTACTCAACAATTATATCCCAACTCAACAAAACTAGTGACTACCCGCTCACCCAACAGCGATGCTTCTAACTCAGATTACACACAATTGCGTTTTAAGGTTCTATCTGATCTAATTTCATCCTGTCTAAATGTGTTTCTTAATATTCAAACAATTAAGATTGCATTCCTGCCTGTGGTTAATTTAACCAACCGGAAATGTTGTAATGTGGGGCTTTGTTTTAGAGAAAAACTGATTTCATCTGAAAATGGGCAGGCTCCTACAAACCAGGATTTTTTAAATTATTAAAAATAAGTTTAATAAGCCATTTCCCCTAACTTTCCGCTCTCAAGTGCTCCAAGTTACACAGAGTCCTTTTCTAATCACTGTTTAGGATCTCCTGCACCTCATTCTATACTCTTTGACAGCTATCCAACCTCAGCTCACTGGCTGAAGTCCCTGCAGTCAGTCAGTCAGTCCCTGGAAAGATAAATCATAGCTGGCAGCCCCTACTGCACCTCTTGCTTCATCATCCCAGAGGATATGTCCACTCCATGACTCAAGCAAGCCAAAATGGATTTCGGCCAACTCCCAAAGCCCAAGGAATGAGGCACTCATTGCCTGGACTTGAACGCCCTTCCATTACCTTCTTCCCACAGTGATGCTCTTTTATGGCATGCGGATGCGAACATCACATGCACACAAGTCTTGGCGCTTGAAAATCTTTCCTAAGCAATCCTTGCTCAGAGCAGAAGGCCCCATTGCCTTCTTAAATATCAGGCCTTTCTGCATTTTCGGTAGCCATCCTTGGAAGATCTTAAGGACGAAGAGGGAGGGAAGAAAGAGGTTTCAAATATAGTGGTACCTCGGGTTAAGTACTTAATTCGTTCCGGAGGTCTGTTCTTAACCTGAAACTGTTCTTAACCTGAAGCACCGCTTTAGCTAATGGGGCCTCCTGCTGCTGCCGCGTCGCCGCAGCACAATTTTTGTTCTCATCCTGAAGCAAAGTTCTTAACCTGAAGCACTATTTCTGCGTTAGAGGAGTCTGTAACCTGAAGCGTATGTAACCTGAAGCGTATGTAACCTGAAGCGTATGTAACCTGAGGTACCACTGTACTTGGGCTGCAACTCCTGAACGGCATGGGTGTAAGTATGCCTGAACGAAGTGCAGATTATTATGCTACCAGTTTACCAAAAAAAGTCTGTGTACCTCACAATCTAGTGGTTGCAGCTGCTCCAGAGACATTTCCCACCCTAGTAGGATCACCTAGTGTTGCGTGACTATCCGAGCACAACAACTCAAATGCAAATAATTTATAACCGTGTTGGTTAGCTGAACAAAAAAGCCCTTCCCTTTCTTTCCATTCGACAAACTGGGACGGTAATAAATGTGCACTCAAACTGGAGGATATAGCTCGCAACGTATGCACTCTGTCTCTCTGGAACTGCTGTGGCAGCCCAAATTATCTGGCTTGCTTCAAGAATATTCCTAGACAGCTAAGCTGCCATGTTATGGGGAAAACTTGATCGCTCACTAGGAGCAGTAAAATGACCTCTCATTCAGTCAGTTTCTGTTTAGAATTCTAGGAAACACAACATTAAAATATTTTGTACAATGTGAAGGTTCGTACATGCACCAGAGTGGTACAAGCTGGTCTGGTTCACGTATTAAGCTAAACCATAGTTCACGATAAACTATAGAGTGGTACTTCAGGTTAAGTACTTAATTTGTTCTGGAGGTCCGTTCTTAACCTGAAACTGTTCTTAACCTGAAGCACCACTTTAGCTAATGGGGCCTCCTGCTGCAGCCATGCCACCGGAGCACGATTTCTGTTCTCATCCTGAAGCAAAGTTCTTAACCTGAGGTACTATTTCTGGGTTAGCGGAGTCTGTAACCTGAAGCGTATGTAACCTGAAGCATATGTAACCCAAGATACCACTGTAGTTGGAAGTACACACTGCTCAGACAATCTTGTTGTGTTCCTTCCACTGCTCCAATGCTGACTAAACAAGTTTCGCTTGTCATGTTGCCCAAAACCAGGTTTCATGGTTTGCTTCCTCCAAAGGAACCGCAAGAGCAAACCATGGTCAGCCAAGAACAAACCCTGGCTACTGCTTGTTCTTTATTTGCAGGAAACAAACCACAAGCTAGGGTTCAGACAGCATGCAAAGCCAAAAACTGGCTTCTTTCATTTGTGGAGAAGCAGGAACTGAGGAAAAAGCATTCACATTAAACCATAATTTAAAACAAACCATGGTTTAATGTGAACAGGCCTTAATCTACTTTTATTATTTCCTGATATCGACAATAACAACACTTAGACTAAGTGGTCCAATCTCTTGGAAACAGTTTCTTTTGTTATGCTCAGGGCAACGCAGTTATTATTCTCCAGAGAGCTGGTGTCAGTTTCTTGGAAGAGATCTACAGAGTCACACCCTGCGGTTTCTCCAGTGAACATCATTTTCAGAACTCATTGAACAGCTCAGTCAGCAAATTAAAATCAGTTACAACTGAGATAAAGCAAACCATTCCTTCCTGAAACAATTTTAAATACTAATTTTATTAAATTTACCTTGACTGAAAGCTATTTGGGCTTTCCTAAGCCTCCAGCTATTTAAAGGTCTCAGCCATACCTGTTTATATTCTAGCAAAAACTCGGCACATATGCAAAGGGACGAAAGTGAAGGAAACTATGAGAAAACTGGAAAAAGTCAACCAGACTGTGTTTGAAGCCATTGGCATATGCAACTCATTTTCTAGTTACGCAATTTTCCCGGGGGGGACACAGTCTGCAGTCCACATGCAGGATCAGATTTCATGAGCAGTTGTAGGAAAATGCAAGGCCTGTGAAATTTGCAAGTCAAAACTAGCAAAAGCAGGCACTCTCAGCCTATGTTCACGCATTTTTCCTGTGGTAATTCCCCCCCCCCTTTTTTTTAGCAGACAAGAAACATTTGCTGACATGCACACATTGGAAAGGACAGCAGAAGCTTATCTCCCATATGAAACCGGCTCTCTTCAGTCTGTGTCTGTCACAGCTGCAGAAAGCAACGGCTTGCAATTGCAATCACACACAAACTTCTTTTTTAAAAAATTGTAAGACGTGCCCGTCACAGTTATCTTTGGGGCTTGGCTGGAGCCAGCGTGCTTGTTCATTCAATTTCCTGTTCCAGCAGTGTGTGTGTGTGTGTGTGTGTGTGTGGCATGTGGGAAAATTGCATTCTGCAGTGTGCATTCATCTCCCTTGGGCACAGAGTTATATTAGCACTTCTCCAGCTAGCCATGAGATGCGTTTTACCACAGGAAGAATAAAATCACCACTTGCACAGCGGGCAAGTCTTTTGAGAGCCACCCCCTTGTTTCCCCCCCAGGAAAAAATAAAAAAACAGCCAAGGGGAGCTGGAGCAATTCAGTTCCTTACCTTTGTCTGGCTCGCATCCCCCCTCTCAAACATCATCTTTAGCCTGCTCAGAGGAACGCTACATTTCTCTATTTTCCCTGAAGAATCTGGGTTTTCATTGGCCTCAGGCTTTCCTACTTCTGGTCTGGATTCTCTAAGGCAATTTTCCATTTTCCCACTCTCGGGCGAATGGGCTTTCGCCTCCTCGCTGTCAACACTGGGATATCTGAACCGGCCAATCACTCCGGAAGAGGAACGGAGCCGCAAGCCGGGACCAATCCCCGGGCCTTTGTCAGTTTCGGCTAGGGAAGCGGCGCTGCCTTCAATTCCACCACCGGGGCTGACAGACTTCTGCCTAACCTCAGCGCAGCTGCTTCGGAGAGCTTCCTTCCGAGCCTCTGTCCCCAGCGGCGGGTTCTCCCACTTTTTCTTCAGGACGCTGAGGGTCCCCCTTTTGAAATGAGGGGGGAGGTTTTCCGTGTTCTGAGGAGAAGAAACGACAACAAGAAGCAAGCAAGAAGTTAATGCCGGTTACTTAAAGGTCCCAGGATTATTATTTCTTAAAGGAACAAAACAAAACAAAAAGCCAAGAACAGCTTGGCTGCTTTTCCGCTCCCTCCTCTCCCCAAAGAAAGGAAGTCGAAAGCGCCGACCTTGAGCCCTCTCTGCTGTTTCAGACAGCTGTGAACAGTTGCAACTTGTGCCACATGGAGAAAGCTTGCATCCAGGGTGAGGAAGGGAGAGAGGGAGGAGGAAGAGGGAAAGAAAAAGGAGCTGAAGCAGGAAATGATAAAACAGGATGGCCTTATATGGAAGAAAGGGAGCCTGACTAATGGAAGAGTTAGGACCTAGCCCTTTTGTCTCGGGAAATTCTGCTCAAAGCAAACCTGGGAACAGAAATCCACCTACGGCTCCCGGCAAGTGGAATCAAGGAAGGGCTTCAGGAAGGATGCCATTCTATGAAATGGCTATTGCCAAATGCGGCAGAATTTCTCCATCTGTTCCAGGGGACCAATTAGCAGGCACTTTAAGAAACAGGAGGATTATGTCTCAGCCTGGCCACCTTAACAAGCCTTTGCCTGAAGCACTCCAGCAAGTGTCTTCCTCACCACACCGGCAGGAAATTGGAATTTTTATTTTTTATATCTTTTATCAGATTCGGCCACATGCTTTCAGGGATACTTGTCCGAACTTGCGTTCGCCGTACGCTATGCATTCAAACTGTAAAGCGCCACGTACGGAACGCCCCAGCCAAGCCAAGCCTTTTACTTATTTAGCGGCAGACAGCAGGCTAGCCCCCCTCCTCGCTTTTCCAAACCAGGAACTCGGATGCGATACCTGCCAACGCTGCATCTCCGCGGCGTGTTCCTTCCGTATCCTACCAAGCACGGTTCGAGACTAACCGCAAAGTGGAGCAGGTCTGCAGAGCTTTAGCGTATTAAGCAGGATTAGCGGCTATATTGGGATTTAAGTCTCTCACCCTATTACTCTTCTGGTCACATTTCGAACACCCCTTTGCAAATTAACAAGAATCCCCAACTAAGCCGCAAAAATATATTAGGCCCTTTGCTTGGTTTCAAGCTGGGCTCAAATTTGCAGAAGGCCAAATAGGTCAGCAAGGTGGGGGGTGGGGAGGGGAGAGAAAGAGCCGCACAATATAGCAAGGTGTTCTTGAAGCTTTTGTTCGCAAACCAGCCTCCAGCGCCAGGTGTCCCGCTGCACAGGGAGGCCTGGCATGCAACTGACTCCTCCTCTCGGCTGCCAGGGCTTCCCGGTTGCTCTGATGCCTCAGCTCAGGGAATTCAAAGTGCTGGTTTTAACCTTTAAAGCCCTTAATGGCTTGAGGCCAGGTTACCTGGAGGAGCAAGTCTCTTGCCCCACATATACCTGTCTGAACTCTTGAGGTTATCTTCCAAGGCTCTCCTCACCAAATGACAGCCAGCGACTAAAGGGGGAGACTTTTCTGTGGTGTTGTCTAATGTATTATTTATTTTATTTTTAAAATATTGTTACTATTACTATTTAGGTTTAGATGCCACCCTTCATCGCTGTGATCTAAACCACCGAGCCTCTGGGGCTTGCCAATCGGAAGGTTGGCGGTTCGAATCCCCATGATGGAGTGAGCTCCAGTTGCTCTGTCCCAGCTTCTGCTAACCTAGCAGTTCGAAAGCACACCAGCGCAAGTAGATAAATAGGTACTGCTGTGGCAGGAACGTGAACGGCATTTCCGTGAGCTCTGGTTTCCGTCACAGTGCTCTGTTGTGCCAAAAGTGGTTTAGTCCTGCTGGCCACATGACCCGGAAAGCTGTCTGTGGACAAACGCTGGCTCCCTCTGCATGAAGGGAGATGAGCACTACAACCCTATGGTCGCCTTTGACTGGACTTAACCCTCCAGGAGTACTTTACCTTTAATATTATTATTATTACTATTTAGGTTTCAATACCACCCTTCATCATAAGATCTCAGGGTGGTTCACAGAATATAATTGTGGAATGCCTTCCATAAAGAGGCTTGTCTGGCAGCTAAACTGTGGTCTTTTTGGCACCAAGTGATGATTATTATTTTTTTATCTCTACCCCACCCATCTGACTGGGTTGTCCCAGCCACTCTGAGTGGCTTCCATCACATATGAAAACATAATAAAACATTAAAAACTTCCCTAAACAGGTCTGCCTTCAGGTGTCTTCTAAAGGTTGCACAGTTATTTGTCTCCTTGGCATCTGATGGGAGCCACTCCAAGAAAACCCTCTGCCTGCCCTTTTTATTCTCCTATACTTTTCAGAAATTGTTTTGGCATTGCTTGTAAACTACCGTGATCCTCCATTGCTGGCTTTATTCTTGTCTTGTGCTGTTTTTGTTCCATTTTAGATTTTACGTACTGCTCTTCTTTATGGTTTTAGCCTTGATTAAGGTATACTGTCCCAAAAAATCAGTTATTGATCAGTATAGAAGTGTAGTAAACCATTTGTCCAGAGTTTTGATTGACTGCTGCTATTGATAGCTGCTATTGATATCCCTTTTCTGTTGCCTGAAAGATTTACCAGCCTGCATGCTACAGTTTTTGCTGCCTCCTTAAATGCCCAGCAACTAGCCGACTGTCTGCTCTTAAATCCAATGACTCAGACACAAGACAAGGAATGCTTCCTAATGAAGCCAAATTTGATAACGATCAAAAGCGGGACAGAATTTCCCAAGCCTGCCCAAACAAAACATTGTGTCCCCCAAGAGGACAATTCAGTTCCAGTTCTCAAATATCCTTGGTTAAACTGGAAGGTTATCTTGAGCAAGCAGGACACTAGCAGAAGCAGGAGGAAGAAGAAAGTTACAAGAAGCTGTGCCTTAGCAACTACCTGAAATAACTCTTAAGGGAGGAGAACAAGCATTGTGATTGAAGGGACTATCAGATCACTGTCAGAATTGTTATCCAGGACTAGGTTTCACTTCAGGCTGCTTGCTATGTTCAGAAAGAGTCCCCTCTCACAAGTCACTTAGATGACCCAAACACCAGAGGTGTTAGAAAGGCAGATCAAATTTAAAAAGAACAAAAAGAGGGATCCTCCTAGAACAACAACTTCCCCTGGAACTGGTTGTACTTCAAGTTTCCACCTGTTTCTACTGAATGCCTCTGCATAGTGTTGGGTCCAAAAGCTTCGTGCATTTTCTTTGTACACTGATACAGTTTGGGGAGAACAGTACAGTGGTACCCCGCAAGACGAACGCCTCGCAAGACGGAAAACCCGCTAGACGAAAGGGTTTTCCGTTTTGGAGGCGCTTCGCAAAACGAATTTCCCTATGGGCTTGCTTCGCAAGACGACAGCCCATAGGGAAATCTCAGGGACAGCGGGAAGCGCAGCGCGTCTTCCCACTGTCCTCGGACCTCCTCCGAGCCTGGCGGCGGGCGGGGACACCTCCTCCGCCGCCGCCGGGCTCGGAAGGCTCCTCCGAGCCGGGCGGGGAGGGAACACCTGCGCCGCCGCCGCCCGGCTTCGGAACGGTGCTCCGGCCGGGCGGTGGGGGAGGAAGACCTCCCCGCGCCCGGCTTCGGAACGGTGCTCCGAGCCGGGCGGGGGAGGGAACACCTGCCGCCGCCGCCCGGCTCGGAACGGTGCTCCGAGCCGGGCGGGGGAGGGAAGACCTCCGCCTCTGCCCGGCTCGGAACGGTGCTCCGAGCCGGGCGGTGGGGAGGAAGACCTCCCCGCCGCCCGGCTTCGGAACGGTGCTCCGAGCCGGGCGGGGGAGGGAAGACCTCCCGCCTCTGCCCGGCTCGGAACGGTGCTCCGAGGCCGGGCGGTGGGGAGGGAAGACCTCCCCGCCGCCCGGCTCGGAACGGTGCTCCGGGCCGGGCGGGGGAGGGAAGACCTCCCGCCTCTGCCCGGCTCGGAACGGTGCTCCGGGCCGGGCGGTGGGGAGGGAAGACCTCCCGCCGCCCGGCTCGGAACGGTGCTCCGAGCCGGGCGCGGGGGAGGGAAGACCTCCCGCCGCCGCCCGGCTCGGAACGGTGCTCCGAGCCGGGCGGGGGAGGGAAGACCTTCTGAAGGCGGGGCGGGGGCGAAGTCTTTGCTCCCCTGCCTGCCTGTCCCGGAGGGCTTTGAAGGCGGGGGAGCAAGACTTTCGCCCCCGCCCGCCTTCAGAAGAGGTCCAGGACCTCTTCTGAAGGCTGGCGGGGGCAAAGTCTTTGTCCCCCTGCCTGCCTTCCCAGGGCTTTAAATTGCCCCGGACAGCGGAGAAGTCCTCCGCTGTCCCGGGGTGATTTTAAAATGCCGCCCGCCAGCATTTTAAGATCGCCCGGACAGCGGAGAAGTCCTCCGCTGTCCCGGGTTTTTAAAATGCTGGGGTGGGAAGAAAAGCCATTGCCCCCCCCCCCAGCCTTCAGAAGAGGTCCGGGGACAGAATGGACCCGGACCTGGTCTGAAGGCGGTTTCCTAGGAACGCATTAATTGATTTTCAATGCGTTCCTATGGGAAACCATGCATCGCAAGACGAAAAACTCGCAAGACGAAGAGACTTGCGGAACGAATTAATTTCGTCTTGCGAGGCACCACTGTACAGCTGTGACAATGGAAGAACATTCCAAAAAGGTAGAACATCTGCTATGCATACAGACACGATCCCCGGTGGAATATGCTGGGTTGAACGGTGAGAAGCTGCTGTCAGTTGCCATTCTGAGTTCCTTGTGTCCCGGAGCTGAAGCCTGGATACACGGTGCGATGTAGCGGTGCGGCAGGCAGTGGTGCTGTGCATGGCAGTCAGCTCAGCGGAATCCCACCTTCGTTGCCAGTGAAATATATTCGGAGTCGAGTGTGAATTTCATGCTCTTTATTCAGCTCATAGTAGCAATGAATGAAACTTTCCCCAAAACATCTAGCTATATATACATTATTTACACAATGGGCCCCGCGAGATAGGCTAATTCTGGGCTGCTCCTGTAGGCCAATCAGGTTGCGGATTCACTCCTCCAGAAGCCTGACTGGCTGCTCCTGCAGGCCAATCAGGTTGCGGATTCACTTCCACCTGGAGCTGGATAGGGTGGCTCCTGTGGACCAATCAGACTGCTGCATTCTGAATCCTATTGTTCTAGGATTCAGCTCAGTACATAACACCTGGCATCACCAGGGATCAGAGAGACCCCTGCCTTGGAAGCCCTGGGGAGACACTGTCAATCAGTGTGGGCATCTCTGAGCTAGATGCCAGCATGGCGTAGTGGTTAAGAGCGGTGGACTCGCAATCTGGTGAACTGGGTTTGCATCCCCGCTCCTCCACACGCAGCTGCTGGGTGACCTTGGGCTAGCCACACTTCTCTGAAGTCTCTCAGCCTCACTCACCTCACAGAGTGTTTGTTGTCGGGGAGGAAGGAAAAGGAGATTGTTAGCCGCTTTGAGACTCCTTAGGGTAGTGATAAAGCGGGATATCAAATCCAAACTCCTCCTCTTCTTCTACTATTAATTGTCTGAAGAGATGCGAGGCTGCTTCCTGGTTCTTTAAAAACGGAACACTTTTCAAACACTCTTCTCATTCCTTGATGTGCAGCAGCGGAGCATGTTTTCATGGCACCCAGGGCACATGCGCCAGGTGAGGCACAGGGAGCAATCGGAGCCTGCCGCACACCAGCCCTTGGATCTGAACAGATCCCAGTCTCACAGAGCACCTCGGGGGCACGAGAAGGACACCGTTGCGTCCTTCTAGCCTCAAGGGGCTGGGATCAAAGGGCGCGTGACTGTTGCATCATTCTCACGCCACCCTCCCTGCGCCACTTTGCAAGGTTGGGATCTGATCAAATCCCAGCTGTTCAAAGCGGGAGGATGGTGTGAGCAGCACGCCCTCCAGAAAAATGTGTCCAGCGTTATCACCCTGGCAGCTCACCCCCCCAAACTACACCCCTGGTGATTAGTAGAGTGGGAACAGTCCTCACAGGAATGATCCATTGTCAGAGTTATACACAGAAGGTGGAATTCAGCGAAGGCTCCTTTCCAGGTGGACTGATCTCCCCTATCCTCCCATCATGAAATGTTTTGGAGGGTGTCTACCAACCCCCTGAGCAGATCTGCGGGGTGCACGGGGGGGGGGAGGGGAGAAGGGAGAAAGTCCCACTGCGCTAGTGGGACTGCTTGAGTGGGTTACTGTTAGGGCAGCAACTTGGTTGAATCTGGCCCTTAAAGGAGGAGCAGGCTAGTTTCTCAACGACAACAACAAAAGAAAGTGTTGCGTGTACATTTTGCCTCTTATTTCGGGATTTACAAATGATAGAAATGTATTCTCTGCTCCTGCACCCCAGACTTTTTTTTTTAAATGAAAGCTGGAAATCTGCCGGCTATGGTTCATCCGAGCAAGAAGCAATTTCCTCCCTTCCCTCACTGCAAGAAGTGAGGTTACAGGGAACCAGGCAGAGGGCCTTCTCGGTAGTGGTGCCCGCCCTGTGGAACGCCCTCCCATCAGATGTCAAGGAAATAAACAACTATCTGACTTTTAGAAGACATCTGAAGGCAGCCCTGTTTAGGGAAGTTTTTAATGTCTGATGTTTTATCGCGTTTTCAATATTCTGTTGGGAGCCGCCCAGAGTGGCTGGGGAAACCCAGCCAGATGGGCGGGGTATAAATAATAAATTATTATTATTCCCATGGAAGCCTATGGACCTCACCCCCAGTATCACATGCACTTCCAGCCCTGCTTCAACAAGGTATATGATTCTGTGCAAGGGCCAGAAAGCTGCATGCACCCAGGAATTCCACATGCAGCCCCACCCCATTCTCAAAGTCTGTAAGGTACATGTGGAGAAAGTGTTCCCAGACAATGCTGGGGTTGCCCTCCTTTGAAGGCCATTGTGTTCCACTGTAGACGTACAACAGCACACCACAAAACAGTAATAGCAAGGATACTTCTAAAGTGCAACTACAATTTAAAATTATTATGGTGCTAACTGCAGCATGCATCACCATTTTCTTATTGTCCTTTGTGGGCTTGTTAAAGCGATGTCTATGACAGGGGTCAGAAACCTTTTTCAGCAGGGGGCCGGTCCGCTGTCCCTCAGACCTTGTGGGGGGCCAGACTAAATTTTGGGGGGATGAACAAATTCCTATGCCCCACAAATAACCCAGAGATGCATTTTAAATAAAAGCACACATTCTAATGTAAAAACACGCTGATTCCAGGACCATCCGCGGGCCGGATTGAGAAGGCGATTGGGCCGCATCTGGCCCCTGGGCCTTAGGTTGCCTACCCCTGGTCTATGATGATGGGAGTTTTACAACAATAGGAGGGGTTTTGTAGTTGACGTGCACTTCATACAGAACAAAAACATGCCCACCACCTGTTGGGCTCCCTGAACCGATATTCTATTCAACAAGGATGACAAAGGCAGAAACATAAATAATAGACTTCAACTGGTGAACTGGAGATTCAGGAGGGGGAGAAGAGAAGGGGTCAAAAATATCTTAGTACAAAGGACGAAGCAGCAGCAGCTCTGAGCCAGGAAAAAAAAAAAGCAATAGTACAGTCATACCTTGGGTTACAGCCGCTTCAGGTTGTGGTTTTTTGGGTTGCGGACCGCCGAAACCCAGAAGTACCGAAACGGGTTACTTCTGGGTTTCGGCAGTCATGCATGCGCAGAAGCGCTAAATCGCACTTTGTGCATGCGCAGAGGCGCCAGATTGCAACCCGCGCGTGCACAGACATGGGTTGCGAACTTGCATCCCGCACGGATCACGTTCACAACCTGAGCGTCCACTGTTACTTAGAAACAGAAATCCTCTTGGTGGCATGGATTTGGGGTGGTACAAAAAGTTATTTTGGAAAGCGGAGGCATACCAACTTCAGTTCCTTATTCAAACAGCTTCTATATTTCTGTGTTGAATAAAATAATCAGGAACTGGGAATCAAGGTCAGCTCCATCTCCTCCTACAGGGTATCCTTTAGGTAGCAGCGCAGGTAGAAATTGGGAACTAAATGCGAGCATCCATTTAAGCCTCAAAGCTAAGCAATGAGCGAAAAGGTACAGAATCTAACAGCTGCTTTTGCTTCAGAGCACACAGAAGGCTATTCATGGAAGTTTTGAGGTTAGGACAAAGGACTTGGGAGCTAAGAGCGTTCTGGTTTTGAGAAGCTGATACAGAGAGAGTCAGTGCATGACCCCAGGGAAAGTCACTTGACTTTCTTGTGCTTCGGTCAACCCCTGAAAGGACAAGAAAGTGGGTCAGAGGCTGGGCAAGGCCTGGAGCTCAGGAGCCAAACAAAAACATCCACAAAGCAAGTTTCCTAGTCAACACCAGATGAAGAGACAAGACAACTCTCTTGAGGACACTCAAGAGCAGCCACTACAGGAAATGGAGAAGCTCCGATGCTGTCATGGTTTTCACGTGGCAATTCATTCCATAAATATCTTTTCAATACTTACACTTCTTTTTTTCTCCGCAGTTGCTTCCTCGGCTGCTTTCTGGTACCTTTGTGGGGAAAGGGGCAGAGAGAAGGGTTGGTGAGAGAAATGGAGAGAGAAATAGCTTTATTCTCAGTCCTAAACTTGCAGTCCTAAACCACAGAGCCTAGGACTTGCCGATCAGAAGGTCGGTGGTTTGAATCCCCGCGACGGGGTGAGCTCCCGTTGCTTGGTCCCTGCGCCTGCCCACCTAGCAGTTCAAAAGCACCTCAAAGTGTAAGTAGATAAATAGGTACCGCTCCAGCGGGAAGGTAAATGGCATTTCCATGCACTGCTCTGGTTCACCAGAAGCGGCTTAGTCATGCTGGCCACATGACCCGAAAGCTGTACGCTGGCTCCCTCGGCCAAAAAAGCGAGATGAGCGCCGCAACCCCAGAGTCGGTCACGACTGGACCTAATGGTTAGGGGTCCCTTTACCTTTACTTTTAAACTTGCAAAGTAAAGCACGCACAAAGTTTGTATGTGTGGGTCATTCGAGGATTTGCTAAATGTTGGATGACTGACAAGGCTGTTTGGCGAAGGAGAAAGAAGCCTCTAAACTTTTTCAGCAGGGGGCTGGTCCACTGTCCCTCAGACCTTGGGGGGGGCGGACTATAGGGGGGGGATGAACGAATTCCTATGCCCCACAAATAACCCAGAGATGCATTTTAAATAAAAGCCTGCATTTTACTCATGCAAAAACACCAGGCATGCCCCACAAATAACCCAGAGATGCACTTAAATAAAATGGCACATTCTACTCATGTAAAAACAAGCTGATTTCTGAACAGTCCATGGGCCGGATTTAGAAGGCGAATGGGCCGGATCCGGCCCCCAGGCCTTAGTTTGCCTACTCATGCTCTAAACCATATGGTGTCATAAGCCTGTAACAAAATATTCAGCAGCAGCAATAAACGTCTTAAGTGCCTCCATTAATCGTGGCATGAGCTTTCATATATGGCAAGCACCACCCTCTCGGTTGGTGGGTACAGATACATGCATGTGAATGGGTAGAGAAGGAGAAAATGGTAAAGTGACTGGAAACAACACATCACGCATCTCAGTAATCCACAAAAACCTATGCCACAATACATCCATTCAGTCTTTAGGATCCCACAAGACACACCCTGCAGCAGCAAATTGTTTTAAACTGTGCTTTAAGAGTTCTTTAAAAGCCAATTATATGACAAACTAGCAGTTTGGGTCACTGCAGGTGGTGACAGCAGCCACGAAATTAAAAGACGCCTGCTTCTTGGGAGAAAAGCAATGACAAACCCAGACAGCATCTTAATAGCAGAGACATCACCTTGCCAACAAAGGTCCATATAGTTAAAGCTATGGTTTTCCCAGTAGTGATGTATGGAAGTGAGAGCTGGACCATAAAGAAGGCTGATCGCCAAAGAATGGATGCTTTTGAATTATGGTGCTGGAGGAGACTCTTGAGAGTCCCATGGACTGCATGAAGATCAAACCTATCCATTCTGAAGGAAATCAGCCCTGAGTGCTCACTGGAAGAACAGATCCTGAAGCTGAGGCTCCAATACTTTGGCCACCTCATGAGAAGACTCCCTGGAAAAGAGCCTGATGCTGGGAAAGATTGAGGGCACAAGGAGAAGGGGACGACAGAGGATGAGATGGTTGGATAGTGTTCTCGAAGCTACCAGCATGAGTTTGACCAAACTGCGGGAGGCAGTGGAAGACAGGAGTGCCTGGCGTGCTCTGGTCCATGGGGTCACGAAGAGTCGGACACGACTAAACGACTAAGCAACAAAGCAGTTTGGGGGAGATTAAGCCCCCTGTGGCCTCTGACTAAGAATGGTTAAAAGCCCTTAACTCACAATGCAGTTTGAAGTGGAGCTGCTCTGCATTTAAATGCTCAACTGTCCCCAAATAAAAGCCATTTGGAGGAGACACCAGAGTCAGCAGTTCTTGATAAGGCCTGGTTACCACACCCATGACTAATGTTCACCGGATAACCTCTTCCCTGAATTTCCTAAGTATTCTTTCCGTAGCCTGCAGATATGCACTCAGTCCTTCTTGCAAGCCATTCTTCAGCTGCATGTACCACACAATGGACCCAGCAGACAAGCATCTCTCAGGTGATTTATTCTTAACTCGGACCACCAGGAATGTGGAACCCACCCACTTTCAAGGTCAGGGTTCCCCAGCATGTGGGTCAGGCACATACACTGTGCTCCTGCGCATGAGGATGGGGGGGTTTACTGGTTCTGTGGCATTAGGAAAGGGATTGGAAGAAATTTAAAGTCTATTTGAATAAATATTGTAATATTAAAAATTAGAAGTTACCTGAAAGTACCAGATAGGCCTAGGATTAAATTAGGAGTTAATTAAATAAATGAGATTTAGAATGTTAAGAAAAGTTAAGAAATCTGATTTTAATTGGAATATTGTCTTTGAATAATGATATTGGAAAGCTGTTACATTCAGTTACAAGGAAATTCAGATGGGAGGGACTAGAGGAAGTCAAGCAATATGTTTATGAGGTTGGAACTTTAATTAATTAATTTGTATTGTTTATGTGTTTGTTGTTATATCTTCTGTTTTTATTCATTTTAGTTGTTTTATATTTTTGTTTTATTTGTTTTACAGTATGTGTTATATTTGTATGAAACTCAATAAACATTATTGTGGGAAAGAAAGGAAGATCACAGGACATCTCTGGTCCCTCCTAAAGCCCTACAAGGGAAGGTCAAAGGAATAAAACAGTATCTCTGAATCCATTTTTCAAACCAGGTTAGGAATTTGAGGCAAAAGGAGTACAGCCCTCCTGGTTCACAAAAATTCAGTGCACCTCAGCAAGGTTCTTGGACGGGGTGGGGGCTGGGGGAGCATTTCTTTATTTTATTCACAGTATTTTTATACCATTCATTATCAGTATGTTCTAGGGGTCGTACACATTTAAACATGCCTGCTTATCGTCTCCCAAAGCAACTATTCTGAACTTAAAAATGGAAAGCGTAATGCTGGTGGTCAACAAAAGAGGTTTAAAGACTCTCTCAAGGCAAATGGGGGAAAAAATGTTGTATAAACACCGACACCTGGGAAACACTGGCCTGCAAGCGCTCCAATTAGAGAACAGCCTTGACCAAAGGTATCATGGGCTTTGAAGACGCTCAAACTCAGGACAAAAGGGAGAAATGTACTAAGAGGAAGGCACACTTGGCAAACCCTCACAATGATCAACTCCTGCCTGGAAACCTATGTCTTCACTGTGGAAAGACGTGTGGATCCAGAATTGGCCTCCACAGTCACTTACTGCCAATTCTGGATCCACACGCCCTTCCACAGTGGGAACATAGGTTTCTCGGTGGGAGTTGATCATGGTGAGGGTTTGCCAAGCATGTCTTTCTCTTAGCACGTTTCTCCCTTTTGTCCTGAGTTTGAGCGTTAAACTGACTTACTGTTAAAACCGTGTTCATGGAAGACATCTTATTCGGCTACGAGTGATCGCCAAAGAAGAATAAAATTTAAACAAACCTACAATATGAACACTCCACCTATCCAGGGCTTTCTTCCAGCCGGAACTCAGTTCTAGCACCTCTCAGGTGGGCGCCATTGCCATCCTCAGAGAATGAGGGATGCATTCATGGCAAGTTCCGGCACCTCTTTTTCTAGAAAAATAGCATGGCGCCCTACCCCTGTTCTGACTGGCGTGGAATATATGGCGCCACCTGCCTCAGGATCCTACCCCTCCTGCTTCAGCACCATAGCCGCACAACCACATTTTCCCAGGCACCTCAGGAGTGTGGAAGTGATGGAATTCCAAAGATGCAATTTTGGCCATTTGCCAAGATGGCTTTGGAAGGGGACTTGACAAATTCATGGAAAACAGGTCTACCAACGCCTGTTAGCCATCATGGCGGCTATAGGAAATTTCCGTGTTAAGCAGCAGCAGCAGCACAACACTGAATGCCAATGACTGGGAAGAAAGAGATTGTCATCATGTCTTGCTTGCGGCCTTCCCAGAGGTATCTGGTTGACCACTGTAGGAAACAGTTTATATATTTTCTCCCAGTTTATGTATTAGGAGGAATTAAAGAACCTTTTAATGAGGGTGAAAGAGGAGAGAGCAAAATGTGGTCTGAAGCTCAACAGAAAAAAAAACTAAGATCATGGGCACTGGGCCCATCACCTCCTGGGAAATAGAAGGGGACGAAATGGAGGCAGTGAGATACTTTACTTTCGTGGGCTGCATGATCACTGCAGATGGTGACAGCAGCCACGAAATTAAAAGACGCCTGCTTCTTGGGAGAAAAGCAATGACAAACCCAGACAGCATCTTAAAAAGCAGAGACATCGCCTTGCCAACAAAGGTCCGTATAGTTAAAGCTATGGTTTTCCCAGTAGTGATGTATGGAAGTGAGAGCTGGACCATAAAGAAGGCTGATCGCCAAAGAATTGATGCTTTTGAATTCTGGTGCTAGAGGAGACTCTTGAGAGTCCCATGGACTGCAAGAAGATCAAACCTATCCATTCTTAAGGAAATCAGCCCTGAGTGCTCACTGGAAGAACAGATCCTGAAGCTGAGGCTCCAATACTATGGCCACCTCATGAGAAGAGAAGACTCCCTGGAAAAGACCCTGATGTTGGGAAAGATAGAGGGCACAAGGAGAAGGGGATGACAGAGGACGAGATGGTTGGATAGTATTCTTGAAGCTACCAGCATGAGTTTGACCAAACTGCGGGAGGCAGTGGAAGACAGGAGTGCCTGGCGTGCTCTGGTCCATGGGGTCACGAAGAGTTGGACATAACTAAACGACTAAACAACAACAACAAAGGGGAATACATGTTAAGCAATGTTAGATATAGAAGCTAGGTGCCAAATGGCTCCTTAAACCAGGGTCTCTAAAACGGAATGCCTAGTTTCCATTTTGGGGGCTAGATGGCTCAAAAGTCATATTTTTTTTATTACGACTTTTTGGCTCCTGAAATCCACTCTGATTGTGCAGATAAAATATAATGGATGGAATTCTACTTGATGCATTACTAGTGTGTGAAAACAGTCAAGATCCAAGGATCCCCTGGCATACACCTCCAGATGGTGGAGACGCCAGGCACCATCTTGGCTCTCAGGCATCTTCATTTGGTTGCCGGTGGCCAACAGCCAGGTGCAAAATGCGTCTGGCGAATTTCAAATGCTGATGGTAACAGTCCCTGCAATTTATAACTCTGTGCAGTAGATTAGGATGGGAGATAGTGACTGGTTCAAGGTCAACCACAATGAGCTTCACGGCTGAGCGTCAATGGTTGGGCAGCAAGGTTTCCTGGGTGCTGCTCTAACACTCTTCAGCACCTCAATTCGCTGTCTCCCTTATGTGGCAGGGGGTTCATTCCCTGCCACTTTATCATTTTGCTAGGCTGGAGAAACAGTACGAATCAAAGAAGAAAGCTCCTACTTTTGCATCTCTCCCTGCACCCTGTGCTCCAAAATGTTGAATTTTACACGGGATAAGTGGATAAATAAAAGCATCTTCACGCTGGCCCAGCCCAACTCTTCTTGCCACTGGGTGGCATCTGACCACAATAAATGTGCCAATGTGTTGAAGCATAATTGGAAGCAAATAAATGCAGGGCGTTTATAGTTCTGAAATCCTAGAAGCAAAAAATGGACCTGCTGGCCAGGGATTATGTAGCACTAGGATTCAGAGAAGCAGTGCTGGATCTGGAACAATACTTCCAAAGCGGGAGATATAGATAGATACAGACAGACAGACAGACAGATATTCCTTGTTTTAAACGCTCATTTTTGTAAGGGGCTTTGAGTTTCACTTTTTAGGAACAGGGAACTAATAAATATAACTATATAAATATGGACAATCCATATATAGACACACAATCCACACTGATAGTTTTCCTGAAGACTCTGGATTGTTTGGGATTCTACTGCACTTTCTAAAAAGAGCCCAACAAAGTACTCATTGGCGGTGTTGTGCAAGTACAGGATCAGGACATTATTAGTACAAAAATCAGGTGTCTGTTAACCGCATGCTGAACTGTTGGGGGGGGCCTCTATTTTTGAGTGGGTAAGAAAATTACACACAAGCACTGGCAGAAGAAACGTCATGTTAAGCCTCTTAACAGGCCACATTTCTTAAGCAACAAGGTGTTTTAAAATATTCAGAGTGGCTAGCCTCCCATGCCCCACATTGAATGCTTCCACATGCAGCCAGTTCCAATTTCTGTCAGCGGAGAAGGCGTTGTCATGTTCATACCAGCTAGGATTGCTGAAAGCATGGATTACAAAAGCCAACTCCTTTTGATTCTATTATTTCCTCCTTCAGAAACCTCAAACTGAGCTGCTATCTCTATCAGGAATCCAGTGGAAGCATTTCCTGAAAACACTTAAGGTAGATGATTTGGCAAGCTACACACCTTAGCTACCACGATGTTTGTTTTCCTAGTTCAACAAAAACATGGTGACATTCCCCAATACTCTGTTCAGTAATCTCTGCAAAGGAGAACAGCTCTAATACACAGGGGCTCAGTTCTGACATCACAGCAAACACTGGTTGAGTGTGACGTCTGAATTGACAACCCATAATCACAAATGCACCTCCAGAGGCCATTAAAATAAGAAATGCAGAGAAGACAGAACAAAAAGCAAACAAGTTGTTAAAGCATAACTCGCCTGTACACCTGGGAAAGTCAAACCCAGTATACCTGAAGGAACATCTCCACCCCCATCGTTCAGCCTGGACACTGTGGTCCAGCTCTGAGGGTCTTCTGGTGGTGCCCTCACTGTGAGAAGTGAGGTTACAGGGAACCAGGCAGAGGGCCTTCTCAGTAGTGGTGCCTGCCCTGTGGAACGCCCTCCCATCAGATGTCAAGGAAATAAACAACTATCTGACTTTTGGAAGACATCTGAAGGCAGCCCTGTTTAGGGAAGTTTTCGATGTTTGATCGTGTTTTTAATATTCAGTTGGGAGCTGCCCAGAGTGACTGGGGAAACCCAGCCAGATGGGCGGGGTGTAAATAATAAAATTGTTGTTGTTGGGTTCTAATTTACAGGAATACAAAACCATGGTTTGGAGGGATGGGAATGTCCAGATTAAGCCAGAGGGAAGACCTATGTCAAGAATAATGTTCAGTTTCTCTAGCACAGGAGTAGAATCATAGAATCCTAGAGTTGGAAGGGACCACGGGGGTCATCTAAGCACAACCCCCTGCAGTGCAGGAATATTTTGCCCAATTTGGGGCTCAAACCCCAGATTAGGAGTCTCGAGCTCTTCAAAATACATACAAAAAAACCAATATGGCCAGCTGCTAGTTGTTACCACTGTTCTCACAGAAAGAACAGTCAGTACTCTTGGACAGGACAGTCGCAGAACTTACTTGGAGAACCTCTCCATGAGAGCCGATGACTTGTTCTTGTTGACAAAAGACAACTCCTTGGCAGTGATCCTCAGAGAATGCGAAGTCCATTGCCTTCTGTTAAAGGGAGACGGCTCCATCTTGAAATGCCACAGCAACTAGAGCGCGAAGGGGGAAAAAGATTTTACATCAAATACTTCTCTTGCTCCATGGCAGACTTCTACATTTCTCTTCATTCCACTGCCTGCTCTCAAGTTGTTTTTTAAAAAAAGGCTTAACTGGTTTCATGCAAGATTCCCTGAAATATGCCTGAAGAAATATTAAGTTGAATTACTAAAAAAGAAAAACATATCCACAGCAACACCTGCCCCCCATCTTATAGTTACGTAATCTGCACTACAAGAGGAGGAGGTTACAGTTGAGGAGCCTCAGCAAACGCAGTTCCCATGCAAACACTTCTCAATGAGTTATGGATAAGTTCAACCGTAGTGGAAGCTTTATATTGCAATACTAGCTGATTATCTTGAAGAAAAAAAGCCAAGCACAGCAGAAATAATGGGTGGTAGCCAACTAACTTATTCCAACTCTTCCTCCCCTCTCCTCCCCAAAACTGTTCGCAGGGCTCCCCAAACAATTTGGAGAAGATATGGGGAAGATGCAGAGAAAAGGAGGTTGTTCTATTGCACAAGCATAAATCCTTGCACTGACAAAATGGGTTAGTTGGCTGCCATCCCCCGCATCCCTGCTCAAACTATTTTAAACTACAATTTGAAGTACCGTATTTTTCCATCTATAAGATGCCCCCATGTATAAGACACCCCCTATTTGGGGGGGACCCCAAAAATTAAGAAAATACCCCTCAACATTACTTGTGTATAAGACAAGCCCCAATTTTAAACCTATTTTTTTGGTTAAAAAAACAAACAAAACCACTTAGTGTTATACACGGAAAAATACGGTAAATCAAAGGCAATGCAATAAGCATAGCTCAACTCATTTATGGATCTGAAGCCTATGGGTGGCATTATGTTCATTGCAAAGGCTGCTTGAAATGAATGAAACCCAGCCAGATGGGCAGGTATAAATATTATTATCATCATTATTATTATTAACGACACTAAAAGAAGAAATCTAGCCAATGTCCAAGCCCTACACTAACTATGGCACAACACCGGCTAAGAACTAATCAATTATACTGCAGGTATCAGGAATGAATAACTTCTGAAGCATCTGAAAGGTAGACAAAAAAATTAACCAATAGCATCCTTTCCCAAGGTGAGTGTGCATTTCCCCCAAGTTACCATGAACTGCATGAAAGTTAGCAGCATTGTAATCTCTTTCCTCTGGATTCCATCATCATAATGTTATGAGTCTGGGGGTTCTAGACTCCCCCTAAAATGCTGGATCCTGTAAAGAGCTAGAATTTGATCAAGCTTCCTGAACCTCTGGATCCAGCCATAGTTAAAATGTAAGTCAGGCCAGCTTCTTCAGAAGACAACCTGAATGATGATGCTTTTATCACCCTATTTTTCATTCTATAAGATGCACCCAGCCATAAGACGCACCTAGTTTTAGAGGAGGAGAACAAGGAAAAAAAAATTCTCTCCCTCTCTGCGCAGCACCCCTTCAGCGAAGCGGCAGGAGAAATCAAGCCCCTTACATTTCTCCTCCCGCTTCGCTGAAGGGGCGCTGCGCAGAGAGGGAAAGCTGTGGAGCGCCTCTCCAGCGAAGCGAAGCCAGGAGAGCAAGAGGAATCGGTGCGCATCAACCCCTCTTGCTCTCCTGGCTTCAGCGAAAGCAACGCAAAGCCTCCAGAGGCTTCAGGCAGCTATCCCTGAAGCCAGGAGAGCAAGAAGGGTCGGCTTTGCGTTGCTTTCGCTGAAGCCAGGAGAGCGAGAGGGGTCGGTGCGCACGATCCCTTTTGCTCTCCCAGCTTCAGGGATAGCTGCCCGAAGCCTCCGGAGCACAGCGGAAGCGCTCCTGCTGCACTCCGGAGGCTTCGCGTTGCTTTCGCTAAAGCCATGGAGCCTGCATTCACTCCATAAGACGCACACACATTTCCCCTTACTTTTTAGAAGGGGAAAAGTGTGTCTTATAGAGCAAGAAATACAGTATTTATTAAATTTGTATACTGCCATTCTTCCGAAGATCCCTGTTCACAAAATGAAAACACCAAAATACATAAGAGATGGGCCATTAAAGAAGAACTAAAAGAGGGTCATTAACAAAGCGAGGATTTGTTATTATTACTATTAATAATTACTATTACTACTACTACTACTACTACTATATACGCATAAAGTGTTTTCCCGAGTATAACATTGGGCAGAGCTGGACAGGGGGAGAGGGATAGTGTAAACAGCAACATCAGAAGGAAGTGCCAAAAAAAAAGAAAAAAGACAGTGGTAATTACATAGTTAAAAGTTATCTGGTAACACAAATTTCCCTGACCTTGGTATGCCAATCAACAGAGATAATGTGCTAAAAACCCTTTGTCTCTGTTCAATCCGCAAGCAATAACATTGAAGTTCCTGGTGAATTGTAAGGCACGCTGCAGTCTCCCTTTGAAGTATAATACGCTCCGGGGATGTTCCCCTAATAGCTTTTGAATAATGTCATTTCTGATGTCAGATTTGTGTCCATTTATTCTTTTGCATAGGGACTGGCCTGTGTTGTCCTATGAGGAATATAGAAGGGGCATTGCTGGCAGATGGTGGCATATATCACGTTGGATGAGTAAGGGATGAATGAACCCTTGATTTGTGGATGACATTATTACGTCCTGTAACAGTACTGCCAAAGGAGACACAGGGACAGAGCGGGCATCGGAGTCTGCCAAAACAAACAACACGAGGCAGTCATTCAGGCAAATTGACGGGCGAGGGAGGGCCGATTTCCCCATCTCTGCTCACTCTGAGATTTTAAGAAGGGGAAGAGATCTACTGAGGGAGGTGAGGTGCACTACATCAAACATCTTAAATCTCATTTTGCAGGCAGCCCGCAGGCGAAGGAAAGCTAACCAGGAGACACTGCTCACTTAAATCCAAGTTCCAAAACCAGATGCAGAGGCCCAACAGCAGCAAGACCCTGTTCAAATTAAGTATGAGAACTGGTTCTTCTACTTTGCTAGCTTGGGAAACTGACCTGACCACAGAAACCAATCTAGAGGAAGTTACATTCCCCTGGGTGGAGGTTGACCCGAGGGACAGACTCTTTCTATTCTCTGGAATAATAAGAGGAGCAGCAGCAGCAGAAAATGACAGGAAAAGGCCACAAGAGCAGGGCTTGGCGAATTCAGTTAAAAGCACAGGTTCTCACGCACATACGCATTCATAAGGGGATGAGAAAGCATAGCAATAACATGAAGCACTAAGCAGGGCAAATTGGGGAGGGTGGAGTACAGACCTTTGGCCTCAGACACAGCCAATTTTTAAGCATTTGGCAGGTTCCCCAACTTGCTCCTGTGTGCATGAGATCCAAAGCTGAAAATTTAAGCACGCAAGGGATGCGATCTGCTCAAAGAGCGTACAGTGGTACCTCGGGTTACATACGCTTCAGGTTACATACGCTTCAGGTTACAGACTCCGCTAATCCAGAAATATTACCTCAGGTTAAGAACTTTGCTTCAGGATGAGAACAGAAATCGTTCTCCAGCGGTGCGGCAGCAGCAGGAGGCCCCATTAGCTAAAGTGGCGCTTCAGGTTAAGAACGGACCTCCGGAACGAATTAAGTACTTAACCCGAGGTACCACTGTATATTATAGCTGTCAACCTTCCCCTTTTTTTACGGGAAATTCCCTTATTCTAGCGCAGTTTCCCGCTGCTATCCTGGATAGTTAGATATCCCATAGACTGTCCCTGGGACAGGTGAGGCTGCTGATCCCTTATTTTCAAATCTGAAAGTTGACAGCTATGCCGTATATGGACTCTCTGGGGTGTTTCCTAATATCACAATTGCACTGCATATTTGTCGGTTTGCCTGCATCAGTGGCTTCAGGTTAACGCACCTTCCAACATGTCGAAGCAGGTAATGAACTATCACCATTCAACTATGGGACAAGAGGTTCCCCGTCCGTCATTTGCGCAATCCAGGCAAACACGTTTGGCCCCTAGACAAGCCAGTACAGACTAGGCTAGAACCCTTCCCTTGTTTGTAGCTACTTTCCCGTGTGCCAATGTTTTCTCTCTTTCAAACTAGCATTTCAGCATGCTAAGCTCCCAACCTCTGGCCCGGCCACAATGTTGTGTCTCTGCAGTTTGTGTGAACCTTGCCCTAAGCTGCCAAGACAGAGACAGCCGTCATGCAAACCAGTGCAGGGATGTAGGTTCATGTCACTTGTCCCTGGAATGGGCGCAAAAGTTTTTCTGTACGCCACAACAGCTGCGAGAATATTGCTAGCGAAGAATTGGAAGAAACAAGATTTACCAACTATCGAAGAATGGCAGATGAAGATGATGGACTATATGGAACTTGACAAACTGACCGGGAGACTCCGAGACCAGAGAGAAGAGACAGTGGAAGAAGACTGGAAGAATTTTAAGGAATATTTGAAAAAATATGTTAATATTTAAACCTTAGAATAGCTTTGGAAGTGGATATAGGCTGTAGGGTTAGAAACAGAAAATAGGGTATTTTAAAATAGTATTATTTGTAAGTGATAAAATGTGAAGTTATTTTAAGTGTGATTAAAAAAAATATGTTTAGAAATTATGATGTATGTAAACTGCTAAAGATGAAGTAAAATGAAAATCAGATAGGTGGGACTTGGGGAAGCCCACTTAACAATCTTTAGAAAAAATAAGGGTATGACAAGAATTTGCTTGTATTGCTTGTTTTTCTGTTTGTGTTCTTTATTTGTGTTATAAAATGAAGAAAAAAATTGAGGGGGGGAAATGGAATGGGCGCAATAGTTCGGCCTTAAGTATAATGCCACACAGCCGTTGCACAAGCAAGTTGAGCAGTGCGTGTCAACCTTGCGATGGATCACCAGCTAAACATTGTGATATATCACTATATATCGCGCTGTCTGAAATAAGGATGGAGGCATTGGCTGGCTTCATGGTTTTCCCCGCACTGTGGTTATTTGCTGGCGCCTGCCCTTGTGATTCGCTGCCCCCTACAGGAGCCAGGGGAGAGCTGAGCCGGCCAAGTTAAGAGGGGCTGCAGGAATCGAGAGAAACATTGTCTGGCGTCACGCTTTTCCCTACATTGTGATTTTTGCACAGCGTGCGCACGAACGCACCATAATTCACAATATATTGCCAGGTCAAAAATAATGAAACCGGTATCACGATATGGGCTTCAAACCAGTTTTGGGCAATATATCTCACCACCCTAGTGCCAACTGGGGGCAGGTAAGGGGAGGAGGGAAAAAAGCTACACACTAAACAGAATTGTAGAGTTGGACAGGATCCTGAGGATCATGCAGTCCAACCGCCTGCAATAGAGGAATATGTAGCCGTCCCATACAGGGATCGAACCTGCAACCTTGGCTTTATTAGCACCACCCTTGAACCAACTGAGCTCTACAGGCTGCTCTATACATTTGGATCCTTAAGAGGTCAGTAACATCCAGAATGCTGCAGCTAGACTGGTGACTGGGAGGGGCCACCGAGACCACATAACACCGGTCTTGAAAGACCTACATTGGCTCCCAATACGTTTCCAAGCACAATTCAAAGTGTTGGTGTTGACCTTTAAAGCCCTAAACGGCCTCGGCCCAGTATACCTGAAGGAGCGTCTCCACCCCCATCATTCTGCCTGGACACTGAGGTCCAGCGCCGAGGGCCTTCTGGTGGTTCCCTCGCTGCAAGAAGCCAAGTTATAGGGAACCAGGCAAAGGGCCTTCTCAGTAGTGGCACCCGCCCTGCAGAACGCCCTCCCACCAGATGTCAAAGACAACAACAACTACCAGACTTTTAGAAGACATTTGAAGGCAGCCCTGTTTAGGGAAGCTTTTAATGTTTAATAGACTATTGGATTTCAATATTCTGTTGGAAGCCCCCCAGAGTGGCTGGGGAAACCCAGCCAGATGGGCAGGGTATCAATAATAAATGATGATGGTGATGATGATGATGATGATGATGTTCTTAGAGGTCAGTAGCAAGAACACAACAGTCTGCATTAAGACAAACGTACCAAGTTCTTCCTTATGAGCCTCCAAACAAACAAAAAGGGCGTCTTTTGCCTGGTAAAGCAACCAGCTCAGGGGGTACATGGCACTGCCAGAGGGAGCACAAAAAACAATGCGGTAAGAATGATTTAGCTCCACTTGGAAAATAAGACTGAGAAGCACGGAACATCAACCACTGCCAGTGGCATTAAACACCACAGGTGTTGCATGAGCTCACGCATATGAAGGCTGCCAACCATTTAAACGTGGATTAAGTTTAAATAAGTTTGCATTCCACGAAAACTTTGCTATGGACCCCTTTCTGAGCTATTGCAGCATAAGGATTTAATATTAAAAGATGAGCTTTCTTACCAACACTACTTGGTGTGTTGCAGAGACACACCAGCAACAAAATAGCCTCAAACAATGAATAAGTGTGCGACTCAATCTCAGCCCTGCAGACTAATCCTGCAGATTAAACTCACTACATATATTACTCTCCTCCCTCCTGCTCTGTCTTGCATTAGACTAATGTTTTATGCCACTGTATCTCAATACATGGGACGCGGGTGGCGCTGTGGGTTAAACCACAGAGCCTAGGGCTTGCCGATCAGAAGGTCGGTGCGACGCTCCCGTTGCTCGGTCCCTGCTCCTGCCAACCTAGCAGTTAAAAGCACGTCAAAGTGCAAGTAGATAAATAGGTACCACTCCAGCGGGAAGGTAAACGGTGTTTCCATGCGCTGCTCTGGTTCGCCAGAAGCGGCTTAGTCATGCTGGCCACATGACCCGGAAGCTGTACACCAGCTCCCTCGGCCAATAAAGCGAGATGAGCGCCGCAACCCCAGAGTCAGCCACAACTGGACCTAATGGTCAGGGGTCCCTTTACCTTACCTATCTCACTACATTGGAGACTTTTGATAGGCACAGCCCCACAATTTCATATTACACATTCATTCGGTAATAATAGGATTATGTTTGCTTACAAACCGATTGCGACCATAATTTATATGTTCTTCTTTACCGCTTTTTTTTAAAAAAGGGTGAAGCTTCTCCAACTGCAAAATGCTATCTCGGATGGCTGCGAAAGCGCCGTTTTAAGTGCCAATATGGACTTTCAGGTCTACAGGCTATTGATTTCGGCAGAACGCATTGGTTCCATTTAACTGTTCCATACTGTGCTGTGTCAACCACCAAGAAAGGCTTTCTGGAAGGACTGAATTGCGCATTGTGGAAGACCCCATAGAAGGCATTGGCCTCACTCTTAGGCCTCCCCGTTGCCCGACAAACTGAGCATGCTCTGGAACATTTGTCTCCCTCCACCTGCAGATTCAGGGCAGGACCGGCTCTCGCACCCAGAGCTTGCTTGCCAGTACTGAGCATCTCACAGAGGGATGGCTGATAAGCTTCCAAGGAAGTCCAGAGTTCCCTCCGAACAAAATTAGTAAAGTTCATCCAGGTCGATGGCTTTCACTCCCCGGCTTTTTCTCTTCCCGGCATGCGCTGGTTCAGGACAGCTAAGTGGCTTTTGGCTTTTTCTCTGGTTAATGTTTACACATGAACACTCATCTGCAGAGCAAACATTGCCTAGGTAGGTCCTCTTGCCGCTCCCCATGAAACAGAAGCTTTGGAGAGCGACAAATGTGGACTTTAGGATCCCAAAGAAGCCTTGCATGGTTTAGGGAGTACAGAAGCTGATCCATAGCTGGGGAACCAGTCAGCTTTGCTTAAGTCAGGAGTTCTGAAATTCAATACAAGCCGTGGGGAGGGGGGGGGAGGCACAGAAAGCTTTAACACAGAGACTGCTAGGTGCCCCACAGCCTCCTCAGCAACTACATACAAGTCAGAAGCAGAGAACAGCACGTTCTGAAGCAACAACAGAAAACTTGCAGGCTTTTGCTAAAGCTCAGCCCCGTCCAGCAAGCTTCAGCTGTGACGTTCACTCTGCCCTACAAATTATTGCTAAGAAAAACAGGGTAAGAAAGGTGAAAGTCTGAAAGCGATTTGGAGAGCTCAGTAGCTTTATGGCTTTTTTCTCCTCGGCCCAGAGTCCACTTGCCCTCTAAACGAGCGCTTAGAGAGAAAGGTATTTGCGACTCACCTTAACGACGAAACTGCCTCCACAACAACTGAGTAAGAAGCTTACAGAACTGCAAAAGCACCAGAGAATGTTTTGCCTTTTTGTGCATCTGTAGAAACATGCAAAGGCACTGGCACACGCTTGTACCTTTGCCAAGAGTACAAATATTTTCAGGTACATCTGGGAGCCAGGCATTTCGTAAGAGTTTTGTTTTTTGATTATTAGTGGGAATTAAGGGGAAAGTTTAAGATAAACAGCTTATTTTGCGAACATTATGCTCTGGAAAACTCAAGGATTAAGGCTGGTTTTAATAAAAGTATCTCTCAATTTCAGGCACTGGTTAAAGCCCAATATTGTGATGCTACCAGTACAAGAAAAGCATTGCCCCTTTCCAATGAAGTTATGAAAGCGTGAGGCTGCTGCGGAGATCGCACAAATTTTGTAACAGATTTGCATCAGAGCAGCAATGATTCAGTAGACAGTTCCTGCATTAATCCCAGGGAATGCAATATCAAATGTCCTGGACCCTGCAGCCGGGGAAGCATGCATACATTTTATCATTATACCAGCAGCGTGGTTCACTGTGTAGTGACATGACAAGGGCCTTTTCGGCTATGGCATGCCACATGTGGAAGAGGCAAGATGGCAACTAGGGTGGCACAATCCCACCGCCAAGTCAAAAATAACTTTTTCTCCAGGGCCTTTGGAGGGATTGAACTGGCTGCCCACAGGCTTGAACTTTTCACTCTGCACTGCTGCGTTTTACCAAAGAGGGTTTTGACTTGTATAATATAATTGTTTTAGAATAACATGAAGTGCCTGCAGTCTATAGGATACGTTGGTCTACAAATCTAATAAATAACATAATAAATATTTGTGCTACGCCTGTAAACCATGTCTGAAGCCATGATTATCATTAACATTGGCAGGTTTTATGATCGAGACAGCCAAGGGTGTTGTTTGTTTCAGAAGTGATAACATTACCAGTCTGTTCGTTTTCCCTATGAATTTCAGTCTGCATTCTCTTTACTCACATGGACGTCACTAAGTAAACACATTGCGGACATATCTAAGGTTTCTCATCCCCAGAAACCTTTGGGTGATTATCAAGCGCATTGTTAATCTTTAAAGGAGATAAAAGTTTCTTAGCAAACACGAGATCGTCACGTCACTCCCACTTCAAAGTTATCCATTCCGGGATAAGGGAGGAATTTTCACTGAGTGCACCAAGGCTACTCCAGAATGAGGACATTAAATGGCTGTCCACTTCCTTCAGTTGTCCCTCACCTGCTCTTCCGAGTTTCTTGAAGCGCTGTAGTATTGATGTTAAAACTACATAGCTCTCCCGCAATGATGGCAGTTCTGTGTTTGGGATGTTCATTATCTGTCTTATCCAACAAAGTTTGTATATTCCATGTTCCAAAGTTCAATTGTCTTTTATGACCGCTGGGTGGTGACCCCACTGGGTGCGGTAATCCAGTCAGGGAAACTGGGAGGCAGACTATGTTCAAGGCACCTTTTCTAGCCTCTCCCCCTTTTGGGGGTGAGCAGAGTAGATCCCAAATAGGGCTGCTCAGTCATGGATACAGCTGCCGAGCTGCTCACCTGCCTCATTCCTTGAGTCAGAGCAACTGAATCTGTATCCACTGCCCATGTGCCGGTTCATGACTAGGGGCTTCCAGATTTCACAGTCCTGCCCCCATTACAATTTGCTGGTCGCTATGGGACTTTTGGGGTGTGGGTTTAGGATGGGTTTTTGGAAAACGCCTGTGCGTGAATTTATGTGTGTAGATCAGTGCACGCTGACCAACGCACAGTCTTCACAGCAAGGCTCTATTCCGATGGCATGAGCATCACGACGACTGGTAGATTCTTATCTGCTGCAGCCTTCATCCGCCTTCACAGCCGTCATAACATAAGGCTTGTTATCATCTACCAGTTCTGCCGTTGAGGACTTCTTAGATCATTCTTTGTCTAGCTCCTTCCCTTTGACCTTACTGACTTGGGTGACCCTGCTGGGAGTATGAGATTCCCAACGGCTTTGCTCACAAGGATCATAGGAACGTGCAAGCCCAGTCACCACGACAAGGTGAGTCACTTACAGACTCACTGTTAAAACCGTGTTCATGGAAGACAATCTTACTTGGCTACAAGCGACCGCCCAAAGAAGTTGTCCACTTCCAGCCACGACTGCAGCATCACACCCAAACTCAGTATCTATACCAGCCTGTTCAAAGCACAAGGCTAATAATAATAAATAATAATAATTTATTAATTATGCCCCACCCATCTGGCTGTGTTTCCCCAACCACTCTAGGCTGGGAAGGAGGATAATACATTTTCCAACTGCATTTCTTTATCGGAGCCTTTTCTGCCCATTGTATCTGTACATCAATCCACTATGGTTTATTGGCGGGCAGTTTATTTCGGTGGAACAGTGTACGTACAATGTGTTACGCCGCAGGGGTCAGCAAACTTTTCCAGCTGGGGGCCGGTCCACTGTCCCTCAGACCTTGTGGGGGGCCAGACAATATTGGGGGGAGGGGGAATGAACGAATTCCTATGCCCCACAAATAACCCAGAAATGCATTTTAAATAAAAGGACACATTCTACTCATGTAAAAACACACTGATTCCCGGACCGTCCATGGGCCAGATTTAGAAGGTGATTGGGTCGGATCTGGCCCCCGGGCCTTAGTTTGCCTACCCCTATGTTACGGTGTACAGATCATCTCAGGGGTCTTCTCCCTTCCAGCCACACTACAACTAATCTGAATTATGCAGGGTGGAAAACATGAAAACTTAGAACTGTTTTTAAAAGAGGTTGTTCTTTAAATAAATTTCACGCAAAGTTCTAGTTTAGATCACTTTCAGAAAACCTAGGGAACTGGAGCAAGACTACTGTTCACTCACGGATTTAAGGAAATGGGCAGCAAACTTTAGGCAGTGATAAATGTAGCTTTAACACTGTTCTTTAACCTTTGATCAGTCAGAATTTTGTGATGTGGCAGATAAGAACACCCTACCTTCAGATGCCACTCCTTAACCAACAGCTACATATATGGGGAAACTAATTAAAATTTCTAATCAGATAACTAATGGTAGCAGTTGTTGCTCTGCTGGGCTTTATTTATAGCAGGGTTTTAGTTTTAGCAGCAACAAAATGGAACACACACACCAAGACTATAATGGCTTGATAACAATTGCAGACCCCCAAAGTGTTCCTATTTTCCAGGGACATCCCTGATTTAGAGAAGTCACCCCGGTTTCTGATTTGATCCCGGAATGTCCTGCTTTTCCTTAGGATGCCCCCATTTTCACTGGAGAAATGTTGGAGGGTATCAAGTTATCTGACCCCTGAGCCGTCTGAAGGCAATCCTGTAGAGGGAAGCTTAAAAAAAAAAGTTTAATGTTTTATTATGTTTTTCTATACGGTGGTACCTTGGTAGTCAAACAACTTAGTTGTCAAACAAATCGGCTCCCGAACATCGCAACCCCAGAAGTGAGTGTTCTGGATCGTGAACGTTTTTCGGAAGCCGAACGTCTGACATGGCTTCCACAGCTTCTGACTGAGTGAAGCTGCTGCAGCCAATCAGAAGCCACGCCTTTGTTTTCGAACCATTCCGGGGATTAAATTCGAGAATCAAGGTACCACTGTATGTGGGAAGCTGCCCAGAGAGACTGGGGAAACCCAGTCTGGGAATGGGACATCCCTATTTTCATCGGAGAAACGTTAGAGGAAATGTGATTCATCCTCAGTCTCTTGAATACTTTCCCCCACAACATTTCAAATTTACTTGCCTCTTGCAGAACTATTTTCAGTAATAATTTACTACTCCTTTCCATACATTGATTCATTTAAACTTGCCTGTGCAGCAGAAAATACAGAACTGAATAGAATTTACTAGTATGAAACCATTTTTTTCAAATATGTTAGCCCCTGGAATCTACTCCAGAAGATGCCTTGAATCAAACAAGGCTGTTAAGTTGATAGCTGTGGAACTTGTGAACTGGCAGATAAGAATCAAATGCTGCTCTCCATATTACACCCTGCTCTTGCTCCTATAAAAGCAAACTCCCTTTCTAAACCTTTATCACATCCTCAACTTTATTATAGATGTGTTGCTGCCCTGGGCTCCTTCAGGAGGAAGGACAGGATATAAACTGAATACATATGTACGTAAATTACTAGTTATTGAAAAGACAGAAGGAAAACCAACACCCAGATTGGTGCTTGTGAAACAAATTTTAACCTAATAAAGTTGGCATGGGACAGTTCTGGGTTTTTAATCTTTAAATTAAAACACACACACAACAACCACCCCTGGCATAGCAGACTTCTCTTTTCTCTGGAGACCCGACAGTCTCCTTCTTCGCAGCCAGTTCCTAATGGTTGTGCAGCAGTTTAAAACTCCTATTTTAAAACTTTCTGCAGCACAGCAACTGCTAACCCAGGCAGAATGCTTGAAAGAAAAACTGAAGTTAACCCAGAGACAGTTGTAGCCATTTGCTAATAAGATCCGGCTGATAAGAGATCGCTACTGAATCGGGAAGCTCATATTCGAACACAAGGGGTCATTTAACGCCCCGTAGAAAGGGTCTCTTGTTTCCAGGGGTAACGTTTATGGCAGAAGAGATGGACATCTGCAACAGTACAATTACCTGCTTTTGCCATCAAAATGCTCAGACTCTTTGCTGGCTCTGTGCCACGGTACACATGAGCTCCCTCATTAAGCTTCTCCGCCATAATAGTTCAGCTTAACACTTCCTTTAGAAGCTGCCTTCGCCAGCACAATCTAGAATGATGACTTACAGTCAACGTAGCTAACCACTGAATTTGGAAAGAAGTCTGCCATTCTAAACCGACAAGGGGCAAAACATTGCAGAGGGCTTTGTGTTTGTTTGTGCAGACCCAGATTTGGGTCTCTGCTCCACAAAGGAACTTGGGGTGGGGTGGGGGGTTACTCAATGCACAAGGTGCAAACCAAGTGTACACACCTTAGCAGGCAGACCCATGCCGTGCTAGTTCTGCAACACATGTTCCTTTAGAGTGCCTTTAGCGGTCATGCATTTGTTCTATACATTCGCGAGGCATGCACACAGAAAAATTCACCATTTCTGAAGACACCACTGCATGACCTTGAGCAAGCCGCAAGTTCTCAGTGTAGCCTAAACTATCTCAGAAGCCTTTTCTAGCAAAAAAAAATATGATATACATACAACATTTCCCGCGTCCTTGTCCCTATTCCTTCTCCCAGCCTTGCCAGAGCTTCAGCTTTTATAATATCAACATCTTCAAAAGTTCAAGGCAGTTAGTCTAATTAATACTAATTAATACTTCTACCTAATAGGCTATCATCACACTACAATATTAGAGGGCAGGAGAGAAAGGAAAAGAAATAGAATGGTAGTCAGGAGCAGTATTACATTAAGGCAGGCTTCCTCAACCTCGGCCCTCCAGATGTTTTTTTGGCCTACAACTCCCATGATCCCTAGCTAGCAGGACCAGTGGTCAGGGATGATGGGAACTGTAGTCTCAAAACATCTGGAGGGCTGAGGTTGAGGAAGCATGCATTGAGGGCTTATCCACACAGGAGCTTATTCTGAGTTTATTCTGCACTGGCAACTGTATACATTCTCATTTAATCTGCATAGTTGCCTTCAAACAATCCCAATCCCAATGTTTTTCCTCTGTAAACTTGGGTTTACCCAATAGGTGAATAATCTCCACTCAGGGTAGAGGACAATTTTTTCGATGTTTTAGGTGGGTGGATCAATTGTCACTTTCTGCTATTCTCCTTTTCATGTGCTCCTAACTATTCTGGTGTCCTCGTGAATAGAGGATTCCCTCCCCCCTTTCGATTCCTCAGTTTTGCACACAACCAGAACACTGCACAAGCAAATTTAATTTTACCTGACTGTGGGCTCTTGCACACTTATTGAGTGGGGAACATTGTGGACAAAATGGATTGCTTCAAGACGTGGCAGAGAGATATCTCTAGATTTGTCTGGCAGGGCAAGAAGCCCAGAATAAAATTTAAAATATTAACGGATGCAAAGGAAAGAGGTGGATTTGCCCTGCCAGACCTTCAACTTTATTATGAATCAGCAGCTTTTTTGCTGGCTGAAAGAATGGCTGCTTCTTGAAAACACAGACATTTTGGATTTAGAAGGCTTCAATAATGTATTTGGATGGCATGCATATTTGTGGTATGATAAGGTCAAAGCACATAAAGCATTTAAGAATCATATTGTCAGGAAAGCATTGTTTAATGTCTGGATAAGATATAAGGATTTATTGGAAAATAAAACCCCAAGGTGGCTGTCACCGATGGAAGCAAAAGCACAGAAAAAGCTCAATATGGAGGCCAAATGGCCGAAATATTGGGAAATTTTGGAACAAGAGGGAGATAGACTGAAATTGCAGAGTTTTGAGAAACTAAAAAAGTGCGAGATTGGCTTCATTATTATCAGATAATGGAGGCATATAATTCGGACAAGAAAATTGGCTTCCAGGTGGAAAAATCAAAATTAGAAACAGAACTGTTAGAACCCAAAACTAAGATTTTGTCAAAGATGTATAACTTGCTGTTGAAATGGAATACTCAGGATGAAACGGTGAAATCTGCTATGATTAAATGGGCACAAGATGTTGGACATAACATAATGATGGCTGACTGGGAACAGTTATGGACCACAGGTATGAAGTTTACGGCATGCAATGAAAATGGTATACAGGTAGTACATGACCCCAGTCAAGCTTGCAAAAATCATTTGCCCGATAATAAATGTTGGAAATGCAAAGAAACTGAAGGTACATTCTTTCACCTTTGGTGGACGTGCCCAAGGACTAAGGCTTTCTGGGAGATGATCTATAATGAATTGAAAAAGGTATTTAAATATACCTTCTTGAAGAAACCAGAGGCCTTTCTCCTGGGCATAGTTGGCCAATTGGTGCCAAAGGACAGAACTTTTTTTTAATGTATGCCACAACAGCAGCAAGAATACTCATTGCAAAGTATTGGAAGACACAAGATCTACCCACTCTGGAAGAATGGCAGATGAAGGTGATGGACTATATGGAACTGGCGGAAATGACTGGCAGAATCCGAGACCAGGGAGAAGAGTCGGTGGAAGAAGATTGGAAGAAATTTAAGGACTATTTACAGAAATATTGTAAAATTAATGAATGTTAGAATGATGTTGGATTGAAAGTAGGTGGTTTCTAGCTGTAATACTATAAGGGAATATGAAAAATGGATTACTAACAGGTAAAAATTTAACGTTACAATATTTTAAGATTAAAGACTAGGATAAACAAAGAGGGGAAGGATTTGCTGAACCAACAAATCGATCTGGAATACAAAAAAGGGAGGCGTGAGGAGGTCCGGGAAACAAGCTAATGAAAAATAAGTAACGGAAAGATTGAGTTGTTTTTAACTATTTTTATTTTGTATTTTTCTTTTTTCTATTTTTATTTTGTAATATCTTGAAAATTTTAATAAATATCTTATATTGAGTGGGGAACTAAAACAACAAGGTCCGACATCAGTTCTTAATTGGCATAACAGAAGCAGCAAATTAAAAGGCAGGGACAGACACAAAAGGGAATGTCTACTGGTATGAACAGGAAAGACCAAAATGGCTTCTCTTTAGAAAATTCAAATACATGTCAGTATGAACTACGTACTCCATCCTAATTTGAATAGGGGGAAAGCAGGTTAACAGCTAAATAATGCTCAAATGTGGACAAGTCCCAAGTCTAGGGTTGCCACCCATCCCTAGAAAAATGTGATTGTCCCTTTTTTTGGGGAAAAGTGTCCCTGGTCCTGTTTGGACTTCAAAAACGGTCTTTTTTCACGTATTCAGGCTCATCCTCCTCCTGAAAAATGTATGACCAGAGGATGGGTCCAGTGGCAGGAGTAGAGTGAGAGCAAGAGCAGGAATTTTTTGTAGGCAGAGTATGGGTCCATGAGGAGGAGAGCCATTATCATCGGACGTGGAGTGGGCAGATCTGGGTGGGGGAGCTGAAGAGCAAGAAGGGGGAGACGGCACTTAGCATGGGCCTAATTCTACCCGGTTTGGTGGAGAGTTTGCACAGGCAACAAGGAGGAAGGGTGGCCGATCAAAGAGCAAGATCAGAAGAAAAAGAAATCACTAAGCACAGAGTAGCAGCTAAAACATGAGGACACTTGTTCCTAAAATCTCCTTCCTTACAAAAGTGGTGGTGAGTCAGCTCGAATTATTGCTCTCTGATTGTATTTATGGTATCTATTTCTGCACCAGGCAAAGTAATCTTTTAATTCCCCCACCCCATCCCCTGGACCTGTCCCGTATTTTGCCTGACCAAAGGTGACAACCTTACCCAAGTCCAAGATGGTAACCATATCAGTAGCTATGAAGACATCACCCACAGTGAAACCCATAATTAATCCATATCCAATACTCCAGGCCAGGTTCAACATTGAAATGCTATGACAGGGCATGCACACAATACCTGATAACAGAGGAAAGCCGTTCATTCTGCTAAAAATTGGGAAGGAGATGAATGACATCCCTCATTTCTGCATCTGTGCTCCAAATATTTATCACTCCACAGAAGGGAAGAAAAACACTACAGGTTTCACATTCCTTTCCCTCTCCACCCCACTCAAGAGCAAAGGTTTGTTAATATAATGAGTTGCAAAGCTTCCTTCCTCTGCTCACTACACTTTAAACAAGGGAAGAAATGCAAATGATGTACCTTGCCCCTGAGTGCTTCGCGTGAGGTCTGTTTAGTACGAAAACCAAACTGTTGTAAGTATAGGTTGTCCCTGCACAGTCTGACCCTCCACTGAAGGAATCCATTAACTGATCTAAAAAAAAACATCTAATAAACGGCATACACTTTTAACAGAACAAAAGTGGAAAGTGAGAGATATCCACTCTTTATGCAATAGAGCAACTGTTCAACTTCAGATACAGGTTCCTAAACACTTGTCTACCAAAGAGAGCCACTCTAGATATTCTCTCTCTTGCAGGTTAGAGTCAAGAATATCCAGCGTGGATTCTAAAGAAGATTTTCACTCTGGGCATTAGTAACCACTTCCTCATTTGCACTATGAACCCAGGAGAGATTTCCAATGCTCAGGTAGAAAGGTGAGTCAAGGCCACGAGCTGGCAGGAGGAGATTTTTTGGACAAACTTTGACAAATCTTTCCAGGCACACCCAGAGCTTTAACAAACCACCACACAGGTGCTTTGGGCATATTTATAAGCATGTGATTATGTTGTCTTTCTTCCGTCCTTTGTCCCAGGGCCCCTTGGTTAAAAGAGCCCAATTTAAGCTGAGAATACACAGTGATCTGCAATCACTTCCACAGTCTTCATTAGGAAGGTGTGGTGTGATCCTTCTGCAGGAAAACAGACATGAGGACAAATCCCAGGTAATAACCAGTTACCAAAGAAACCACAGTACTTTGCCAGCTTCCCTTTTTGTAACTTCTACACACACTGATCCAGCAAATTCATACCCATTACTTGATTATGCTCACCAAAAGAAAAGCAAGCACTGCACCATTGAATGTGCAGAATAAGAACACCATGTCAACAAGCACACAGCCCTGAGCTAGACCTAGAGAGAGAGAAATACCTGTGAAGTATTCACGGTCAGGCTTATTTTAAGTACCAGTATGCTCTACAGAAGCGCTTAGCTGCTTTCTATAATCAACAAGCAGCCTGCAAAATCCAATATGCTCACCTCCACCACCTGAACAAGCTAAAAGGGCCAAAAAGCTCAACAACACCCCAACACAGTGGCCACAACATAAATAGACCTAAGTCAGGGACAGGGCACCTGTGGCATCCAGATGTTATTAGACTACAACTCCCATCATCCTTCATCATTGGCCATACTAAATGAGGCTAATGGGAAATGGCAGCACACCTGGAAGGCCACAGTCCCCATTCCTAGCCTTAGCAAAGACAGCAGGTAGAGTGAAAAAAATGTTTTCGATAAATACAAGGAACAGTAGATCTTCAGGACCAGATCTAGTCTCCGGAGAATAGCAGCAGTCCTCACTTGCAATCACAGATGCAAGAGAAAACTATGAAGGGAGCTGTCAATCTTGCAAAAATTTTCGTGAATATACAGGTTGACCATTTCCTCCTCCTCACATCCCGAGAAGATCCAGCAAGGATCCCACATAGCTGGCCCAGTAGGATAAACCACATTGCACTTCCAGACCAGTTAACCGAACCACCAAGCACTTGGGACTGTGCAATCGATAAGACACTGGATAGTTTCACCCTCAAGTGACCCGTTGAGGAAAATGCAGCGCAAGAACTTTAGAGATCAGGAATCGTAGCACCTCCGGGCCCAGCAGAAGTGCACAGTTCCTACTGGTGGAACAGGAGATGATGTCCAACACCCCAGATACACACACACAAATTAAAATGCACCTGCCTGCAAATTAGGGTTGCCAGCCCTTGCAGTTTAGTCAAATTACAATCCACCCAAACACTGGCAGCATCTGAGGAGCCACAGTCAGCAGCCTATCCTATACTTGGGCTAGCCATGAGTTACAAATACCAGAGTATTTTAACCCTTTTTTTACCACTTTAAGCTTTATAACCAAAGTACCCAAATCCACCTTTTATTGTGGTGTTGTCATCCACTCCCCACATAGGAGCCAACTCCTAGGGACTGAGATCCCTTTGAGATCCACTGAATAAAATATTTGAGGGGGCCGCCCCTCCAAAAAAGTTGGTGGGGACTGCCATTCAAATAGTGTACATCAGGTGATCCATGAGGCTGGGCAGGGCTTACCTGCCTCCAACCAATATTTTATTGACGTGGGCTCCCCTGGCAGCCCCCTCTCAAAACACGACACATTTCAAAGAGGGCAGAGGGCCTTCTCTGCCATGGCCAAACGCCCTCCCATCAGGTGTCAAGGAGATAAAAGAACCACACCATTTTCAGATGACATCTGAAGGCAGCCCTGTATGGAGGAGTTTTTAACTCCTGGTGTTCTATTGTGTGCTTATATATATATATATATATATTCTGCTAGAAGCTGCCCAGAGTGTAAAGGAAACCCAGCCAGATGGGCAGGGTATAAATAATAGAATTATTATCATCATTATTAAGGGTTATCCCCCGGGGAAAGGCGGGGAGGGGACTATGCTGGGTATAAATAGAAATTTATTATTATTATTATTATTATTATTATTATTATGGGTCGTCTCCCTGGGGAAAGGTGGGGGAAGGGGTTGTGCTGGGTATAAATAATAGAATAATAATTATTATTATTATTATGGGTCGTCCCCCTGGGGAAAGCGGGGAGGGGGCCGTGCTGGGTATAAATAATAGAATAATAATAATTATTATTATGGGTCGTTCCCCTGGGGAAAGCGGGGAGGGGGCCGTGCTGGGTATAAATAATAGAATTATTATTATTATTATTATTATGGGTCGTTCCCCTGGGGAAAGGCGGGGAGGGGGTTGTGCTGGGTATAAATAATAGAATTATCATCATCATCATCATTATTAAGGGTCCTCCCCTCCGGGAAGGGGGCAATGGTGAAGGTTTTTCCGTTGCACCTGCCGACTCCGCCGCCTCGGTAATCGGGGGTCACCCGGCGCAGAAAAGCGAGCCCACCCCCACGGGGAGAAATCGTAGGCACCGCTGGACCGGTGCATCCCAGCGACTAAGCGCCCGGCCAGGGAGATCGGCGGGGTGCCCTCGGCTACCCTTCGCTACCTACCTCGCTCGAGCTTCCGACGGCCGCTCCCCGCCAGCCGGACCTTCCTTCCTTCCTTCCTTCCTCTGCCGCGACGCGCACCTGTTGCTTTCGCTATAGCAGCAGCCGCGGCGCACCTTGGACGCCGGACGGGAAAAAAGAGCGCAGCGGTGGCCACGCCCCCTTCTGGAATCCGAGCCGCCTGCGCCCGCCCCCTCAGCCACGCCCCCTCGCCTCCCAACCCAGGCTGCTTTTGCGCATGCTCCACACCGATGCGGCTCTCTCTCTCGATCTGTCCCGTTTTTTGTTTTGTTTTTTCTCCCGGTTGCCACGAGCGCAAAGGGAAAGGTCGAGGAGCGCGCATGGGCGTTTCGTTCCGCAAGCGAAAGCAGCGAATCAAATGCTCCTTTTACACCCTTAATATATCAACGATTTACCTTCTTTTCCCCCCCATGGTTCATTTTGCATCTCCTAAATCCCTGCATATTTTACAAAAACCATACCGATGAGTTTTCCATGATTGCACCCATCAAAACTTTACACTGTTGGATTTATATTAACGCTGCCAGCGTTTTCAGCTGTCCCACAGTTGGGTCAAACTCATGTTTGTAGCTTCGAGAACACTGTCCAACCATCTCGTCCTCTGTCGTCCGCTTCTCCTTGGGGCCCTCCATCTTTCCCAACATCAGGGTCTTTTCCAGGGAGTCTTCTCTTCTCATGGGGCGGCCAAAGTATTGGAGCCTCAACTTCAGGATCTGTCCTTCCAATGAACACTCAGGGCAAATTTCCTTAAGAATGGATGCGTCTGATCTTCTTGCAGTCCATGGGACTCATTTTCTGTTTTACAATTTCAAATACTTTACATCCTTAAAATATCAATGACTTCCCTTCTCTTTCCATGGTTCATTTTACATATCTTATATGCCTGCATTTTTTACAAAAACTATACCAATTGGTTTTCCATTATTGCATCCATCAAAACTTGTTTACACTGTTGAATTTATCTTAACGCTGCCAGCGTTTTCAGCTGTGCACAATTATTTCCTGTACGTATATTCAATAAACGTTTTCCAATCTTCTTTAAACGTACGTTCTTCTTGCTCTCTTATTCTATATGTTATGTCTGCAATTTGTACATATTCTGTCAACTTGAGTTGCCCTTCTTCTTTGGTTGGGACCTCACTCGTTTTCCATTTTGGGGGCTGACAAAACATGGGATGCAGTTGTTGCATACATAAATAACCTTTTTTGACACCTGAGGATATCAGTCTGAATTATCCCCAACAGAAAGGACTCTGTTTTTTTGGGGAAAGTACTTTTAAAACTATTTTTATTCTTAGGCTGGGGGAGTAGCTAGCTGGGCCAATATGCAAACTTAGTCCCAATAAAGTAGGCTTAGTGCAATAAGTCTTCTTACCAAGCAAGGTATTTAGAATAAATAAGCATCGCTCATCCTGGCTCCTGAAACGTGATCACTTGCTTAAAACAGTACTTAAGACTGCTATCTTTTATCCTTTTAAAAAACCAATAATAATAATAATTTATTGATACTTATTCGTAAATGCACAAAAATGCATACCCAATACAAAGTATCTCTTGATTATATGCCAAGACAGCTACTTAGTCTTAAAAAAAAAAGTCAGAAAGAAGAAGAAAAAAACAAGGAATGGAGAGACTTAAAAAAAGAGTGTTGAGAGAAAAGGGAAAGAAAGGAGAAACTACAGAAAGAGAAAAGACAAAAAGGACTTCCGTCTCTCTGTCCTGCAGCTGCATATAATATATATAATATTATTTTTTATATATAATATAATAAATTCATTCCTAGAAATCCAACCATTCTAGAAGCCAGAATTTTTTCAGTCTTCAAATCCTGATATAATAATAATAATAATAATAATAATAATAACAACAATAATAATAATAATTTTTATTTATACCCTGCCCTCCCCAGCCAAGGACGGGCTCAGGCCGGCTAACAAGCAATAATAAAAACAAGCTGAATGAATACAACTTAAAAACAAGATTAAAATACAACATTAAAATATTGAAACATTAAAATATTAAAATGCAGCCTCATCACAGGAGCAGAAAGGAAAAAGAAAAAATAAAGAGGGGAGGGAATCAAATCAAATCAAATCATTACATGATCACAGTGGCGTAGCGTGGGGGGTGCAGGGGGGCCGGCCGCACCGGGCGCAACATCTGGGGGGGGGGGGCGCGCTCGCACTCGCAGCTCTCTGCCCCTACCTGGCTCACTCACTCTCCCTCACTGAAGTGCTGGCAGTGTGAATCCGATCCGAGCCGCTAGGTCGCCACCCACTGTGGAGGGGGTGGGTGCCAGGCGTGCGGTGCGGAGAGAGAGTGAGGGACTATCTGGGGGAGGGACAGTGCAGCGGCCGCCCAGCGCAGCGCTGAGCGCGGGAAAGAACCAGACCAGACCAGGCAGCAGCAAGAAGAAGCTGGCAACGGCGGCAGGTTAGGGGTTAGGGGGCGCAAATTACTTGCCTTGCCCCGGGTTAGGGGGCGCAAATTACTTGCCTTGCCCCGGGTGCTGACAACCCACGCTACGCCGCTGCATGATCATTTTCTCTTTCATGCAAAAAGTCCGTAAGAAATGTCCAGTTCTTAACAAATGTCAGTAATGATTTTTCTCTAATTAAGCATGTTAACTTTGCCGTCTTGGCCAGATCCAATAATTTTATCAACCATTCTTCTATAGTAGGTAGGGCTGTGTCTTTCCATCTTTGTGCATATAGCAGTCTCACCGCTGTAGTAATATATTGGAGTAATCCTCCATAGTCCTTTTCTAATTGTGTGTCCATTAACCCTAAAAGAAAAAATTCTGGCTTCAATTAAATATTAATCTTTAATAGCTGCTGTATCCATGTATGTATTTGTGCACCATGTCTGACTGCTATCCTTTATCCTTAGCCCCACTTAACTCAGTGGGGTTTGTTTCTGAATGGACATCTATAGGATTGCATAAGGGAGCTGGGCATGTTTAGCCTGGAGAAGAGGAGGTTAAGGGGTGATATGATAGCCATGTTCAAATATATAAAAGGATGTCACATAGAGGAGGGAGAAAGGTTGTTTTCTGCTGCTCCAGAGAAGCGGACACGGAGCAATGGATCCAAACTACAAGAAAGAAGATTCCACCTAAACATTAGGAAGAACTTCCTGACAGTAAGAGCTGTTCGACAGTGGAATTTGCTGCCAAGGAGTGTGGTGGAGTCTCCTTCTTTGGAGGTCTTTAAGCAGAGGCTTGACAACCATATGTCAGGAGTGCTCTGATGGTGTTTCCTGCTTGGCAGGGGGTTGGACTCGATGGCCCTTGTGGTCTCTTCCAACTCTATGATTCTATGATTCTATGATTCTATATACAATACTGCATGTACTTACCTAGGAGTATCCCCTTGAACTCAATAGGACTTCCTTCTGAGTAGATCTCCATTGAATTATGCTGTAAAACACCAGGAATAACACCTCGGCAGTACAATATGCCTGTCTCTTACTCATTTGTAAGTCTTCTTGAGTTAAACTGCCTGGTAAGGTGCTTCTGGAATGCAAAGAGCTGGGTTTTTTTTCTGCGGCTTAAAGAAAATCACAACATTTTAGAGGAAAACATATTTGAGGTGTCTTTTCCATTTGTTTTGAGCTTTACGGTGCATGGCTATGTCATTCATGAGGTTTGCAAAAGCTGAAATCTCGAGAAGTAAATGTTATTTGCCTTTTACATGTTAAAAAATGCAGTAACAATCACAGTGCAATCTAGACATTTTACAAATTCCCTAAAGGCTAGCTGGCAACATCTTTTAAATCAGTGGTGGAGAATCAAACATGTATAGGAATGCTAGATTGGTTATCCAGAATTGCTAACTCTCAAGCTTGACTGTAATTATTTCAGTCAAGTGCAAAGAACAAGAAACTGATACGGAAAGATTCAGAACTCCAGATCTGAATCCATGGCTGAGGTAAAAACTAATAATAAATGCTACTGTTTATGCAATGAAAGCTGATTGTAACATCCAAGACACTATCGTAAACTAATTTCTCTTATGGAGCAAGACTTCCAATTAGCAATGCCTTTTATTTATCGGGTGAAATGTGGAAAGTATCTCTGCAACTGTATCTGAGAGGGAAGCCACATTTTTAAATATATAAAAGAGAAACTTAAAGAAAACATAGTAATATGGGTATCTGGGAAAAGACAACTTTCTAGCAGTAGAACCAGAAGTTCTACATTCCTCATAGCTTGCTAACAATACACAGTGTCTGAGCTGTTGACCACTTTCATTGGTGTGATGGCAAGAAACATATTCTGCTTCATCCATCCGGAATTAGCTGCATCCTTGATTGCTCTGCACCTGTTTTCCCTTACAGTAACATGTCTGTTCCCTCATTTTTCCTGGCACTTTCATACACTAGTAAAGAAGGGTCATAGCTCAGTGGCAGAGCACATTATTTGCATGCAAAACACCCCAAATTCAGTCCTTGGCATCCCTCCAAGTAAAGTTGGAAAGGACTTATTTCTGAAAGCCACTGCTTATAAGTGTAGACCAGGGCTGGAAGACATTTGGCCTTCCAGATGTTGCTGAACTACAACTCCCATCAGCCTCAGCAAGCATGGCCAATGGCCAGGAATGATGGAAATTGTAGTTCAGTAACATCTGGAGGGCCAAAAGTTTACAACCCCTGGGGCAGACGCTTCTAAGCTAGATGGGTCAATGGTCTGACTCAGTATAAGGCATATTGCTCTATTCATCATGCCACTAAAATATCAAATCCGTATAAGGAATTAACTCCCAGTATAGTGAAGTGTTGCTAGAAATTAACTTTTATCAAGTCAGAGAAAGTTTCTCAAGCCAAAGTCCCATGTGAATGCAAGAAGAAGTGACCACAGATAATGGGAGGACTAGAGAGACCAAACTCACCCATAGAAATGATTCCTTATGAGGCAGCATGGAATCAATGCATTTTGATCAAACAGGCCACAATTTGCTCACCTAAAGTCTAGTGAATTTAATGCAGCGATGCTATTGGTTTTAATGTGAAATATACTCGGAATCGAGTGTGGATTTCATGCTCTTTATTCAGCTCATAGTAGTGAGGAATGAATGTTCCCCCAAAATATCTGCTTTATATACATTATTTACACAATGGGCCGCACGTGATTGCTTAATTCTGGGATTCTCCTGTAGGCCAATCAGGTTGCGGATTCACTTCCACCTGGAGCTGGATTGGGTGGCTCCTGCGGACCAGTCATACTGCTGCATTGTTCTAGAACCAATCAGACTGCTGCACCCCGAATCCTATTGTTCTAGGACCAATCAGACTGCTGCCTTTTGGATCCTATTCAACTCAGTACATAACATAATGGCACATCAGTTTGATTATTTACAGCAACTGGGGGGAAAATCACCACCAGAAATGTTCTCTAGTTGTGGTTGATTATTCCTGGTGGTTGGGGAAGTGCAATCTCAATTTATGCAGTAAGGCTAAGATTTCAGAGGATTGCGTTCTTTTATTTCTGCCACACTATGGACACACAATATACATAGGCACAGTAGTGTGGCACAGGGGTGGCTCACATAGAGCGCACCAGATATGGTGGACTACAACTGCCCCCACCCTGAGCCAGCAAAGCCAATGATCAGGGTGGTGGGAGCTGGATGGGTGTCCAAAACATCTGGAGGGTACCATGTTGACTACCCTTGGTGCGGCTGGTTCAGATCTCACCTGTGCCACAAATTCTGTAGCTGTCCAGAGGCAATATAAAACTGACCTCATCTGCAATATAGGCATTCTGATATTGAGCCACCTTGAGCAAGGACTGTTGTAGTAATGTATGTGCAGTGCTTTCAACATCAGAAGTGCTATTGTAAATGCAAAGTGTATAAAACGCCAGAAAATAACACACTGAGATAACGGAATGAGAATTAGTTTGAATGATAAACAGTGCTTCCCCCCCCCCACACACACAGGTACTCAATGGTACGCAGTACAGGCACATTTTCCCCTAAAAGTTAAAAGTGTGGCACTTACTGCAACAACTTCATGGTGAGTACTGGAAACCTTTTTCCTATAAACATATATATGTTGTTGTCGTTTAGTCGTGTCTGACTCTTCGTGATCCCATGGACCAGAACACGCCAGGCACTCCTGTCTTCCACTGCCTCCCGCAGTTTGGTCAAACTCATGCTGGTAGCTTCAAGAACACTGTCCATCCATCTCGTCCTCTGTCGTCCCCTTCTCCTTTCCCAACATCAGGGTCTTTTCCAGGGAGTCTTCTCTTCTCATGAGGTGGCCAAAGTATTGGAGCCTCAGCTTCAGGATCTGTCCTTCCAGTGAGCACTCAGGGCTGATTTCCTTCAGAATGGATAGGTTTGATCTTCTTGCAGTCCATGGGACTCTCAAGAGTCTCCTCCAGGCCATAATTCAAAAGCATAAATTCTTCACCGATCAGCCTTCTTTATGGTCCAGCTCTCACTTCCATACATCACTACTGGGAAAACCATAGCTTTAACTATGTGGACCTTTGTTAGCAAGGTGATGTCTCTGCTTTTTTAAGATGCTGTCTACATATATATACAAAGGATTAAAAAGAAGGATGGCATGGAAATGAATGTTTTTTGTTTATCTTCGGAAAATTGCATTTTGAAGTACAGCTATCATGCTCAGCTCTTTTATCCTCACACAAGTTCTGTGGGATATGTTATGAGGCCTTCCCTGAGAAACTTAGAGAACTTTATAGTTGAGCCATTCTTTGAACCTGAGTCTCCCGCATGCAATTTATGGGTGAAATTCAGAATCGGTGCATGGTTCTCCTCTCCTTTCCCTGTGTGCTGATCTGGGGCAGGGCTTTTTTAAACATATACGGCGCTGGGGTGCAAAGATTCCCCCCCCCGGCGCCCCCTATGTTGCCCAGTCCCAGGCTCACAGGAGGGCGGAGCCGGCCGCCTGCTTCATCATCTCGCTGGCTCGGTCGCCCCCAAACTCGCAGCACAGAGCCGCCTGCAGCAGAAGAGCCCACCGCGGCACTCTGACCGACGGGCAGGCTGCTCCCCGGACTCTCAGCCTGGCGCCCCTGAGAGCCTGGCGCCTGGGTGCCCTGCACCCCTAGCACCTATTGATAAGACGGCCCTGATCTGGGAGTCCTCCTGACCCAATTTCAGGGGGCGAAGCCCTGTTGTGCAAGTGGAAGTTCTCCAAGTTTCTGAGAATGAGGCTCCTTGGGTGAATTCCACCCATAACGCTTCAGTTGTCGTTCGTAATGAATGGATAGTTAATTGTGGGGGTTCAGAGGTTACCCTTATTTTGCCAAGGCTGCTGGATGCAAGAATGGGGCCATGGGAGAGACGCCAAAAGGCCAGACAGAGAGGTTGTGAAAGTCACCCTGATCCTTCCATGCAGGCAGTGGACAGCCAGTTCCATCAACTGCTCTGGGTGGGATAATATTTTTAAAAATCTGGAGCAAGGCTTCTCATGAGCTGAGCCATGTTTGCTGTGCCACAGAGGCCTTCTAGTGATTGAGACAAAGGAACTGGGAAATAGGTGTGGCTGGTGAGCCACCTATGATTTCTGATAATCGTAGCTGGAGTTATGAAGGGGGAAGAATTGAGTGGCACAGTTACACCTTTCCTTCTGGCTGTGCTGAGCTCAAAGGTGTATTTCACCACAAAATAAGTAGTTTGTAAACAGACCTTACTGGGTGCCATTTTTATGCTGTTTATTCAGTGTGTATATTCAGTGCAAGCAGGATGGCTTATGATGCAGCCCAGAAATCCTGTCTGTATCTTTGTACCACAGAATGAGAAGACAAGGCAGCCATGGTTTCTCTTGCCCTCCTCCACCTTATTGTACATCATCTAAGGCCCCCTCCAGACTGGGGTTTTTGGGGGGGGGTGTATTCTGCAACATGAAATAATGCCATTTATACTGGACAAATCCACACGCCAGTCCACCATTTGTGATGCTTCCCCAATGCTATCACATTGATGTTTCCAGAGGGGCAACAGCATGACAAAAGCGGGAAAAGAACATTTGTGGTATGAAAAGTTACAGGATTACAGCCAGAAGCTATAGTTAGTATATATGCGGATTGGAATTGACACAGTACGACCCTGAACTTTTCCAGGTGCAAAATGTATTGAACATGGGGTATAGACTAGGACTGCGCTCATAGCATCTAGAACAACAAACAATAAATAATGCACAATAAAAAGGATATCTGGAGGGGCCCTGTTTTCATTTCCAAAAACAGCTACCGTACTTGAAATTTTGTAGGCGTCAGTCAAAGAACTAGAAAGTCTCTTCCTGTCTGAGAAACAATGTCTATAACATATGCACCAAGTGATTTTTTCCGTTCTTTATTGTGTTCTTTTCCTACTTGTGTATGGGTTATATTTGGAAAATAAAAACTTTTTTTAAAAAAAACCATTAACAATATATCAGCTCCACCCAGCAGAGAGAGGCCTGCTTTGATCACACTGGAATTTACCTAACTTCCAAGAACCTGACTTCTGCTTTATAGGAAGAAGCAGCAAAACACACACACACAAAACAAAAAAACAAAAAAACAAAATACAGGTGTGGCAAGGTCTGGACTTGGATTTATCACACAGTCTCTGCATCAAACTGGCGCTTTTAAATTCAGGGACCAAGTCATGAAATATCAGGTGAAATAGGAAAAGCTTTCCTCCAGAATTCATGCAATGGGAGCAAAACACATCTCCAGCAGATGGTAGGTAGCCCTTGGCACTGTCCCAGGTGGGAACCTAGTAAACTAGAAAGTGAGGTTATATTATCTGTAATGGTTTAATTCAACTGGCTTGTCCGTCATGCAACAATGCAACATCAAAGTACAAAAATAATAGGGCTTGGCATACAAGGGCCAGGTTAGCATTATGTACAGTAATATTCTATCATTATCCATCTTTCCTGCTTCAAAACACACCAGTCTGCATTACAGTGAGGCTATTAGGGCAGCTTAATTGCAAGCAATCCCTATTACCTCATTCATAGACTGCAGCCAAAGGCAATATTATAATTACAAACCAGAATGTTTAGGTATATGAATGTGCTAGGTGCTGTCAGGAGTCCCCTATGTTCTTAATCACTATAGTGACGATAATTGCTTCACTTAACTTGTTTCAGCACTGATTTGTTCCAATGCCAAAGTTTTCTTTATATTAATTTTCTGTCTTACAATTTCAAATATTAATTTTACATCCTTAGGATATCAGTGACTTCCCTTCTTCTCTTCCATGGTTCATTTTGCATATCATAAATCCCTGCATATTTTAAAAAAAACCTATACCAATCAGCATTCCATTATTGCATCCATCAAAACTTGTTTACACTGTTGAATTTATCTTAATGCTGCCAGCGTTTTCAGCTGTACACAATTATTTCCCATATATTCAATAAACGTTTTCCAATCTTTTTTTAAACATATTATGTTCTTGTTCTCTTATTCTATATGTTAAGTCTGCGAGTTGTGCATATTCTGTCAATTTAAGTTGCCATTCCTGTTTGGTTGGGACTGTTTTCCATTTTTGGGCTAACAAAACACGGGCCACAGTTGTAGCATACATAAATAGCCTTTTTTGACACCTGGGGATTTCAGTCTTAATTATCCCCAACAGAAAGGACTCTGGGGTTTTTTTGGGAAAGTACTTTAAAACATTTTTTTCAATTCATTATAGATCATTTCCCAATACTCTTTTACCCTTTTACATGTCCACCACATATGAAAGAACGTGCCCTGTGCCCAATACACATGTATGTTTTCATACACGTTTTTATTAAATTGATTTCAGTTCATCTCTCTCCACAACACAGGGCTGAACTTTGCTGGCAGACGTTGCAGGGCGAAAATGAAGAGCTTGTGGATCGAGACCCAGTTCCCTACTCCCTGAGCTACCAGTTGTGCTGAACAGCAAGCAATTCGAGCTTAGACACTTGCACAGCATCCCTGAACTCTCTCTGATCTGGGGAGTTGGGTGGCACCTGAAGGCCAATCCTCTGACATCTGATATAAGCTTCCAGATCTACTGGTTTCCTGCACTCTAGGTAACTTTGGGAAAGTGTTTGTTCTTTCATGCTAAGTCAATGGTCTATAACCTGGCATGCATCCTCATTTTGTAAATAGTTAATAAAGTTTATATTTTATAGACATCCTGGATGTCCATAGTTGTACAGCTAAGAATAAGGCAGTGTTATTTTGCTGGGAATCACAAGTAGGGAGAGTGATGCTTCACTCAGGTCTTGCTTGCGGGCTTCCCACAGGTATTCCCTCCACCTTACCAACGCCCGCATAATTGTGGAGATGTGTGGTTATTCACTCTGAGCCTTAGGCATTGGGTAGGATAAATATATATATAATCAATACACTAAATGAGCAAAAGAAGCTTCAGGGAGAGAAGCACAACTTATTTTTTTTGTACATTTAGTTTTCTGCCCTTCCTCTGAAGTCCTTGGAGGTGTGTCTTGAGGTGTGGAACCACCCTGTATGGTAAGGTTAGGTTGAAAAGAAGTAGATTTCACAACACCGCTCGGGGCCAGAGCAGACACTGCATGCAGACGGCGGCAGCATTGTCCCAGTGGCCTTTGGTGAACAGGAAAAGCTGCTTCCGAAGAGGCAACTGGAATCAGCAGAGGGAAATGTGCTACTACACACTGTTTCCCTGCCCACTTCCCAATCCACATCTGCTCCCTGCATATCTCTCAGACCCCCAGTGGCGTTCCAGATGTGTGTTCGCCTATACTTGGAACTCCATGGAGTGGGGAAGGAATGCTAAGGAGCAAACCTGAGATGGTTGCATGGGCCCTTGTACGCTGCCTCCTGGCAACTCCTGCAGCCGGGTTTGGTGCCAAACGTATTGCTCTGCTCTCCTTTGGACCACATCAGTGTTAGGATCGTCCTACTCGCGTGTAGGACCCTGGCAGAGACACATGTCCAACTGACATGTTCTCTCCCTCCTGGTCAGTCGTTTGGGACTTTCAAAAGCTTTCTCCAGCCCAAACATCACAGCAACTGATACCTAAAGGCATTAGCACGCTTAAGGATCCTGCAGAGTATTTGCAGTTTGTGTAACAAACTCAATAGCACAGCATTTTGGCTGATCTATGTTTATTTACATATAATACACTCGGAGCATTCTGACTTAGCTCCTTCCTCTTTCTCATCAGACAGCAAAGAAAAAGAACAAAGGACAATAGTCCCGCATCACAGAAACAGAGTAATACCAAACATCCTCTCTCTGTCACTTCCCACTATGTGGAATGAAAACATACACCGTCATGTGATAGACAACAATCCCATGACTGCAAGCACGGAGCAAAAATCCTAACAATCAGTGAGGCCAAGAGGTCTTGTCATTGTCATGGAATTCTACTTGATATTGATTCAGAGCAGAATTCCAACGTATAGTTAGCAGAGTAAAAACTTAAACACGTTGCAGGATTCCCCCAAAATAGACCAGAGGCAATTGTATTTCATCCAGCAGAGCTTTACTGCTACTGAAGGCAAATGAGCATAATGGTCACAAATCCAATACATTCAGGACTGGCACTATCCATAAGAAATCCAGTTGCAGCAGACTTAACTTAAACTTACAATAACTTACAGTAAGTCTAAACCTTAACACTATACAGTGGTACCTCGGGTTAAGAACTTAATTCATTCTGGAGGTCTGTTCTTAACCTGAAACTGTTCTTAACCTGAAGCCCCACTTTAGCTAATGGGGCCTCCTGCTGCCGCTGCGCCGCCGCTGCACAATTTCTATTCTCATCCTGAAGCAAAGTTCTTAAACCGAGGTAATATTTCTGGGTTAGCGGAGTCTGTAACTTGAAGCATATGTAACCTGAAGCGTATGTAACCTGAGGTACCACTGTATACAGAACACCATACCAGAAGGAAAGAGATAGAGAAAGTGAAGGCTCCTTCTGCCCTATTATTATAATCAGCATGACCTTGACATAAAAAGATAACAGAACCAGTTTAAGCCGGCTGTACTCAGCTTCCCTGAAGGAATAACCCAAACATCATGAACCTGCTGCTTGTTTCTTTCACACAGAGAAGCTTCCAGAACCCTCTTGGGGCAGATGAAATTGATGGACTATATGGAATTGGCGGAAATGACTGGCAGAATCCGTGACCAGGGAGAAGAGTCGGTGGAAGAAGATTGGAAGAAATTTAAAGACTATTTACAGAAATACTGCAAAATTAATGAATGTTAGAATGATGTTGGATTGAAGCTAAGTGGTTTCTAGCTGTACAGGTACAAAAGAATATGGAAAAATTGGTTCTTAATATGTAAAAATTTAAAATTATAATATATCAAGATTAAAGATTAGGATTAAAAAGGAGGGAAAGGAATTGTTGGATTAACAAATTGAATTGGAATACAAAAGAGGGAGGTATGAGGAGGTCCGGGAAACAAGTAAATGTAAAAGAAGTGATGAAAAGATGGAATTGTTTTTAACTGTTTTTTCTTTTTTCTACTTTGTATTTTTCTTTTTTATTGTTAATTTTTTATTAATGTGATTTTTCTTTTTTTGAAACTTTAATAAATATTATTTTTTAAAAAAAACAGAACCCTCTTGAATTAAGTAGAATAGGAAAGATCTCTACACAACAGATCAATAATTTCTGTACTAAAAAATGCAAACCGACAGTCATCAGAGCATGCCAGGACCTCCGTACGCACAGGCTAGGCTTGCGCCCTGGAGAGATCACGCATGAAAAACAACACAGGAGACAGCGGTTACGAGTTACCAGTCTTTGCAGCCTCAGTGGGCACTGTGATTCTTCGGCAGTTCAACTGCACCCCAGGAGGTGCAACAACACACACAGAGAGAACATCGTGCCTCTTTCACCTCTTAAGTTAGAGATAACTGCAGCTATATAGCTGGTGGAGGTGAAGTAGAAAATATTGCTGTGCTGAGGAGAATTAAACTTCATGCCAGGCCTGCACCACTCAAAATCCAGCAAACTGAATATAGCCCACCAGTCAGATATGGCAGCCCACCCAACAAAGGCTTTGCTTTTGCCTCCTGCCAAATACAAGAAAGCAAGAGAGCTGCTAAGCAGGCTACCTTTCACAATAATTTGCTCTTATTTTTTTCTTGATATCCGTACCAGCAAAGGTAACTACGTACTCCAGTGTGAGTACACTGAGAGAGAGCCAGTGTGGTGTAGAGGTTAAGAGCGGTGGACTCGAAATCTGGTGAACTGGGTTCGATTCCCCGCTCCTCCACCTGCAGCTGCTGGGTGACCTTGGGCCAGTCACACTTCTCTGAAGTCTCTCAGCCCCACTCACCTCACAGTATTTGTTGTGGGGGAGGAAGGGAAAGGAGAATGCTAGCCGCTTTGAGACTCCTTAGGGTAGTGATAAAGCGGGATATCAAATCCAAACTCCTCCTCCTTTCTTCCGCTTGGCAAAAGCATTTGATTTACGAAGAGAGCTCCTCAAGTCCCATCTGTTTATTGCTCAAGACCCAAGAGAGTGACCATGAGTCAGCAGCTGGCTTCAATTTGAATTTGCCAGATGTCAGCGTTTGAACTGGCTTGTCATTGTTCCTCTGCCATTGAACCCACCTTCCCCAACATGGTGCCCTCCGATTGTTGTAGCCCCCATCAACCATGACCATTAGAGATGCTGCCTGGGGGTGATGGGAGTTGCAGTCCAAAATATCTGAAAGGCATTGGGTGGAGAAGACTGCATTAAATTCTACAGGTCAGAGACTTGTTGTCAGGGGTTCAGGGACAGAGGCACAGGGTAGGGAGGAGATGGAGAGCGATGGGGATGAATCCCAGGACAGCGAGGAAGAGGATGACAATGACTCAAGAGATTCCATGAGTCTTTCCAGCGAATCAGAGGATTCCCAGAAGGGGCGCCGGTGGTCAAGGCCAGGAGCCCCAGGGGGACGTGTCAGGAACAGGGGGCCAGCGGGGATCCCAAAGTGGCAGCTGGGCGTCAGGACCAGCCTCCCCGCCAGAGTGCAGCGAAGGGGGTGGAGGTTCCAGTGTATCAGGGGAAGCAGCTCCGGCAGCAGAGAAGGGAGGGAGGTCGGAGCAAGCCACCCTCCCGGAAGGGGAGGGGAGTAGTGAAGGGAGTAGTGTAACTGTCAAAAGGAAAGTTAGAGGTTGGGCGCGCGCGTCAAGTTCAAATGTAGAGGCGCGCGGAAGTACAGGGAGCCCGGAAGAAGAGCCAGGTCCTAAAGCCCGCAGGAGGGGGGAAGAGCAGTCGGGGGATAGCGCGTCAGGGGAATCCAGGAGGGCGAAACCCCAGCGGGCAGGAAGACCCTGAGGAAAAGGAAAGAGAGAAAGAGGTGGAGCAGCGCAAGGCTCTTAAACTGGTGCAGGGGAGGGACTGACTCAGAGGGGACTTCAACGGTCTAAGCGTACAGACGTGGGGCTGCGCGCCTCGGATATGAAGCAAACAATGAACTGCAATAAACACTTTTGTATATAAGAAGAGATTGGCGTTGGTCTTTTGTGAGCTGAGACCTGAGGCAGCCTTGACACTTGTGTTAAGATTTGAGCTTTTTCCAGCTAACCCTCTATATACCTTTAATGTACATTTCCCTCCTCAAAGTCTGAGCACTGTAGTTTATCCCTCACAGTTACAATTTCTAGTACAGTGGTACCTCAGGTTACATACGCTTCAGGTTACAGACTCCGCTAACCAAGAAATAGTGCTTCAGGTTAAGAACTTTGCTTCAGGATGAGAACAGAAATTAGGCTCCAGCGGCGCGGCAGCAGCGGGAGGCCCCATTAGCTAAAGTGGTGCTTCAGGTTAAGAACAGTTTCAGGTTAAGAACAGACCTCCGGAACGAATTAAGTATTTAACCTGAGGTACCACTGTAACCCTCAACCAACTACGGTGCCCAGAATTCTTTGAGGGTGGAAATAGGCTTCAAATGTGCTTTAAAAGTATAGTGTGAATAAGTTTTGATGGATGTAATAAGGGAATACTGAATGTTTTAGTTTATATAAGATATGCAGGGATTTGTGCTATGCAAAATGAACCATGGAAAGAGAAGAAGGGAAGTCATTGCTACTTCAAGGTTGTTTAAATGAATATTCTAAATTGTAAAACAGGAAATTTAATAATATATATATATATATATATATATATATATATATATATACATACATACATATATATATATATATATAAAAGTATAGTGTGAATGCAAGCGAGTCCAGAAAACCTTCTAAAAGCACCCAGTGTAAATTCTAACCTCTGAATCGAAGCAGGTATCAATATAAGCCATGCTAATAGCTAAAAGGGATATCTCATAGAAACCCCGTAACTATGGATTGCAGGGGTTTGGACTAGATGATCCTCAGGATCCCTATCAACTCTGGGATCCTATGAATTTGCTTCTCTGGCCTCCTGAGAGGAAGGGTAGAATTGCAAATATGAGTGAGGATGATATACATGTGGTTCTTTAAGCGTTGGGTGGCTTTTATTTCTGCAAGGGAAAGCATACGTTTGAAATATGTGCACTGTTATGGGGACATCTCTGCATATCCCCTGACAACAGATATTTCGCAGCTGGATTAATAAGTCTCTGCCATGAGTGTCTCCTCTGTATTGTTTAAGAATTTATCTGCTATAATTTACTCTGTTTTAATTGTTTAAACAATTGTTGAATTGTTTTTAGCTGGTTTTATTGCACTTTGTAAATAGATATTGGAACTGAGAGAGAGAGAGAGAGAGAGAGAGAGAGAGAGAGAGAGAGAGAGAGAGAGCGCTTGTTCCCACACTGGCTGGGCAAAATAGATCATCCATGTGATATGGCACAGCAGTGAGCCTGAGAATTGTGTATTTTCTTTCCACGGCAAAGCTATTCACAATGTCAAAATATAGAGTAACGTCCATGTTGGCCCAAAACTGGGACATAGATTATATTCCGTGCTAGACAAACTCAGGGTAGACTAATTGAAAGGAATTGCCAAAAAATTTGATGGTTCTACTCTGGGCAGAATTTAGTTACCTACACCCCTATATGTTAAACATTTTAGGTATAGGTGCCTATAATATATGTCCAATTCTGTCCTGCCTATTGTGCATTTTTATTTTTCAAACTCAAAACCTAAACGTTTCTGCGATCCAGATCAGCGTTGACTCGAGTTAGGATCTCATAAGAATCTGTCACCAGAAATATAGAAAGCAGAGCAAATGGGAATTGCGGTACTTTCTCGTTTTATTAAATCGTTAAGTGTGAAGTGACCTTCTGAGTCTTGTAGAGCTTCCAGATCTTGAGGGTGGGGTGCAGCCATAGATGAGATAAGCAACCCTGTATAATCCAGTTGTCATCGTTTGCACTCCCCAAGCAGCCCGGCCAAGGAGCAGGGCGTGTCTTGAAATGAATGCAGGGGAAATGTCTCAATAATGCTGCCTGCTGAATATTTGGGGCTTTATGTGAGTTGGCTCACAGACCAAGGGGTTGGCTCTCTTTCCCGATTTAAGATTGCCTTTCTTTCGCCTGAGGGATTAATCATTCATTCCAGCAGAAGGTGGGAAAAGTACCGGTTGCGCTCTGAGAACACAGACATAAAATCAGGCCAATTGCTTGTGGTTTAATGAATCTGGAAAACCATATACTCTTTCAGTGAGCAGGTACATGACCACCGATTGACACAGACTGAAATAATTCTACACCCAAACATGCAGTGAAAGTTTGAATGAACACACTTTAAAAAAAAAGTTCTCATCATCTCCATCGTGTGTGCAAAAGGATTTTAAAAGTGTAACTAATCCATGTTAAACAATCTTAAATATATACTCAGGGCGGCTTCATTTCTTCTCAACAATAAGTAATCGCCAACATAGTGTTTCTTTTCATACTTCATCATTCATACATTTCAAAGATACCTCAGATGTCACATAAAACCCTGCCTCTTCTCATAGGAATTAGAAAACAAAACAAAGTGGTCAGGTATCTAACATGTGCACACATTGCCATTGACTCTGCTTTCATTGCACTCTCACTATTCTGGAATGCAGTGTGCATGTAACATTATTCACAGTCCATACCTATCCTCAGGGCCGGCTTACCCATAGGTGCTAGGGGTGCGGGGCACCTGGATGCTGGGCTCTCAGGGGCGCCAGGCCGAGAGTCTGGGGCCGAGATTTGGAGTCTGGGAATTGAAGAGCCAGGCCAGCCAACAGCTGCTGCCGAGTGGAGCAGAGCCCATAGGAGCACCGCAGGCTTTTCTGCTGCAGGTGCTGAGGCTGCCGGCCGGCTCTGCTCTCCGGCACGGCGGTCTGTCGAGAGGCCCGTCCAGCACACGCACGCTGCTCACACGAGGTGCACAGCTTCCCTCCCTCCAACCGCAGTGGGACAGGAGAGAGTTGCGTGCTCCCTCCAAAAAAGCTCAGCAACTCTGAGCTTCCCCCCTAAAAAAAACTCAACAACTTTTGCCTGCCCCCACCAAAAAAATTGGGGGCAGTGGGCAGTTTTTTGCACCTTGGCGCCACATATGCTAAAGACGGCCCTGTCTAACCTGTTATTAAAACCATAAGAAGAGCCTGCAGGATCAGGCCAAAGGCCCATCTAGTTCATTATTCTCATAGAATCATGGAATTGTATAGTTGGAAGGGACCACAAGGGTCATCTTTTTGCTCAGTGTGGGGTTCAAACCCACGACGCTAAGAGTCTCAAGCTCTACTGATTGAGCCATCCCGGCACCTGTTCTCATAGTGGTCACCCAGATGTTTCTTAAGAAATGCTGCATTTTGATGCATTTCTCCCCAAATCTATCAAATGTCAAATTATCAAATGTCTACATTTGGTCCTCTTCTGACCCTAGTCAGGTAGTCCTGCAGCTGAATATAATAATAGTAATAGTAGTAGTAGTAATAATAATAATAATAATAATAATAATAATAATTAATAATAATATATTTATAATATAGCTATACCCCACTCATCTGGCTGGGCAGCTCCCAACAGAATATTAATAATAAAAAGCAACAACATCAAACATTAAAAACTTCCCTAAGCAGGGCTGCCTTCAGATGTCTTCTAAAAGTCAGATAGTTGTTTATTTCCATGACGTCTGATGGGAGGGCATTCCACAGGGCAGGCGCCACTACCGAGAAGGCCCTCTGCCTGGTTCCCTGTGTAACCTCCTTTCTCACAGTGAGGGAACCGCCAGAAGGCCCTCGGAGCTGGACCTCAGGGTCCGGGCAGAATGATGGGGGTGGAGATGCTCCTTCAGGTATACTGGGCCAAGGCCTTTTAGGGCTTTCAAGGTCAGCACCAACACTTTGAATTGTGCTTGGAAACGTACTGGGAGTCAATGTAGGTCTTTCAGAACTGGTGTTATGTGGTCTTGGCGGCCACTCCCAGTCACCAGTCTAGCTGCCGCATTCTGGATTAGTTGTAGTTTCCGGGTCACCTTCAAAGGTAGCCCCACGTAGAGCACATTGCAGTAGTCCAAGTGGGAGATAGCCAGAGCATGTGCAAGGACCTGCTTCTAGTCTCTGCTCTTGGAGAATAAGCGAGGCATCCTGTCCTCAGCATTGTGACCACGATCAAGGATGGGTGAGGCATTGGCAGATGCTAGGGCGCATGGAGTGGAAGTGTTGTATTAGGGATGGAGCAGGGTGTGCCTGCTGCCCTCAGGCGCTGTGGTTGCTTCTTTCTCATTAACCATGTTGAAATAAAGTTCAACTGTCGGTCTGTTTTGCTTCTTCATATGTCATTGGGAGGTGGAGGGAGCTTCACCAAAGACAGCAGAATGTTTTGGGCTGTCCCTGTCCACAATTCTGCTTTGCCCCTCGAAAATATAAACATTAACTCACAATACAAGGTTAATACACGCACAGCCCCATAGGACACACATTCGAAAATCACACATACACATCATCCCTATGTCAGCGCAGCAGTATTTCAGACACAGCCCCAATGTTGTCATTACATCACTTTGATATCCCCACTGTTGTTGCACTGATGCCCTGAGAGACCTGGTTGCCTTGCTTCCTCAAGAGTAGATGGATTGCTGATGGATACACTGACCATAAAGAGAGACACAGAGACAAATCCTATCTTCTGATCAGAATGAACTCTATCTCTAGATAGGTTTAGGAATATACCGGGTACTCAGAGAGGTAAGGGAAAGGGCTCAAAAGCACTTTCCGCATTCCAGGGCTAAACTTTGGCACTGAAAGTAGGCCAAATCTAACCGCAGTGGCATTATGATATTATGACTCTGAATGCTAGTGGCTTGGAATCAGAGGTGGGCAGAGACCTGATGCAGTCATGTCCAGCTTGCAGGCTTTGGGGGGTGGGCTTTTAAAATACCGTATTTTTTGCACCATAACACTCACTTTTTTCCTCCTAAAAAGTAAGGGGAAATGTCTGTGCGTGTTATGGAGGGAATGCCTACGGGTAGCATGCCTACGGATTTTCCTCCTCTAAAAACTACGTGCGTGTTATGGTCGGGTGCGTGTTATAGAGTGAAAAATACGGTATATATGTTTAATTTTTATTTATGCTTTTCAGGTTTATACATTTCACTGATTTTACAATAATTCTGACATTTCAAAACTTGATTTCCTTCCTCTACTTCCTGCGGTTTCGTAAATTTATTTTTAATATCTTCTGTATATCCAAATTAACTTAATTTTCTCATTTATTCATCTACTTTAAATATATCCTCTTATAAAACTGCAGGTTATTACAATAATCCTGCCAATGCTCTTATCTGTTTACAATTTATCTGCAAATATTCAATAAACCATTTCCATTCTTTTATAAAAAGTTTGTTATCTTGATTTCTTATTCTTCTGGTAAGTTTTGCCATTTCTGCATATTCCATAAGTTTTTGTATCCATTCTTCCTTTGCTGGGACTTCTGCTTCTTCCCTTTTGTGGGCAAGTAATGTTCTTGCCACTGTAGTTGCATACGTGAGTAAGTTTCTATACAGTTTTGGTAGTTCTGTCCCTATAATTCCTGAAAGAAAAGCTTCTGGTTTTAAAAAAACACACGTTAAACATCCTTTTCAATTCATTATATATCATTTCCCAGTAAGCTTTAACCTCACTAAAGGACCACCACATATGGTCAAAAGAACCTTCTTTCTCTTTACCTTTACAACACTTATTTGATTTAGATTTATACATTTTTGCCAGTTTACTTGGTGTTAGTTCCCATCAATATATCATTTTCATATTATTTTCTCTTAGACCATAACATTCTGTAAAATTTATATTCATATTCCACAATCGTTCTCATGCTACCATATATACAGTGGTGCCTCGCAAGATGAAATTAATTCGTTCTGCGAGTTTTTTCGTCTTGCGAGTTTTTTCGTCTTGCGAAGCACGGTTTCAATTTTTTCAAAAAAATCTTCAAAAACCTCAAAAAAGGCTACCACACCGCGTGCTATGAGTTGCTCCCCAAAGTCAAGTCGCAACTGCACCTCTTCAAGCAATGCACCCTGTATTACTGTAACGGTTTTAAGAAAAAGGAAACAAACTTGCAAGACGTTTCCGTCTTGCGAAGCAAGCCCATAGGGAAATTCGCCTCGCGAAGCAACTCAAAAAACGAAAAACTCTTTCGTCTTGCGAGTTTTTCGTCTTGAGAGGCATTCGTCTTGCAAGGTACCACTGTATTTTATGACCAATATCTATTGTCCAGGCTTCTCCAAGGTTTCTGGTGAGCCACTGTGCTGTACCCAAGTGGCTTGATCCAGCAGCTTCATCTTCTGTTCTGAGGTTCGGCCCTGGCTGAAGTGAACCCTTGCTCAGTTCATCCCGCACCTCAAGATTGTTCCTCTTGTGCTTATATCACAAAGTTATATTGACTCTGCTGTGACCTCTTCCCTGTGATGGAGACAAGCTTTTCCTAATTACCGTTTGCCAGCTGCCGAGCTTCCAGGGAGATGAAGGCAAACTGCATTTGCTTCCAAGTTACTTTCAGCCTTTCCATAGAGAGCTTAGCAAAGCCAGATGTTTCTAAGTGACTCATCGTGGAGCTGCCTTTCTTGGCTAGACAATGCAACACTTTGGGACTACCACCCATTGTGCATCATTTCATCGCATGTGTGGTGTCCAGCTTCCTAGGCCTTGCAAAGCCCTAACTACTACTCAGTGACAACGATGAACAACAGGAGGCGAACAGCACTTCTTCTTGTAAAGTGTTAATCTCTCCCAAAGCCTAAAGCTGGATGACGCATAACCAATTTGTCAGATATGCAGTAGAAGCAGGTTTGCTCAAAGGTAAATCCACTGTATTAAGTGGGATCTACCCAGAGGTAAGTATGCACTGTATTGCACTTAATTTGCTCTTGTCTTGTTACTAGACATATGGAAACTTCAAAAGGACACATATGACTCAACCATACTGTTGAATTATCGCAGTCCCGTACTGCTCTGCAGCATAGAAACCAAGGTATTCTGTATTCATACTTTTCAGAAATCTGGCAGCCCCAATGTTAACATGTCATGCACCATAGGTCAAATCCACACCAAACATTTAAAGTACAGTCGTACCTTGGAAGTCAAATGGAATCCGTTCTGGAAGTTTGGTTCGACTTCCAAAATGTTTGGAAACAAAGGTGCGGCTTCTGATTGGCTGCAGGAAGCTCCTGTGGCCAGTCGGAACCCATGGAACCTACATCGGACATTCAGGTTCCAAAGAACGTTCGCAAACTGGAACACTCACTTCTGGGTTTGCGGCGTTTGGGAGCCAAAACGTTCAACTTGCAAGGTGTTCGACTTCTGAGGTACAACTGTACATGGTTGTTGTTGTTTTTTTAAAAAATTATATTCCGCCCTCCCCAGCCAAAGCCGGGCTCAGAGCGGCTAACAACAGTAAAATGATACAACATTCTAAAATCATTTCATTATAAAATCAATTCAAATCAGATTAATGGCAACCATTGGGCTAGAGTTCTGTGAGGATTACCAAAGGAGGGGGTCAGGCTGTGCCTTGGCCAAAGGCCTGGTGGAACAGCTCCATCTTGCAGGCCCTGCGGAAAGATGTCAAGTCCCACAGGGCCCTGGTCTCTTGTGACAGAGTGTTCCACCAGATCGGAGCCACAGCTGAAAAAGCCCTGGCTCTGGTTGAGGCCAACCTAACCTCTCTGTGGCCCGGAACCTCCAAGTAAGGTCCTCCCGTAAGGTCCTCCATGGGACATACCAGGAGAGGCGGTCCCATAGGTACGAGGGTCCTAGACCGTATAGGGCTTTAAAGGTTAAAACCAGCACCTTAAACCTGATCCTGTACTCCACCGGGAGCCAGTGCAGCTGGTACAGCACTGGGTGAATGTGATCCTGCAGCAAGGACCCTGTAAGGAGTCTCACGGTGGCATTCTGCACCCGCTGGTTTCCCCTCAAATCATCCTGGGAACTGTAATATATCCATCACAGAACTTTATTTCCCAGCACCTTTAATACACAACACTTCCCATGATTATTTGCAGGAAGCCATATGCTTTAAATCACAGAACTGTAGAACTGGAAGTGACCCATACGGTCATCTAGTCCCTGCAATGCAGGAGTCTGCAACTGTCCCATACAGGGATCAAACTTGCAACCTTGGTGTTATCAGCACCACGTTCTCACCAACTGAGCTATCCAGGAGACAGTAAGGATGTAAAATAAGGATGCATCTGGACAGTATTTAACAATGACAGGGTTTTTGTTTCGTTTTGTTGGGGAGTGTTGACTGGTTATCCCTGGTTAACCCTGAGCAACACAAAATGTTATTGGTGAAGATACTCCAGATATGAACCAAGACATTTTTCCTACCCCAAGAAACTGGATTACTAGGTTTTTACACACCAGGATCCTTCTCCCAGCATTCTAAGAGATTATGTTTAAATAATTCAAACATTGGGGCACACCTCTCAGATTGCATGTTGCTTTGTTGACCTAACAAATATTATTATTGCCCTGAATGATGGTGTTTTTTGGGGAGGGGGACCGGCTGAATCTGCTTTGCAGTGGGAAAGTTGTTGGAGCGATTTGGTGTCACCTGGCATTCTGGTGTCATGTTGCTATGTGCAGGGCTTATAAAACCTCCTCGGTGTTCAAAGGCAAAACCGTAGTGGCATGTAGCGAGTGTAAACCCATTGCAATAATAGCGAAGGCACAGGCTTTACAAGGGGCAGGATTCTTGGCTTTTATTAGATTGAAGTCCTTTATCACAAATACTTTTGCAGCAGATACCGCAAACCAAAAAAGGGTTCAGAACGGGCTGTAATTAGGTTTTGTGTAGCTAGGCGTTTCAGTAAAGGTAAAGATAAAGGGACCCCTGACCGTTAGGGCCAGTTGTGGACAACTCTGGGGTTGCGGTGCTCATCTTGCTTTACTGGCCGAGGAAACCGGTGTACAGCTTCCGGGTCATGTGGCCAGCATGACTAAGCTGCTTCTGGCGAACGAGAGCAGCGCATGGAAACGCCGTTTACCTTCCCACCAGAGCGGTACCTATTTATCTACCTGCACTTTGATGTGCTTTCAAACTGCTAGGTTGGCAGGAGCAGGGACTGAGCAACGGGAGCTCACCCCGTTGCAGGGATTCGAACTGCCGACCTTCTGTTCGGCAAGCCCTAGGCTGTGGTTTAGACCACAGTGCCACCCACCTTTCAGTACTCTGCAGCAAAGCTGACGATTAGAAACCCTACAGTTCAAGAATATTGCATTTTGAGAGCTAGGTTGGGGAGACTTTTTGAAATACAGTGGTACCTCGGGTTAAGTACTTAATTCGTTCTGGAGGTCCGTTCTTAACCTGAAACTGTTCTTAACCTGAAGCACCACTTTAGCTAATGGGGCCTCCCGCTGCTGCCACTCCTCCATGGCTGCGCGATTTCTGTTCTCATCCTGAAGCAAAGTTCTTAACCTGAGATACTATTTCTGGGTTAGCGGAGTCTGTAACCTGACGCGTATGTAACCTGAAGCATATGTAACCCGAGGTACCACTGTACAGCAACATCATAATATACTGAAACAGAGGCACGTCAAAACCTGAAAGCAACTTGTAGACCTCATAGAGAGGAGTGGTCTTTTGAGCGCTTAAGAGGACAGCAAACCAGACTGGATAAACATCTCTAAACTATGGTTGCTTGTTATGTTTGGAAACTCAAACCCTCGTTGGGTTCTAGTCTATGGTAGTTTGCTATGTCTGAAGAGAACAGGTATGAGGCTCTTCAGTGATAATATTAGTGAAATAAATTGTTGTATTTTGGGGCTTCGGACATACCTCAGTTGATTTATGAACAGTATTGTCTACTTTTTTAAAAAAGTGTTAATACCATCTGCTTGTGACCTGAGGTGCTCTAAAGAACAAGTCCAGCTTACTGCTTCAGGTGGAGAAGAAATTCACACACTTTTTCAAGCGGTTGTTGCATTTGAACATAAATAGGTGTATGCTTAGCATGAGGAGTTCTGAGCGACAAACCTGCTCATACAATGGCATCCAGCTTTTGGGGGGATGCAGGTTCGTTAATTCAGAAACTTTCCAGAGTAGCTTACAGAACAAAATGCTGAGGTTAGAGAGAAACTGAATATGGCTGATATCCAACTACTAAGGAATACTCAGAGAAGACTCACGGATATAATCAGAATTAAGTCCATTGATCTCATTAGGTCTACTCTGAATACGACTCAGTTGGACATCACACTACAGTGGTACCTCAGGTTAAGTACTTAATTCGTTCCGGAGGTCCGTACTTAACCTGAAACTGTGCTTAACCTGAAGCACCACTTTAGCTAATGGGGCCTCCTGCTGCCGCTGCGCCGCCGGAGCACGATTTCTGTTATCATCCTGAAGCAAAGTTCTTAACCTGAAGCACTATTTCTGGGTTAGCGGAGTCTGTAACCTGAAGCGTATGTAACCTGAAGCGTATGTAACCTGAGGTACCACTGTATGTTGATTCCGTGAGATGCTAAAACACGGATTCTCACCTCACCCCCAAGGACTCAAATTTGTTCGATTCATTCCAAATCACCCTTGGGCGGTGAAAACCTCAGGATTCACAGCGGCCCACAAAATGAACCTTCGGCACCCGAACCTGCAGGGTCAAAGTTTCATAGAATACATTTCATTTGCTTCACTCCCAAGTGGCGCCAAAACCTTGCAAAAGGCCCCCTGCACCCTTTAGCAGTGGAAACCCTACATTTCACGGTGCCCCATAAAATGAGCCGCTAGAGCTCTAACAGTTTCGGCAAAAACGTGACATCTGCAAATTTACTCCCAAGTGGCGCCAATGCCAGGAAAACGGGCCCTGTAACATTTGATGGTGCAAACCCCACGTTTCATGGTAAGCCATAAAATGAGCCCTCAGCGCCCTAACCTGTGAGGTCACGGTTTCACCAAAAACCCGACATCGTCAGATTCACTCAAAAGTGGTGTCAAACCCCTGCAAATTAAACCCTGCAACATTTGGCGGTGTAAACCCCACGTTTATTGTAGGTCATAAAACGAGCCCTTGATGCCTCATCCGCGGTACAATGGGGTTTGCCAAAAACCTGATGTCGTCCGATTCACTCAAAAGCAACATCAGACACCTGCAAATGGCCCTCTCCAACGTTTGGCAGTCCAAACGCCACCTTTCATGGTAGGCCATAATTTGCCTGGGGGAATGAAAACCCTTCAGCCAGCCCTGACTAAAAGCTGAGAAATGCAAATGACAAAAATATTCCAGACTTTATGAGATGTGGACCCAGGAAAACTGGGCATTTCCCTTTTGGTGCTGAAAGCAGCTTCAACCTGAATGCGACTGGGCCTGTGGCTCCTTCCTGCTGAGCTGAGCTCCGACTGTCCTACTATGTCAGAGCTACAATAGGCCTTAGTCACTCCATTTGTCAGCCTGCCTCGACAGACAGAGCCTTTAACTTTTGGCCTCTTTAAGAAGCAAATTCCTTGTGCGCTGCCTCAGAGGTGGAATTTCCTGTAGGTCGGGAAACAAAGCTCTTGCGAAACGAACGAAGTATGGCTTGCTGGAGGCAACTGGTCCTGTGTGAATCGTAGGTGAAGTCACACTATTGCTCAGCAGACTCACAGATGGGGTAGATAGCAGGCTGAGAGTCACTGTGGAGAGGCTGTTTATTATACCTTTTTTAATTTCACATGGAGAGTTGCATCCAAGGCAAGTCATCCTATTAGTGCGTGACAGTCCATCTACTCCTCTGCCTGCTACACATGCCCACAGACCGGAATCTGCTCTAAAGACACTTTCCCGGCTGCATTTTCACAGGTAGAGGTGGACAGGTGATCAACTTTGTGTGTGAGCGAATGAGATAGATTCAGAAAAGTTATCTGAAGTTTTAAATGTTATTTTCATACCGAAAAAGTGGATCTGAATGCAAGATGGCAGTTCCCAGAAGGCCAGTGTGATGCACTCTGGGTAAAATATTGGACCAGTGGTTCCCAGTTGGGGGTCTAGGGACCCCTGCGTGTCCGTGGAACACACCCAGGGGGTCCACGGCACCATCCCCTGCCAGGGACTCGCTTATCTTGTTAATTGCCCAGTGAAAGCCACAATAAAGATCCATGAATCATCCAGCCTCAGCTTACGCTTGCTTGCTAGCAGGGGAAAAACCTGTGAAAGAGTTTCTGGGTGGCAAGTGAGCTGGGATTGGGCACAAAACTCTGACACAGTTTCTTAGGGCTCTTGCAACTGGAGGGGTGTGTGGGGAGAGACAGTGTATTTATGTGCTTGCTCCATGGGATGGATTCATGTGCTTATCATTAAAAAAAAATATTAAGGGATCCCTTCCCCTTGCTCTCTACTTATTAACATAGCTGTCAACTTTTCCCTTTTTTTAAGGGAAATTCCCTTATTCCAAATAGGATTCCTCGCAAGAAAAGGGGAAAGTTGACAGCTATACTTATTAATTGAAAAGAACTTCTAACTGCTTTCAATGACTACCAAGTTTAGAGGACTCCCCCACTGCTTGTGTGAATCTCTTCAGTGTGAATCATGCCTTATGAATTTGGGATTCATGTCTCATCTTGGAAGTTCAACAGGGGAAATAGCTAAGCAAATTGCCGCTATGCTTAGCAGCAATGCTTTTGTTTAACCCCTGAAAAAGAGGACATATCCTGGAAAAAGAGGACATATGGCAACCATACGACGCCACTTACTACTTTCCCCCTAAAAATACCACCCCCTGAAGCACATTTTCTGTAACAGAAGCAGCCGCTGGAGTTTTGCTATATATATTTCAAACATGATGTTTTTGCATGTAAAGTTTAGCTAGGCGTCCTGCCTCAAAACATCTTTTCCCTCTCCAACAGTCCCACTTCTACCTGGAGTAAAGAATCAAGCATGACTTGTAGGACTCCCAATTTCACCCCTTTAGTGACTAACAACACCAGATCACACATTAATACCTCAGATCTAGAATAAATGTGCTCCCAGTCAACCTGTGTTATAGATATATTACATATTGGATTAAATTACACACTGACACTCTGAATGAATTACTATCTAAATTACAAATGCATAAAATTATATCCAGATAACTTCCACCTGGGAATGTTCTGAATCCTACAAGAGAAGAAAACAACAACAGTTAATGGATAATATAAAATATTATCTATTTCATAATATTAGATGCAGCTAACTTTGTATCGAAAACTAAGAAAATTCCTCTGTTTCAGAGGCAGCCTTAAAAATGTAGCAATGCCTTTAAGAATAGGAATGAAATGGGTATCAATTTGAGCTAAGTTGAAAAACATCGAAAACACTGTAGGCCTTATTCACATATCACTTTAAACCATGTTTCAATAAACTCTATTTAGTTTAGTTGTTTAGATGTTCATGGGACCCTGATTGTTTGAGATTAATATTTGCTGATTGTTCGGGACTGCTAGTTGCTGAATTGTAACATACTTCTAAAATTGTGGGTATTTCATTCCTCTCTTGCTACTTTTGCTCATATTATTTGGTATAGCATGACATCCGAACCTGGGTTTGTGGTTTAATTTATTTCAAACAGTAACCGGCATTTGTTCTTGGCTTACCTCGCATCGTTTGTTTGGGGGAAATATATATGGGAAAACAAGAGTGCAGAATGGAGCTGAACACAGAGTCATAATAACTTTGTGCTGCTCAACAGTGACCCCTGTAGACTATTCTACGAAGTACCATAACTAGCTCAGACATTTTATACGTTATCAAATACTCCTTTATTTTCGGGGCATGGTTGTCAAAAAGTGATGTTATATACCAGTCACCAGGTCGCTTCAAAAAGTGCTGGAAACTGAGAAAAGGGGGCTAAACCCCTCCTTACACAACCCTTTCTCTATCCAAATTTTTGGCTTTTGTCTGACTAAGTCCATACAAGAAGTGATGTCTCTAGCTGCTTGTTCTCATTCCTTCTCAATAAATCCGGTTGTGGACCTTATATTTTGTTTATTCTTTTAATAAAAGCAGCATTTCAGTATGCTGCCTTTCAGATGTGGGGGTGACCTAAGCTTTGGATGCATTTATTTGATATTTTGTGTTGATAATTGAAATGTGGCATTCATACTGATACTAATTATATTCCGTGAATACTATAAAACCTGTCTTAAACAGCAATGAAAATAATTCACATATTTAGCCAGACTGTTAGCCTATGGTGTGTGTTTGTGTGTAATTACAGACTTCCCAACATGGTGCCCACCATATTATTATTATTATTATTATTATTATTATACTATAACTCCCATCATTCCCAGCCAGCAAAGCCAGTGGCCTGGGTTGATGGGAAATGGAGTCAAACAACTTGTAGAGAAGTGTATCATGCCACTCGGAAGCCTTCTAAAATAGTTGGTAAAGGTAAAGGGACCGCTGACCGTTAGGTCCAGTCGCGGACGACTCTGGGGTTGCGGTGCTCATCTCGCTTTATTGGCCGAGGGAGCCGGCGTTTGTCCAAGTCATGTGGCCAGCATGACTAAGCCGCATCTGGCAAACCAGAGCAGCACACGGAAACGCCGTTTACCTTCCCGCCGGAGCGGTACCTATTTCTCTACTTGCACTTTGATGTGCTAGAATTAGACCTCCCTACAGGCAGAGTGGGACAGCTTGCCCCAGATGGCAGATTATTAAAGGATTAACTTTTTTTTACTAAACCTATTAAAAAGCAGCATAATGTCAGTAATTTAGTTTATTATTATATTTTTACCCAATAATATTTTAAACCTCTGTCTCAGTCACTAGAATGTCTCTCGCCTCAGTTGCACCTCTGACAGAGTGACAGGAAATACCGTATTTTTCTGTGCATAGGATGCACCCATGTATAAAATGACCCCTATTTTTTGGAACCGAAAATTAAGAAAACAGTATCTTAGGGTTGCCCAAACCCTAAAGTAGAAGTGAAAGTCCGCACAATCGGCGACAGCGACAAGCTTTTGACCCTTTGGGGGGTGATTGCCACAACCCCCAATGGGCCCACCGAACGCGCACTCCAGCCCGCCCAAGCCAAAATCCTGGACATTACCTTAAAATAAAATAAAAATCTCCCTGGATGCCCATGTTTCGTGTATAAGACGGCCCCCAATTTTTGAAATAGAAAATAACCTCATCTTATACACAGAGAAATATGGTAGTATCCTCTCTCGCCTCTTCATCTCCTAATTGTGTTTCCTAGTGATGTATTTCTCCTAATATGTGAACACACAGATTTCCCGCAGGCATCTGGGTGGCCGCTCTGAGTACAGGATGTTGAATTAGAGTAGCCATTGGCCTGATCCAGTCGGCTCTTCTTATGTTCTTCGATGCATGAAACCAAAGAAGTGACATCGACTCCTTTTGCACTGTATGAAAACGCTAGAAAATTACAATGAATTATGCAGCTGGTCTTCTTTTATCATTCTGCTAGGTGGAAGAATAGAAGTTCAAATAACGGAGGGCCACTTACCGAGTCTTGATATTTCGTAAGGGTTGCTTCCTAATGGAGGAAATGTCTAGTTCCAAAAGTCTAGGGATATCCGGAAAGCCGCATGCCTCAGACCACATCAGAGACACAGGCTCTTTGGGTCCAAGGGGGATACTAAATTCCGTGATATCCGTCTTCCACAGTGATTCTATCTGTTCACCGCTTTGCTCCCTATTAGTAAGAGGAGGAATGCCATTATACATCAAAGAAAGAAACGGCTTTGAAGTAAGCTACTATCTTAAAGAAAAGTGCCAATCCAATCCTTATATTTCTAACGTGCAACTAACACCCAGAAGAGAAGAAAAACCAATGGGAAGTAATTTGAAATTTGGTGATGATCAAGGGAGAGGGGATCTTCTGCTGTTTTTCTATCCTGGTTGTCCAACTTTTCCTGTCCTGAAATAGCTGTTGGGCTACCATTTCATGGGTGTGTAATGAGTAATTTGGATCTCAGTAACCCCAAACAGTCCAGTAGGCTAGCTGTTTGATCGAGATCTGAAGAAGCAGCTGATTGATGCTGAGATTAGGAGACTCTCCTCTGTGAAGCTCTTGATTGCCTTCCAAAAATTGATTTTGTTTTTTAAAGTAAAAGATGTCCTTTTTTTTAAAAGAGGCTTCAGAGAGGGATTCTGGTTCTCTTTCTTTTGTATTCATAGAACATTAGTTTTACATGGATTTGAATGGTCGTTATCTGTTGGATACTTGCCCTGAGCCAAGATGATGAGCTATTTTGACATTGAATAGAGTGTAATTTTAAAAATACTCCTTATTCTAAGAAGTAGGAGTTAGGTTTCCTGACATGGAGAGGTATACTAAAATCCCCTAGTGGTATAGTAGCTGCACTGGAGGAATGGCTTGTGCATGAGAAAGTTCAGGAAGAAAGCATGATTTCCGTGGCTGGTCGCGCAACACATTGCTGTAGCCCCGATACTTCATGTTGCACAACTAGTTTCCTGCTAGAGCAATAGTTGTCTGGATTCTCATATTCAGTTTTCGGTTTTCATTTTCAATCTTCATTCTTGCCCTTAAAGGTAAAGGGACCCCTGACCATTAGGTCCAGTCGTGACCGACTCTGGGGTTGCGGCGCTCATCTTGCTTTATTGGCCGAGGGAGCCGGCGTACAGCTTCCGGCTCATGTGGCCAGCATGACTAAGCTGCTTCTGGCAAACCAGAGCAGTGCACGAAACGCCATTTACCTTCCCGCCGGAGCGGTACCTATTTATCTACTTGCACTTTGATGTGCTTTTGAACTGCTAGGTTGGCAGGAGCAGGGACCGAGCCACGGGAGCTCACCCCGTTGCGGGGATTTGAACCGCCGACCTTCTGATCGGCAAGTCCTAGGCTCTGTGGTTTAACCCACAGTGCCACCCGCGTCCCTATTCTTGCCCTTACGCTAGAGCAAAATTGAATCGGGCCACAGAGACTGCAACCTCATAGGAGCTCCCTCCAAGAACCTATTATACTGTACCTGATTGTAGCTGAAAATGTTAAATCTTGTTGTTTCTTTGCACAAACCAGGGGGCTTGGGTGGGTTCTGGGCTTCAGGAAGACAGGTCCAATGTTGGGCACGTGTATGCTTTCCCTCTTTGTTCTATCTCTTGCTTTGATCAACAAGGGGCATGGGTTGGTAAGCTGGAGTTTGGCACTCAAGCGGAGCTGTGCAGAAAGAAAGAGCAGTCAGTTTGCCTGATGCAGACAAAGGTTCAGGGAAGGATCTACCATGCAGCCGGAGGAATGAGGAAAAGGGAGGATTGAGAGACAGAAGCCATCTTACTAATGTTGCTCAAAATACGAGACCCCCAAACGAAGCTCTGCTAATTTCTTGCCCCTGGTATTTGTGGGATGTGACACACAAGAGCAGTCAAGGACAACATTCCTAGAGTGAACATGTTTACACATGGGGAGGAATGTTTGTCCAGCCAGCAGGTAAACTTCCTGTTTCCTTCTGGGCTGGGACAGACTTCCTCTGCATGTGACTAGAGGTGGGTGTGGCCTCACCTGTACAGGTAACGACAAAAGCACAGGGCAGGGCAGCCATCCCTCTCTTTTTGACTACATGCATCGAAGAAGCAACATCTGCTTAGCCAAAGATGCAAGAGGACAAAGGGACTATCTTCTTATGAGATAGTTTCTAGGTATATGTTACTTTTCTAAGCTAAGTCTGCCTTCTGGGATCCTATTGTGAACAGAAAGATGTGTGAGTAAACCTTTTATACTTTTATAGAAGACTGCATCGTGTCTTATCTTTTATGAGGGAGTAAGGGGAAAATACCAAAACAGTTACTATAGAGGCTTTAGCGAGCCTGAGCAAACGCATCCGCTGCAAGTTTAAAAAGGGGAATGTTACTCTGCTAAATTGTGAACTTGTTAACACAAGTTGGAAAGGCTGTAATCAGACAATATATCCTCTCCTGCATCCCTGAACATTCCCACAGTTTTCAACATCGTGCTATATCACCAGCTAAACATCATGATATATCACGATGCCTGAAATAAGGATGGAGCTATGCAGAAGGATTGACTGGCTTCACAATTTTTTCTGCATCATGATTTTTGCCTGCGTCTGCTCTTTTGATTCGCTGCCCACTGCAGGAGGCAGGGGAGAGTTAAGCTGGCAGACTTAACAGGGGCTGCAAGAATCGAGAGAAGCATTAGCTGGCTTCACGGTTTCCCCCACATTGTGATTTCTGCATAGCACACACATACACACCCCACGATTTGTGATATTACCAGGTCAAACCCCTTCATGGATCACTGCCTTGCCGTGGCGAAGGGGCTTGAAGAACTCAGAGAAGCTATGAACTATGCCGAGCAGGGTACCCAAGATGAACAGGTCATAGTGGAGAGTTTTGACCAAACGTGAGCCACCTGGAGGAGGAACCGGCAAGCCACTCCAATATCTCTGCCAAGAAAACTCCATGGACAAAGACAACAGGCATATAAAAGTTATGACGCTGGAAGATGAGCCCCTCAGGTCAGAAGGCGTCCAACATGCTACTGGGGAAGAGCGGAGGACAAGTACAAGTAGATCCAGAGCTGATGAAGCGGCTGGGCTAAAGCCGAAAGGACGTTCAGTTGCGGATATGCCTGGAAGCGAAAGGAAAGTCCAATGCTGTAAAGAAAAATATTGCATAGGAACCTGGAATGTATGAACCATGAACCTGGGTAAGTTGGATGTGGTCAAAAATGAGATGGCAAGAATAAATATTGACATCCTGGGCATCAGTGAACTAAAATGGACGGGAATGGGCGAATTCAGTTAGGATGACCATCATATCTACTACTGTGGGCAAGAAACCCGCAAAAGAAATGGAGTGGCCCTCATAGTCAACAAAAGAGTGGCGAAAGCTGTACTGGGATGCAATCTCAAAAATGATAGAATGATCTCGATACGAATCCAAGGCAGACCTTTTAACATAACAGTAATCCAAGTTTATGCACCAACTACTGGTGCTGAAGAAACTGAAATTGACCAATTCTATGAAGACTTACAACACCTTATAGAAGTGACACCAAAGAAGGATGTTCTTCTCATTATAGGGAATTGGAATGCTAAAGTAGGGAATCAAGAGATAAAAGGAACAACTGGCAAGTTTGGCCTTGGAGAGCAAAATGAAGCAGGGCAAAGGCTAATAGAGTTCTGTCAAGAGAACAAGCTGGTCATCACAAACACACTTTTCCAACAACACAAGAGACGACTCTACACGTGGACATCACCAGATGGGCAGCATCAAAATCAGATTGATTATATTCTCTGCAGCCAAAGATGGAGAAGCTCTGTACAGTCAGCAAAAACAAGACCTGGAGCTGACTGTGGCTCAGATCATCAGCTTCTTATAGCAAAATTCAAGCTTAAACTGAAGAAAGTAGGAAAAACCACTGGGCCGGTAAGATACAATCTAAATCAAATCCCTTATGAATACACAGTGGAAGTGAGGAACAGGTTTAAGGATTTAGATTTGCTAGACAGAGTGCCTGAAGCACTATGGATGGAGGCTCGTAACATTATACAGGAGGCAGCAACGAAAACCATCCCAATGAAAAGGAAATGCAAGAAAGCAAAGTGGCTGTCCAATGAGGCCTTACAAATAGCGGGGGAGAGAAGGCAAGCAAAATGCGAGGGAGATAGAGAAAGATACAGGAAATTGAATGCAGATTTCCAAAAAATAGCAAGGAGAGACAAGAAGGCCTTCTTAAACGAGCAATGCAAAGAAATAGAGGAAAACAACAGAATGGGGAGAACTAGAGATCTGTTCAAGAAAATTGGCGATATGAAAGGAACATTTCGTTCAAAGATTACCATAATAAAGGACAAAAGTGGAAAGGACCTAACAGAAGCAGAAGACATCAAGAAGAGGTGGCAAGAATACACAGAGGAATTATACCAGAAAGATATGGATGTCTCGCACACCCCAGGTAGTGTGGTTGCTGACCTTGAGCCAGACATCCTGGAGAGTGAAGTCAAATGGGCCTTAGAAAGCACTGCAAATAACAAGGCCAGTGGAAGTGATGGTATTCCAGCTGAACTATTTAAAATTTTAAAAGATGATGCTGTTAAGGTGCTACACTCAATATGCCAGCAAGTTTGGAAAACTCAGCAGTGGCCAGAGGATTGGAGAAGATCAGTCTACATCCCAATCCCAAAGAAGGGCAGTGCTAAAGAATGCTCCAACTACCGCACAATTGCACTCATTCCACACGCTAGCAAGGTTATGCTTAAAATTCTACAAGGAAGGCTCAAGCAGTATGTGGACCGAGAACTCCCAGAAGTGCAAGCTGGATTTAGAAGAGGCAGAGGAACCAGAGACCAAATTGCAAACATGCGCTGGATTATGGAGAAAGCTAGAGAGTTCCAGAAAGACATCTACTTCTGCTTCATTGACTATGCAAAAGCCTTTGACTGTGTCGACCACAGCAAACTATGGCAAGTTCTTAAAGAAATGGGAGTGCCTGATCACCTCATCTGTCTCCTGAGAAATCTCTATGTGGGACAAGAAGCTACAGTTAGAACTGGATATGGAACAACTGATTGGTTCAAAATTGGGAAAGGAGTACGACAAGGCTGTATATTGTCTCCCTGGTTATTTAAGTTATATGCAGAATTCATCATGCGAAAGGCTGGGCTGGATGAATCCCTAGCCGGAATTAATATTGCTGGAAGAAATAGCAACAACCTCAGATATGCAGATGACACAACCTTGATGGCAGAAGGTGAGGAGGAATTAAAGAACCTTTTATTGAGGGTGAAAGAGGAGAGCTTAAAATATGGTCTGAAGCTCAACATAAAAAAAACGAAAATCGTGGCCACTGGTCCCATCACCTCCTGGCAAATAGAAGGGGAAGAAATGGAGGCAGTGAGAGATTTTACTGTCTTGGGCTCCATGATCACTGCAGATGGTGACAGCAGCCACGAAATTAAGAGACGCCTGCTTCTTGGGAGGAAAGCAATGACAAACCTAGACAGCATCTTAAAAAGTAGAGACATCACCTTGCCAACAAAGGTCCGTATAGTAAAAGCTATGGTTTTCCCAGTAGTGATGTATGGAAGTGAGAGCTGGACCATAAAGAAGGCTGATCGCTGAAGAATTGATGCTTTTGAATTATGGTGCTGGAGGAGACTCTTGAGAGTCCCATGGACTGCAAGAAGATCAAACCTATCCATTCTGAAGGAAATCAGCCCTGAGTGCTCACTGGAAGGACAGATCGTGAAGCTGAGGCTCCAATACTTTGGCCACCTCATGAGAAGAGAAGACTCCCTGGAAAAGACCCTGATGTTGGGAAAGATGGAGGGCACAAGGAGAAGGGGTCGACAGAGGACGAGATGGTTGGATAGTGTCTTCGAAGCTACCAGCATGAGTTTGACCAAACTGCGGGAGGCAGTGGAAGACAGGAGTGCCTGGGGTGCTCTGGTCCATGGGGTCACGAAGAGTCAGACACGACTAAACGACTGAACAACAACAACAACACCAGGTCAAAAACTATGAAACCAATATCATGATATGGATTTCAAACCAGTTTTGGATGATATATCAATATATCACTTAGCCCTACCCTTTTCCCTGTATGTGGGATAGAAAATAAGATTTGTTTCAGACCAAAGACTGAACTGTGGGCTCAAGCACTCACCAAGGAGGTATACTTTCCCCCCTGTGACTTTTAGTGGAGAGTTGGTGTGCACAGAACAGCAATTCCCCATGCCAAAATTATAGACTGATTTTCCGGCATATACGTAGTGAGTTTCCCAAGCCCACTGTGACTGTATCACAAAGCAGAACCGCCCCCCCCCCATGTGAGTGGGAGCCATCATCACACAGTGAATATCCTTACCCCCGTTGCCACTGTCCGCTACTGATGCAGACTGGATGGCGAAACTCATGATTCATGCAGTGAGTTGCTCACAAGGGATAGGAAATTTACTACGAGGGTCATCAGCCCCGGGGTGTCAGGGACTAGGCAGAGGAGAAATGGTGGCGACCGCCTTCCCAACCTGACTCTTCCAAAGAAGAGGAAGAGGAAGACAGTATAGATTTACAACAAGGGGTTGAGGGAGGTTGCAGCTCAGAGGCAGATGAGGTGGAAAGCTGGAAAATCATGGGAGAGCCAGAACGCCCAGCTGACACATTGTCATTAGAAAGCATGCCAGACCCTCCATCTCCTAGAACACGGCGGGCCTTAAAAGTAGGAGAGCAAAGAGCTCAAAGACAGAGGGTACGTAGCAGCACCCGTAGAGGAGGTGATGATGATGAGGAATGAGGAAGTGGGAGAGACGGGGGGTGGAGATTCACTTAGGACAACGCCATTATCCAAGAGGCTGGGTTCTATAGATTGAAATGAAAAAAGGCAGTAAGAGAAACTCATCCTGACATGAGGTGAAAGTAAAACACCAGCTCTGAGTTGTGAACCCTTCATTCTCTTAGGCTCACCTGAGCAAACAAGGCAATCATCCTTTGAAGGCAGCGCCGACGCTGCTTCTCTGCCATCATCTGTTTAACAGTCCAGTGCCCCATAACTCTTTTCTGGTGAGCATCTAGCTTGTCTACCATCTTGTACAAAACCTGCATTCTAACACCGTCCTTGGCTTCTTTGGCAGCCTCCAACCGAATAAGTAAGGTTTCTCTGTAAATACAGGGCAGGAGGAATATAAATGTGGATAGCTCTTTCCTTTAGTATAAAGAAAGCCCAGCAGCTTAGTCCTTAAGTCAGAGGGCCCATTCTGGTATTCCCAGCCTCTCTACCTGGCATTTGGAACCACTTATGGATGACCTGGCTATTGAACATTCATCCTGATTGGGCTGCAAGGAGATGAGATGATGCTGGCTGTTTAATAAACATTCATTCTTATTAAAGGGAGCGGGTGGCGCTGTGGTCTAAATCACTGAGCCTCTTGGCCTTGCCAATTAGAAGGTCGGGGGTTCGAATCCCCGCAACGGGGTGAGCTCCCATTGCTCTGTCCCAGCTCCTGCCAACCTAGTAGTTTGAAAGCACGTCAAAGTGCAAGTAGATAAATAGGTACCACTGTGGCAGGTAGGTAAACGGCATCTCCGTGTGCTCTGGCACTCATCACAGTCCTCCGTGTGCCAGAAGCGGTTTAATAATAATAATAATAATAATAAAATTTTATTTATACCCTGCCCTCCCCAGCTAAGACCGGGCTCAGGGCAGCTAACACTGAATATAAATACAGTAAAAACATTAAAAAAAAAACACCAAACAAAGTTGATTAAAATATAAGTTAGAATGCAGCTTAAAATGCAGCCTCGTTTTAGTGGTAGCCCATAGATCAAAGCCATAAGGGGAGAAAACATCAAATATTCCCTGGGGCCAACTATCCATGCTGGTCCTACATGGGCCAGCAAAAAGAGCCAAGGGAAAACTTATATACAAAATCCCATATAAGGGGTTCCATAAAAAAAAAAAAAGAGAGAGAGCGGGGGTTAGACTGAGTCCAGCCCAAAGGCCAGGCGGAACAGCTCCATCTTGCAGGCCCTGTGGAAAGATGTCAAATCCCACAGGGCCCTGATCTCCTGCGGTAGAGCGTACCACCAGGCCGGGGCCAGAACTGAAAAGGCCCTGGCCCTGGTTGAGGCCAATCTAACCTCCTTGGGGCTTGGGACTTCTAAAGTGTTATTATTTATGGACCTTAAGGTCTTACACGGGGCATACCAGGAGAGGCGGCCGCATAGGGCTTTAAAGGTCAAAACCAGCACCTTAAACCTGACCCTGTACTCTACTGGGAGCCAGTGCAGCTGGTAAAGCACTGAATGAATGTGATCCCGCGGCGAGGACCCCGTAAAGAGTCTCACCGCGGCATTCTGCACCCGCTGGAGTTTCTGAGTCAGCTTCAAGGGCCACATCACCCAGAAAGCTGTCTGTGGACAAACACCGGCTCCCTCAGCCTAAAAAGCGAGATGAGCACCGTGCCCCATAGTTGCCTTTGACTAGACTTAACAGTCCAGAAGTCCTTTACTTTTACCTCATTCTTATTATTTTCGGGGAAGTTAGATGACATTGCATCAAAACAACTGTTACCCCCCCCATCCATTTTCCTGCAACTTTCCTTAGTCCAAACACCTGAACTTTTTGAAAGGCGGGTTTGCAAAACCTCCCAATCAACTGTAGTCGTACAAACTGAGTTTACTGTGTGGCTGAATCCCACCCCAAAATAGCGACAGTCTGGAACTGTCCTAGGACTTTTCCCAGGCCACACCTCTTCTCCCCAGGCTATAGCCCACCTTGGTCTTGCTCCATGTCCTCCTCAAGTGTATGGTAACAGTTTGGTAAAACTATAATGAGATATATATGGTGTTAAGTATTAAGATTAGTGGCAGTTCTCACTCAGGGCCACCAGTATGTAAATGAAGGATTGAAAACTCGCTCCTGATTGGTTAGCTAGTTGTGAGGTTTTTACTGTTTCTTAGTATTATATAAAGCAGCCAGCTAGGCTGCAGTCAGTCTGATTCCAGGAGCAGTTCTAACTGCTGCAATAAAGAGCTGTGAATCCAACAGAGCTGTGTCCTTTGTCCATCTTTTCCACTATTCAACATATATAATTTTAGATTGCTCTTAAAATTATATACATGTGACAACAGCACATCCTTCCAACTGTCCGCCTGATAGACGGATGACTAGTTCAACTTGTTTTCTGCCGTGCTCTTTAAATATAGTCTGGGGGCAATGCGCTGTCACCACACTGTGCGCCAACGCTAAGGTTCCCAGTAGCTTCACATTAAGATTTTTAGTCTTACCTGACCTGCTGAAGACGACGGAAGGCGATGTATTTCCGGAAGAGCAAAGCCAGCCTTTCCACATTGCTGTGCAATGCTTGCTTGATTATCCCTTTGGTGAGGGTGTAGAGTTCTGGGGAGATGCCAGCCTTCCGGACAGCTTCCCCCAACACCTCCAGGTTTCTCCTCTGAGCTTCTACGTTTATCCAGTAACGCTTCTCTGTGGTGCCGGGTGCAGCAAACTCCTCCGCTTTGGTGAACAGCCTGGGGAACCAAGTGGATTCCAGCTCATAGGTATCCTCGTCAAACTGTGAACTAGGCACGGGGCTGAGCAGGGGGCTAGGAGAAGCACGCCTTTCTTTACGGGGGGAAGCAATCTTATATCGCTTGGAAAATTGATCCAGAATTGCACCTTCCACCACTTTCAGCTTGGGAAGCAAGGCCTTTTCTTCCTTCTGCATCTGCTGCTGCTTCATCTTCACTTTCTGGACTTGCAGCCTCTGCATCTGCATCTGATGGCGCCAGCGGAGCAGCTGCTGCTCCCAGCGCATCTCCCAAAGGTGCTCCATCTCCTCCTGCTTCTCCTTCTGCTCCTGCAGCCACCGCATGTTCTTCTCCTCCTGCTCCTGCTGCTCTTGCCGCAGGGCCTCCATCCGCTGCTCCTGCAGCTGCAGCTGCTCCTGCCACTGGCTCCTCTTCCTCTCCTGCTCCATGTCCTCCTCTTGCCAGAGGAGCTGCTGCTTCTTGTGCCGCTCCTTCAGCTGGCTCCAGCGCCACTGCTCCTCTGCTTGCTTCCCTCGCAGCGCCAGCAGCTCCCTTTTCTCCAGCTGTAGCTGCTCAATCGCCTTCTGCAACAGGTCCTGCTGCTCCTTCTGCTGCTCCCGCTGCCTGGCCCAGAATTGCTCCTGCTCCTCGTTCTGCTGCTGCAGGAGCTGCCAGTGCTCGGCCTGCGCCTGCCACATGCGCTCCTGCTCCTTCTGCTGCTCCTTCTCCCGCTCCCACTGCTGCCGCTGCCCCTCGCACATCTCCTGCCAATGCAGCTGGTATTCTTGTTCCTCTTGCAGCCTGTGGCGTTCCTCCTGCAGCCGGGCCTGTTCTTCATGCAGCCGCTGCTTCTCCTCCTGCAGCTGCTCCTGGATTTGCAAATACCAAAGCTGTTTTTCTCTGCTGAGCTCCCGTGAGCTATCACTTTCCAAATCTGACTTACTCTCTTTGCGCCATGGCCCTTTTCCTTTCTGGGCATGCTTAAGTTTTTCTGCAGAAGATTGTTTTGCCAATTCCTTTTCCAATTCCTGCCACGAGACCTTGGCTTGCACATCTGCTTCATCAGGCTGTTGTTCTGGAGGTTGTTCTTCCATGGGATGTGAAACCTTGGTCAAGTCTTCTTCCTCCACTTGCAACTGGGGCTCCTTCTGGTCTCTCCGCAACTCTTCTTCTTTCTGCTCTTCTTTTTCTTTTTCTTTTTCTTCTTCTTTTTCTTCTTCTTCCTCCTTCTTCTTTCTTTGATGTCGCTGGGACTTGAAGGGCGAGGCCTGTCCTGTTGTCATTTCTTGATCCCATTCCGTCCCAGAGCTGAAAGAGCTACTTGAAGACTCCTGGGACACCACAGGACTGCTAAAGGACAAAGATGGAAGTTTGATTCCCTTCCCATCTTCCTCTTCCAACTCAACCTCTGTGCCCTCTGTGCTCCTTGCAAACTTCTGTTTCTTCCGTCCAGCAGATACTTTCTGCTTCATCAAGATGCATTCATCCAGTTTTCTGTCTATTGCCTCGGAGATCTCTTTGCTTAGTGTATGTGTGAGCTGGGATTTTGCTGACGGCTTCCAGCTGCCTGAGAGACTCCTCTTTAACTTCTCTATCTTCTCATCTAAGCAAGCAAGGATGACCTCCTGAAATTCTTGCAGCCCAGAGCTTGTATCCTGTCCAGGGAGTTCCTCAACAATTGAGTATCTTTGCCTTTTCTGCACAAATGCAGAAGGCAACGTGGGGATTTCTACAGTGAATAGTGCATCCTCCTGGTCTACGGGGCTGCCTCCAGCCTCCTCTGCTGGACCACTGACACGGCCTTCAGGCACTTCTCCTGGAACATCGCCACGACTTTCGGGCTTCTCTTCCTGCACTGTGTCTTGATAGGTTGCGTCCAATTCCTCAAAAATGCGCTTGAGAGCCTCTGCATCTAACACACCACCTCTATCGCTGGCAAGCTCTTGCAGCTTTTTGCCTAAACCACGGATGACATCTCCTGTCTTCTCTGCCCACCTTGGCTGTGGCACACCTGCTGGGCCGCTTCTGCTGGGGCGCTTCTTCCCTTTGGGCCTGCCTACTGTCTCATGGCTTGATTCCTCGGCTTCTCCTGCTTGTGGTGATGAGCTTTCCCCTGGGACCTCTGCGCCCTCCTCCTTCTGGACACCTGGAGCAGTCTCTTGAGTCGGCTCGTCGTCGTCAAACTTGACCACCTTTCTCTCTTTGACAGCCTTGACCAATTGCCCTGCCGTCTTTTTTATGGAGAACTTGCGCTTTGTTGGGGGGCTTGGGAGTCCTTCTGCTGGCTCTTGAGATGATTCTTCGACTTCCGCTTCACCGACACTCTCCCTGGTGACCCGTTTGAGAATGGGCTTAGGGGGAGGGCTTTCAGCTGGCTGTTGGGGAGCTTGCTCCCCTTCAGGTTCTTGGTGGCTTTTGCCAGCCAATTTTTGTGGTGACTGCGTTTTCAAAAGGGATGTTTGTATTTTTTTCCAGGCAGCTGTCCTTGACCCCCGTTTCTTTCCTGCAAATTTGCTAGGTGCTGCTGTTGCTGTTTCTTTTCCAGCAGCTTCTGTGTCTCCCGTTTCGTCGGACGATATCTGTGATAGCTCAGAGGATGCCTGTGACAGGTCTGAGGACGTCGGGCCTACAACTGTCAGTCGTGACAGTCCAGTTTTGCTGTCCCGAGCTCTTACTGAAAGAAACGTCAGAGGTACTTCTGCCTCGGAAGGTGTTTCTTGCAGCTGGTCAGGGTCAATGGTTTCAACCGTGGGTTTCTGCTGCCTGGGTGACTCATCAAATGTGCCCCCTTCTTCAACTTTCACACTTATCATTTCTGCAAGTTCAGTGTGGAGTTTTGTACTCTCCTCATAAGTGCCCTTTTCTTCAACTTTCACACTTCTACTTTCTGCAAGTTCAGTGTGGAGTTTTGTACTCTCCTCATAAGTGCCCTTTTCTTCAGCTTTCACAGTTCTCATTCCTGCAAGCTCAGCGTGGAGCTTCATATATCTCTCATCTTTGATTTCTTTCTCACCCTTGATTTCTTTCTCACCCTTGATTTCTTTCTCATCCTTGATTTCTTTCTCATCCTTGATTTCTTTCTCACTCTTGACTTCCTTCATATCTTTCATACTCCCTGTGGGAAGTTTCTCAGGAATCCTACTTACAGCAGGTCTGAGGGTGGCTTGGCGTGCCACCATTGCCCTCTCATTTGCCTCCTGCAGCTCCCTGTGCAATGCTTCGTTAGTAATCATGAGTGTCTTGCACATCTCTTCAACGGTGTGGACTTGAATTTCCATTGCTGTTTTCCTCTCCATGGCCACTCGCAGCTCCCTTTGCAGAGTTGCAACGTGTGGGTCTGGCTTCTTGCTTTCCAAGGCGCTCTCGGTTTCACACTTGATTTTAAGGCTGCGATACTGCTTCCCTAGAAGGCTGTAGGCCTTAGCTAGGTTAGCTACCATGGTTACAATGTACTTGACTGCTGGATGCTCTATTTTCAAAAAAGTCGGAGAATCTACCATTTCTTGCATCATGTTGTTGAGCTCATTAGTGCGGCTGAATGTAAGAGGGTCATCGTCCAACATCCGTTCTGTTGTAATAGGCTCCCCTTCCTGGGGCGCATCGGCGACTTTGTCTCTCCATGTTTTAAACATGGCATTTCTGTGACCTGAAATAATTGAAGAGATAACAAGAAGGCATTAGAGTATACACAAAGTAAAATTAGCCCAGTGATAAAGTACCTCTGGAACAAGAATTGTTGCACAGTGACGCTGTGAACTTCCTTATAAATCAAGGGCGGATCTACACTCATGGTTTTTAACGTTAAAAAGGAGTTAAGGAATGATTCCGGTAACCATATAGTCACAAGACGTTCTTTTCTTTAATGTTCTTAGTGCGTTATAGAAATGTGACACCAGAGGGCACTGCAGAGCAACCAGAAATCAGGGAGAGAGACTGCGGGGAAAGAAAGCAAAACGAAAACCAAAGGGGACGTTTCCTGTCTTGATGTTTTAGAACGATATTTCTAGTATCGTTCTAATAATGAAAAGGCGAGTGTAGATCCAGCCCAATAAAACTCTGTGTGCTGTCCTAAATGTAACAAACATGTTACAGCCACTTGGAATCAGTCTTGTCCCAAAGTGAGTGCAATCAGATCATCAAAGGAGACCATGGTTTAATAAGGCACTTGAGGCCTCCAGAATAAACCAGAAGTATGACTTGTGTCAACAAGACATTCTGCCTTCAGTGTCGCAGGCCCAGCTCTGCTAAACTCTCTCCCCCTAGAAGACAGGCACCATCTCTGCTGAGTTTCAGGTGCCTAGTTTAAACCATTTTATTTCAGGAAGCCTTTGCATCATGGATATTTCTCTACCATGTTTTAATGTTTCTCGTGTTCTTGTTTAAATTCTTGACATTTTAAATTTCAGAGATTTAAGTTCATGTTTCAAATTTTGTATATTCTAATTTTTTATACTTGTAAGTCGCTTTGAGACATTGAAAAGCAGGATATATAGATGGATAAATATTTGTTTATCTAAAGTAGATGGACAGACATTTTGGGGAAGCAAAATCTCCTTGGAAATAGGCTCCCGAACTCTGCCAACCGGTAAGAGGAGCACACAGATGGCACAGACCATCAAGAGAGCAGGGGATGAGAGAGACCCCTAAACTGAATATGCCACACACAAAATGAACAAGGCTTGCAGCTCTTCCTTGCAAGTGTCTTTATCTCTTTCCCACTAAAACCCCTAGCAACTGCTCCACCCTATGCAAACTCTGATGCTGGCTTAATTGTCCAAGATGACGGAGTTTACAGCTGGGTTCTGACACAGGTTCCTTGAGTTTTGGTGTGCTGTTTGGTTTATCGGTACTTTTATTTCTTTCAAGCCAAACATATGTGGAAGTTTTTGCAGTCAAACCTAACAATGCATATCTATGCTAGTTGGTAAATGAAGGAGTTAAGGACCACAGAGTTGTAAATTTCTAGAGGAGACACAGCTAGGTTACACACCCCTCAACTCTGTCAATTTCCTGTTCCTCTGCCTTCCCTTTCTCTTCGTTTTAACCATGTAAGCTGATATCATGCATGATGCTGGAGCTCCTTAGCCCAAACTGTTTCTGTTTTCGTTTTATGTACTTTGTGTTTTTATATTCTGATTTTATCCCATGAACCGCCGAGACCTGCAGCTGTAGGGCAGTATAATAATAATAGTAATAATACTCCAAGCTTGAAGGGTTTTTTTTGTATTTTGCAACCAATAATACCTTGCCTGTGCTGTTTCTGCTGTAGCACTGAATGGTGCATGAGTGAGACCTATGACTGATGTAAGTAAGTATTTAAACTTACTCAGAGTTGTAGTCTATTCACTCCAAGATGGGTAGAAGCAGGGGAGCTCAATTGTAAGTGTTTAATATTCGGATATTTAAAGTTCTAACAACCTATTTCCCATGCTTACAAATGCTACATAGATCTGTGTTTTAAGTTCTGCTAGGGGCTGCTTTGGCTAAAGTCAAACCCTGTGGGTTGGTTTTTAAAAAAAAAAAATCAGCTGTTTTTTTCTTTGTAGTTCCCCACACATGTGGGACTTCAGGATTAACTGGTATTCCCCAGTTATCTCCCAACAATATAGACCTCTGCTTCCTGATGATGCAACCTCTTTCTCTAACAGATTCATCTCATTTAGGTACCTGATTTCCGTCTCTGCTTAGCTTTCCCTTCTAAAAGTGGGCGGAATAGTTTGATTAGATGCTGAATCTTTGAGTCCATTGCGCTGATAAAATTCTGGATTTTCTCCTCCATCTCTTCAATTATGTCATTAGTGGCAAGGACTTTTTCTTCTCGTTCAACCGCTTTCAGCATTTCATCTGGAAATAATGTTTAAACCCAAAGTGAGTCAAGATGGAAACACCCGTGATGTAAAATGAGAAGCTGTCCTTTTAAAAGCAATCTCCAGTTTATCCATCGAATGAACAGAGATTTAACTGGTTAAACACTATCACCAAGGCCTTGCTTTCTCAGGAAACCAGTCTGCTATAGCCATATCTTTGCATGCAGAAAGGCACCAAGGAGGTTCAGTCCTGGTTTAAAAGATGAGGAAGTTGGTGGTGAGAAATACTTCTCTGCCTGAATCCTGGAGTGTCACAGCTGGCTTAAAAGGTAAAGGGTAAAGGGGTCCAGTCGTGACCGACTCTGGGGTTGCGGCGCTCATCTCGCCAGCGTACAGCTTCCGGGTCATGTGGCCAACATGACTAAGCTGCTTCTGGCAAACCAGAGCAGTGCACGGAAACACCATTTACCTTCCCGCCGGAGTGGTACCTATTTATCTACTTGCACTTTGATGTGCTTTCAAACTGCTAGGTTGGCAGGAGCAGGGACTGAGCAACGGGAGCTCACCCCGTCGCAGGGATTCGAACCACCGACTTTGTGATCGGCAAGTCCTAGGCTCTGTGGTTTAACCCACAGTGCTACCCGTGTCCCTCAGCTGGCTTAAGTAGCCATTATTGGGCTAGTTCAGTGTTCTTTTTGTGACTTTTAAAACTCTACATTTTACGTGGGAAGTCTTTGGTTTTGTCAGATTCCTTCCCCCACTTTTAAAACTAGAACCCCAAGATCTAACAACGAGAACTAAATGCAAACGACACACAATTAAAACTAAATAACAGGGGTTTCTCTCCAAGTCTACTTTGAGCCACTCTGGGTACATTTGTTTTCAGTACAATTGCCAGGACTGGAGTGGACTAAGCCCATAGCCCTTTCGCACAAAAGTCTACTCCTGGTTAGTTTTAATTTTCAACAGCCCAATTTAGGAGAGGGAAAGCCATTTTGTTGTTGCTATTATAAACCAAATGGGAGCTAGAAAACCTTGCTGCAAGTCACCCACAGGTATGTAAGCAGATCCCAATTTTTATACACACTTGCGATTGGAGAATTTCATCCCAAAATTCAGACAAGCGACAATTTGGAAAGACAGAAATGCTACAGTGCTGTACATGTAATGTTTTGTGCAGGCTGGTTCACATGTTAATGTCAACTGAATGTATTCTTCCTCTTTACTAGCTAAGGGTGCCTATCCTCTAATCCAATTCAAAATTGTGACATCTTTGAAGGCTGCAGTTCTATAGATTGGGTAGCTTGTTCAGACATTACTATTCCACGGGACATTTGGCATTTAGGGCATTTGTTTTTTGGTAACCTTGTTTCTCCAGCGGCTTTCCCCCCCTTTGTTGTACTTTGTGATTGTGAGTGTTTCATTGTTATTTCGCTGGCATACAGACACACACAGTATGAACTTTTTTTCTATCCCACGTGTGTTGACAGCGACTTAAGATTCCTTGCTCCAATACCCTTTTCTAGATTTCTAGAACATGGGTAGGCAAACTAAGGCCCGGGGGCCGAATCCAGCCCAATTGCCTTCTAAATCTGATCCAGGAATCAGCGTGTTTTTACAAGAGTAGAATGTGTCCTTTTATTTAAAATGCATCTCTGGGTTATTTGTGGGGCATAGGAATTCGTTCATTATGATTTTTTCCCAAAATATAGTCCGGCCCCCCACAAGGTCTGAGGGACAGTGGACCGGCCCCCTGCTGAAAAAGTTTGCCGACCCCTGTTCTAGAAGATGGCACTTGCCACAGTATACCCTCCCATTTTTCCAGCACCATGGAACTAACGCCAGAATTTTAGCGCCTCCAGCACTGCCTTTAATTCCTGTATTTTGAAGACGCTCTCATCCAGCACGTCATCAATTCCATCCAAAAAATGAGCCCGGCGGCTCGTCTCTTCCCAGGTTTGTGAATGGTAGTAGTCCCTTTCAATCTCAGGATCGAGCCCGTCATCCTTTTTGTAGTGTTCATAGGCCCGATTCACATTGTCCAGAATGCGAAACAGCTTCTTAGAAACATCCTGAAAGCACAGAATTACAATGGATGTGAGCGCAGGACATATTCAGAAGCGTTTCAAGAGCCTGCTTCTTGGTTATGTATCTCCTTCCCTGCCCCTGACTGAGCCATCCTTGTACCATTTGCTGAAAGCATTAATAATAATAATAATAATAATAATTTTTATTTATACCCCACCCTCCCCAGCCAAGGCCAGGCTCAGAGCGGCTTACAAGCAATAATAAAAACAAGTTGAATGATTACAACTTAAAAACAAAATTAAAATACAACATTAAAATATTGAAACATTAAAACATTAAAATGTAGCCTCATCGCGGGAGGAGAAGGAAAAGAAAAAAGAAAGAGAGGGAGGGAATCAAATTGTCTCCAAGCCAAAGGCCAGGCGGAACAACTCTGTCTTACAGGCCCTGAGGAAAGAAATCAGATCCTGCAGGGCCCTGGTCTCATGAGGCAGAGCGTTCCACCAGGCCGGAGCCAGTGCTGAAAAGGCCCTGGCTCTGGTTGAGGCTAATCTAACTTCCTTAGGGCCCGGGACCACTAGGGTGTTGCTGTTTATGGACCTTGAGGCTCTCCGTGGGGCATACCGGGAGAGGCGGTCCCGTAGGTACAAGGGTCCTAGGCCATGAAGGGCTTTAAAGGTCAAAAGCAGCACCTTAAATCTGACCCTGTACTCCACCGGAAGCCAGTGCAGCTGGAAAAGCACTGGGTGAATATGCTTCCCATTACAGGAAGACATCCTCGTTTTGTCTGGCTACACAGTAATGGACCTTTAAGAACCTGTGGTGTTAGTAAATGTTTCACGCTGATCAAGGGTGCCAACTTCAATAAAATATGGGGAAAGCCCAGGTAAGCTCCTCCACACATAATCGATCACATGACATGGTGCACCCACACCATTTGAATGAAAATGTCCATCAACATTGGGGGTCCCCAGCGCCCTCAAATATTATATGGGGGGGGCATGTGCGAAGACCTCTCTACCCCTAGGAGTTGGCTCCTATGACTCTGATTTTATCATGGTATGTGTTATTTTTAGCACACTAACCAGTGGGTACATGTCAGGGAACTGGAGCCAGAGAAGGGGGAGAGAATGGGAACTTACCGGGAGAAAGCTCCTTTAATAAGTAGTTGCTCCTCCTCGGATGAGGAGGATGACGAAGAGCTGTCAGGAGGTAATGAATATGAGAGGGGGCAGGCACTTCCGGGGACAAGCCACTCTCGTCAGAGAGGAAGGAGGGGGACCGGGCTTAGGAAGTGGTTATGCTGGGGAAAATCGAAAGGAAGTCTAGTCGGGACAACTGACCCGCTATGGATGAGTCGGACTTTTGAACTGCTTGTACATAGCTTCAAAGGAGCAATAAATCCTGTAAATATGGCTGGATTCCCGGACTTTTATCTCTGCTAGCACTCACAACTCATTGCTTACAGTACAGTATGGCGATATTAATCAGTCTTAATAAATAAGTAAGTTAGTGGATTATTTTAAAAAAAAACTGTAATCAAATGAAATCGCGGGCAAGGTTCGAGTTAAAGGCAGAGGAAGAAAAATGAAAAAGACATAATTGTAACGGAGAAACTTTGTGTAATAGATAAACATAAAAAGAAAAGGTAAAAAAGGTTTGAGTAAAAACACTGGAGAAGTGAGGTTGGGAAGTCAGTTTTTGAAGAAAGGTAACTTTGATATGAAGATTATTGTGGAAATGTTTGAAACATTTGCTAAAAATTATATAATGATAAAGCAATAATTAAGGACTTGTGCCCAAGAAATAACAATATTACTACCTTGGATAGCTTTAAAAGACATGGAAGACAAGCCTATTGGCACCTTTTAGTCACAACGGCTAGGTGGGACCACAGTCTAGATTTAAAGGCATCTTACTTATGAATACCTGCTATTTGGAAGCAACATCTGGCCCTTCATATGTTGTCGGACTGCAAATCCCATAATCCCCATTGGCGACTATGTGTGTCATGCTCTGACAGAGCTGGAAAGGCCCCAGATTTCCCATGACTGGTGTAACCAATACTTAGCTAGATGGACTAAAGTCCGGGTTCAGTAGAAGGCACTTTCTTATGTTCCTAAGAGGCTTATTGCCTTCCAAGTCTTGCTTACGGGTTTCCTGGAGACATCTGCTTATGCTATTCATATGTTCTTAATAGCTGATGGGAGCCTTTACTCTTCACATCTCACATTGCAAGGGCTAGAGAGGCATCCAATAAATACAGCAGGTCTGGTAAACAAGCAAATGGAAGGACTTAATCTGGTTCATTTGAATCAGTTACCTGCAGAAGTTGGGATTACTCCCATTTCTCCTGACTTTTCTCAAATATAATTCTCGGGGGGTGAGCAGAATTGTGCTTAACGTGCCAGCAGGAGTCCATGTTGAAAACCTATTGTGAAAGGCTGCACATATTTGACCCCCCTCATCCATCAGCAGTCCCTGCTCCAGGACAGAAACTCTATTTTTCTCTCCAACACATACCTTCTTTGCTCTTTCCAGCTGGGCCAGCTCAATTTTATCCAACACATTCTGCACAGCGGGGGGGACTTCATCAATGGTAGAAATAGCGGCTTCGTTTTTGTAGGTTGCAACATTGCGGCCGGCCTGATTGCGTTCGTAATCATTATCACTTTCATTTCCTGAGTTTCCTGAAGATGATGAAGATTCGGGACCCATGTGGGACTTTTCCCATGCAAGTCCAACCACCTTTGGGAAATCCATGGCTGCAGCACAGTTTATACAGGGTCAAGTTGTTCAGTTGTGTGGTAGGCTTATTCTTCAAATGGTTTAATTACACCCCCTTGCTGTTAGGCAGAAACTCATCCCTAGGGGATGAACGGGTTCTGTTTGTGTAGTTGATGTCATAGTTGCCATTCTATGGCTTCTAATCCATGACGTCATCAGGTGCTCATTCGCATAAAAAGAAGCCTCGCGGAACAGAAACTTGTTGTTCTATGTGCTCATGCATGCTTTATATACAAGTCCCAGGATGCATTAGTGTCCTGGAGAGATGGTGGAATTCACTGCTCAGATAATTCCACAGTAGATTATTCCATTCCTCGGCTCTGCCAGATACAAGCTAGACAGGGTTGTCATGCTGTACATGAGCTTTAGAGAGCTACCTCTCAGTTCTAGCATCATTGTTTCTGAAACTCATTCAGAAGTATTCGCTGTAAGGGAATACAGTGGTACCTCGGGTTACAGACGCTTCAGGTTACAGACTCCGCTAACCCAGAAATATTACCTCAGGTTAAGAACTTTGCTTCAGGATAAGAACAGAAATCATGCTCCGGCGGCGCAGCGGCAGCAGGAGGCCCCATTAGCTAAAGTGGTGCTTCAGGTTAAGAAGCGTTTCAGGTTAAGAACAGACCTCCGGAACGAATTAAGTACTTAACCCGAGGTACTACTGTATACTGTGGCATGCTTGGAGCTAGTAATAATACGGTTTTGGGGGTTTTTTTGGTTTTCTTATTCAGGATTGGCGCTTAGAGATCCTAGGGTGGTCAGGGATTTAGCAGTATGAAATATTTAAAATTGTCAACCTGTTTCCAAGTTGCACCACACAGAAGACCTAAGGACCTTTGCAAGTTTGTATGGGTGCAGACAGTCTTTCTAATAACCTGGTCACAATTTATTTAAGGCTTAGTAGCCAAAACTAGAACTTTAAATTGAGCCGAGGAACAGAAAATATATATGTTTACCACATCGCTGTATATCAAACAACACCATCTGTAAGTTTTGCTAACAGAGCTATCTGATCGACAGCGGAATTTGCTGCCAAGGAGTGTGGTGGAGTCTTCTTCTTTGGAGGTCTTTAAGCAGAGGCTTGACAACCATATGTCAGGAGTGCTCTGATGGTGTTTCCTGCTTGGCAGGGGGTTGGATTCGATGGCCCTTGTGGTCTCTTCCGATTCTATGATTCTATGATCTTTCCTTGTTTTGAGCCTGGCACATTCCATGGAACCGGGCTGTGTTGCTGCACAGAGTGGGCTTTGCTACTCTAAATGATATATTATGTAAGGAAGATTTTCTCTTAGATACAATTGACTCAGAAACATAAATGTGAATCGAGACATCAGTGACATTCTGTGGAATGATGTCTCTAATTAACTAGTATTTTGGGAATGCATGTTGGGACTGTACCCTTTCGTGTCATTGTGTTTTAGATTCCGCGGTAAAGTAGCGGAATCTAAACAAGAATTACACATAGCACCAAAAATGTTGAAATATACATTTATTAAGAAACCAGAAGCCTTTCTACTTGGAATAAAAGGTTTGGAACTGCCCAAGAAAGATGTTAGATTGTTTTTGTATGCCACAACTGCAGCTAGAATTTTGTTGGCCAAAAATTGGAAATTACAAGAAGTACCAAAAGTGGAGGAATGGCAGATGAAGATGATGGACTTTTGGGAGCTAGCTGACCTGACCGGAAGAGTCCGCGACCAGAAGGAGGAGGAGTACCAAGAGGAATGGAAGAAATTCAAAGACTATTTAGCTAAATATGTCAAGATAACTTAAATAGAATTACTTGCGAGTTTCAGATAAGCCTAGGATTCAAATATGTGAGGTTGTAGAATACTATGTTGTTAAAATGAAAAGAAAGAAAGATGTTAATCAACCAAGTAAATTCTATGTAAAAATAGTTTTGGAAAACTGCTACAATGATTTAGATGGAAACTCAGCCAGGGGGATTCGAGGAAGTCACCTAACAATGTTAACAAAAATGGAATTATTACAGCTAGGATAAATGTTTGTTTGTATGTTTTTGTTAATGTTTTTGTTATGTACTGAGTTGAATAGGATCCAAAATGCAGCAGTCTGATTGGTCCTAGAACAATAGAATTCAGAATGCAGCAGTCTGATTGCTCCTAGAACAATGCAGCAGTATGATTGGTTGGCAGGAACCACCCAATCATGCTCCAGATAGAAGTGAATCCACAACCTGATTGGCTTACAGTAGAATTCCGGAATTAGCCAATCACGTGCAGCCCATTGTGTAAATAATGTATATAAAGCAGATACTTTGAGGGGACTTTCATTCATTCCTCCTCACCACTATGAGCTGAATAAAGAGCATGAAATCACTTTGTGACTCTGAGTATATTTCAGTTTTCTTTTCATGTTTGTGGATTTATGTGTTATAAATTTGGAAAACTAATAAAAAAATTGGGGAAAAAAGTTATTTAGAGCAGTCCCTAGACTTGTCTAAAGGAAACTTGGGTAACATACGCCGGTTTAACAAATCACATGAATGAGAGAGAGAAAAGCTTTGTGGGATGTTCTCTAGATACTAGACTTATAGTGCAATCTTATTTATCTCTGCTGAGTAGTTCTGCTGGGTTCAATGGGGATTACCCTCGGATATGCATAGGAGTGTAGCCTTGGGAACATGCGTAGACATGCATGGGCTGCAAACTGGATCCCACAAAAAATTCTACTTGCAACATACAAGGTGGGATTTGTGAGGAATTATGGGGGTGGGGAATTAACTATTGGGAAACTACTGAGAGTTGCAGCTAGGTGAGAATAAAACTGCTTCTCTAGCCCCAAGTCTCTCTCTCTCTCTCTCTCTCTCTGTGTGTGTGTGTGTGTGTGTGTTTTATCTTTCCCTCGTGGTAGTGTTCTGGAGAAGTGTTTGTGTGGGAACTGGAATCAACTGACAAGCACACATTGCTGATTCTAGTTACACTGTTTTCCAGCATGTTTAAAGTTGTTAGGTGCTCTTATTCCCATTGCAGTTGAGTCATAGAATCATAGCACTGTAGAGTTGGAAAGGAACACAATAGACATCCAACCTCGGTTTAAGAATCTCCAGTGAAGGAGGGTCCACCATGTTTCAAGGTAGTCCATTCCACTGTCAAACAGCTCTAACTATCAGAAAGTTTCTCCTAATCTTCAATTGGAATCTGCTTTCTTGTCGTTAGAATCCATTCGTTTAGGTCTTACCCTCCGGAGCAGCAAAAAGCAAGCTTGCTCCATCTTCCATGTGACAACCCTTCAGATATTTGAAGATGGGTATCATATCACCTCTTAAGTCTTCTTTTCCCCAGGCAAAACACCTCAACCATTCCTCATAAGGCTTGGTTTCAAGTCCCTTCGTCTTTTCACTGCTTTATTCTGTACACGTCGTTCCAGCTTGTCAATATCCTAAATATTCTAAAACTGTGGTGCCCAGGATTGGACACAGAATTCCAGGTGGGGATCTGACCATGGCAGAATAGAGAGGTAGTTATTACTTCCTTTGATCTAGATCTCCTCCTCTGAGGAACAACGAAATAAGTGTGCGGGAAGCACTTTCCCCACTAATCATAATTCATCTCCCCCACCCTTAGCTATAATGACTTAGTGTTCTTGGAATCACTTTATCTGTACATATTCTAGCTAGGTTTTTAATTCTGCTTCTAATGAGAATTCATAAATCTGCATAACCCCCTGTCCTGGGACAACAATATCAGGAAAATGGTTAATGTCAATTTTAATTATATTAATACAGATATTATCTCCAGGGAATTTGTAACATTTAGGCTTGTTGCAGACTACTTGACAATTTCAGAATTAAACATTTTTGCCAACCTAAGCAAAGTCTTATGTGTAAAAAAAAAAAATAATAATCATAGCAGTTGCAGAAAAATTAACCCACCACGAAGTTTATCCAAGGGACAAGCATAATAATACTATTTTTTCTCCCCATGACACAACTTTATTTTTTATACAAATAAAGCACCACTCTGCAACACAGAACCCCTTCCCCAGTCATGGTATACATACATTTGGAACATTGCCTAAGACTGAACATGATAAGCATCTGTAAATGGATAAGAAGTGAGGTCTCCTCATCCAATAATATCTCACATGGGTGATGTTATGATTTTACCTGAACTTCCTGTTAAACCTGTTAAGAACATGAATGATGACTCTGTGTTTGTTCCTATAGTTTGTAACTATTCACTTAATAAACTAAGTTTCAAAAGATGCAAAATGAGATTTCCAATTGAAATGTTTCCTCCACAATAGCAATTTGGGGAAATGCCCAGTTTCTTAATCACCATGTGTTAAAGCATGTTGCACAAAAACAACACTTTGGACAGGGGAGAGTGTTGGCGCATCTCAAAGGTATTGGAAATGTAAAATATAGGCTTATTTGGCCTTAGCCCAAAGCTTATTTTGGTGTGCAGTAATAAAACTTGAGTTCAGGCAGCTCATGGAGCTGCCAATCAAGTAAAGAACTGGGAACAAGGAACAAACTTCAGTCTTCTCCACTTCTTGAACTTCTCAGTTGTTATGAAATGAACGAGACAAGAACGTACATCATTTTTTGCGCACGAAAAATAATGGCTGCATGAAGATCTGAAAAATAAGTGGAGCAATCCAATTAGAGCTTGGTTTATTACTTGGGTGCTTTAATACTTGAAGAACCCCACCTCCTGCTTTACCAATAATGCTCTGTAATGATGGTTCTGTAATTAGGTGACAATTCTTTGTTGATTATCTTCAAAGCTGCAGTGCTTCTGAAATCCTGCAGTGATTAGTACATCAAATGCTCAAATGTCTGCCCAGTCAGGTAACTTTAACCACATCAAGCTGAGCTCCGACCAAGGTGCTTCATAGGGATTAGCAGATCTGCACATGTGCAAAATATTTGCAGACATAGATTTCTATAGGTAGAGCTGCTTCATAGGTAGAGATTCCCTTTGCTCCACTGCAGACCCTCTGATGCATTAAAATAAAAGCCCCATTGCACCTTAAAGACAAATGCATTCATTATTGTATAAGAAGCCTACTCTTCCAGAGTAACGACAATTATTTATTTAAATGATTCATATTCCACCCTTCCTGGGTATTTTAATATTTTTTTGGAAGCCGCCCAGAGTGGCTGGGGAAGCCCAGCCAGATGGGCGGGGTATAAATAATAAATTATTATTATTATTATTATTATTATTATTATTCCTCCCAAACAAATCCAGAATGGCAATCCTATGTATGTCAACACAGAAGGAAGCCCCAGTGAGTTTAATTTGACTTAGTCCCAGCAACTAATGCTCTCCTGCACATAAACCACTCGTAAAACAGTATTAAAAACATAAAAACCAGCAAGAATTTAAACCAGCAGAGATAAAATAAGAATAATTTGGTAATGCCTGGGAGTAAAGAAAGGTTTTCAACATAGTAATGTCGAGGTTTGCTTCTCTTCAAAGGGAATTCCAGAGAACTGGTGCTTCTATGCTACAGGCATGTGCTCTAGTCACAGCATGCTTTACCAGGCACAGGGCCTTCTCGGTAGTGGCGCCCGCCCTGTGGAACACTCTCCATCAGATGTCAAGGAGTTAAAAAACTATACAACTTTTAGAAGACATCTGAAGGCAGACCTGTTTTTAATGTTTGATGTTTAATTATGCTTTCGTATTTGTTGGAAGCCACTCAGAGTGGCTAGGGCAGCACAGTGAGATGGGTGGAGTACAAATAAAATTATTATTATTATTATTATTACTATTATTATTATTATTATTACTGCAAGGCAGTGCCTTCTTCAGGGGATACTCAAGGGTACACAGTACAGGCACCTCTTTTGTTGTTGTTAAAAAGTGTGACACTTACTATAACAACTTTATGGTGAGTACCGGCATCTATTTTTCTAGAAAGAAACCCCACTGCTGCATGGGAATGTGGCACCACCAGTAAATCTGTGACTGGGATGGATTATAGGGGGAGAGGCAGGTTCTCATGTCCCCTGCCTCCAAAACTATGTAAGGCTTTTCAACACAGTCAGCAAAACCCTGAATCTAGCTCTGTAGCAAATCCGCAGCCAATGCAACACTTTCCAACGGAGGTGTCACATGTTGCCCGCATGTTTTACACAACAGACACACGACACATGGAACGCATCAAAGGCTGGGATTACTTGGCAAACCAGCAGCCCATACGTATTGGCAGGTCCCGTAGCGATCAGCATGGCTTGCGATGCAACAACCCAACAGAAAACGAGGTGGCTTTTAGGGGCATGTCAGAAGAACCGTCGAACTTCTTGCAGATGCGAGCTTTCATGACACAGGGTTGAAAAGTGACGCTGTAGCACATTCGATTGCTCTTTTAAGGTGCCGCCACAAGACTGCTGTGTTTCTGTGACACTTTAGTTGAGCTGTTGCTCCGGAACTCATGCCTAAGAAAGTCCGCAAAGGTTTAGGCTGCGGAGGGTGGGGGCGAGGGAAGTGCATATAAGGCTGATAAACCCAGCCTAAGCAAAAGTACACATTTCCTTTTTAAAAATAATTTTTATTAAATTTTCTGCTTTACAATTTCAAATACTCCTTTTACGTCCTTAAGTTATCAAGGACTTCCCTTTTTCTCTTTCCACGGTTCATATTACATATCTTAAATCCCTTGATATTTTACAAAAACATACCAATCAGTTTTCCATTACTGCATTCATCAAAAACCTATTTACTGTTGAATTTATCTTAATGCTGCCAGAGTTTTCAGCTGTAGAGTTATTTTCCATATATTAAATAAACGTTTTCCAATCTTCTCTAAACGTATGTTCTTCTTGTTCTCTTATTCTATATGTAAAGTCTGCAAGTTGTGCATATTCTGTCAATTAAAGTTGTCATTCCTGTTTGGTTGGGACCTCACTTGTTTTCCATTTTTGGGCTAACAAAACACGGGCCGCAGTTGTAGCATACATAAATAGCTTTTTCTGACACCTGGGAATTTTGGTCTGAATTATCCCCAACAGAAAGGACTCTGGTGTTGGGGGGCGGAAAGTACTTTTAAATCTGTTTTTCTTCGCAGGCTGGGAGCGGGAGTGGAGAAAAGTACTTTTAAACATTCCCCCCCCCCCAATTCATTGTAGATCATTTCCCAATACTCTTTTTATCCATGTCCATAGGAACGCGCAAGTTTCCGACACTTGGGAATGGGCGCCTGTTCTCGCGGCCGCAAACACTGCGTTACCACCACCCCTCCAAGTCCGGCGAATGGTTCCTGCGAAAAGCAGCCGCAACGTCCCCCCCCCACCCCCGCTCCAAGGAATGGTACGCTCCGGCTGCCGCGCAGCCGCGCGTGCAGCTACTGGCCCAGCGGCCGCCATTACTTCCGGCTGGGTCATCGCTATGGGGCTCCTTAGTGTCCTGCTCGTGGCCCGGAAGCGCTTCTAGCGATTGCCCCGGAAGAGAAGGGAGAAGGGGGAGGGCTCAGCCCTGGTGGAGAGGCCGGAGGAGGCGACGGCGGGAGGCGGAGCTTGTGCCCTTTTCGCGCGGCTACTAGAGCGGAGTCTGGACTGTCGCCGGTGGAGAGAGCGACGGGCGGGGAGGGTCTCGAAGAATATTCCCGGCGACGGGGGGAGGGCGGGGGTGGGGCCTCGGGGTCGGGAGGGTCACAGACTGGAGGGGGTTGGGAGGTTGAGAGGAAGAAGATGCTGCTCTTCGTGGAGGTGAGTGAGGGAATGAGCGGGCGCGCGCGAGGCGGCGGCGGGGGGAGGTTGGCCCGTGTTGAGGCACGTGACTCTGAGGCGGCTCGCGCCCTCGCTGCGCGTGTGAGTGGGGGGGGAGGGGGTTGGGACTGACACAGCAAATCTCTGCGCCTGACCCTCCCCTCTCCCTTTACATTGGGACAATCATCAACTGAGCTGAGGGAAGGTGGGGGCGGGGGGGGGTGCGAGGAGGAGGGGAGGTGCCCAGTACGCGCGCGCTTCCTCACTCCCTGATTCACACACCCCCCCGCGCCGCACGTGCGCGCTCTCGCTCTCACGCAGAGACCCCGGGCGCTCCATGCGGGCGCAGGAAGCTCACGCTGCCGCCGGGCGGGTAATGTGGCGGCGGTGGGTGGGGTGGTCTCTTGCCTCGGTGGCTTAAGATGTGCATATGGGGCTTTAGGGTGGGTGGCTGGCTCGGATAGACGTCCCGAGGGGCGGCCCTGCTGCTTGGGGCGGGGGGAGCCGGGCGGTGTGGGTGTGCCCCCCCCCAAGGGCAGGCGTCGGAAGGAGCTGGAGGCCTTCGAGGCCGGCGGCGGTGCGTGCGCGTGTTGGGGGACTTTGAAGGCTCCCGAGAGCTGGAAGCGTGGCTCGGGAGGGTGAAGGCGAAGCAGGCCTCCGGGCCCAGCTGGCCTGTGCTGAGAAACGGAGCGGCCGTGTTTGTGCGTGTATGTGTGAGAATGGGAGCTTTTTTTTTTTTGTGCGTGGTTGCTTCGCGTGGAGGGGGTTGGGGAAAGCCCGGGTGAAGGGAGGCCTTGAAAGGCACTGCAATGACCTTTTGTAAAAGTTGCTCTGGTGGTGGTTGCGGCGTGGAACATGGCCGGGCACGTGTGAAGGTTACCCATTGAGGCCCGCGCCGGGGAGGGAAAATACTACTAGAACTATTTCCTCACCAGCATATCCTCCTATCTTTTTTGTTTTTTAAAAAAATAAAACCTGGACGATTTCTTTTTTACTCCCTCCGCCCAAATAGCTCCCCCCCCCAACCGCAGGCACATGGCATGAGTGCAAAATAATCAGCTGACTGCCTGGCTTTCTCTTTCTCTTGCCTAGCTAATGCTTTGAGTAGATTCCAGATTGTATTGTTCTTATTGTAGAAATGTTGCAACTTAGCAACTTGGCGCTGGCTTAACTGTGCCCATAAACAGCACGCTTTGAGTGGTGAAGAGGTGTAGTTTCTGGATCTGAAGGTGATTTTAACGAGATGGGTTTAATCGGTTTTCTTATTTGAAGAACTTAACACATGGTGATTATTGCAATAATATTGTTATTCGTAACTAAACAATATAGCTTTGTATCTTCTACTACTGTGTAAATCTATTACTGTAGAAGGAAAAGTTTGTGAATAGGAGTTGTATGTAGCATATGGCTGTTTTCAAACAGTGCAAAGTCAAAATGGAGAATGACATTTTCAAATGCAATTCCAATCTTTCTTGTGATAAGATAAGCAGTTACTTAGATTAAGAAAGCATAAAAGTGTTTCTCGTGTTAAATATTTATTTGGAGTCTTACTTGTAGATCAGTTTTATACATGCCTTGAATCCAGTGGGACTTTCTTCAGTGGGACTTACTAACAAGTAAATATGTATTAGAAGACAGCCTCAGGCACCCATTAAAATAATGCATGATGAAAGAGTGAATGCCTTAAATGCGTTTTCAGCAGAACCATTGACTTCTGACAAAGGTGTGTAATTAGAACCTATTTATAAGTCATACATTATAATTTTTTTTATTTCACCAACAGGCCTCATGAGCACTTAAAGGGTGGACTAATGTGGCTGTTCAGTAGTATAAAGGTTATTCAATATAGATTGACTTTAGGTAAAAAGGGTTTGTGACTCTTAGTGTTCCAAGGTGTGCAAAATGTCAGAAAATATATGGATTCACAGCACATTCCTATACATGTATAGTCATCGCATTACTCCTCAGTAAGTACATAAGGAATCACATTCATTTAGATGCAAACGTGATATGAAGGCTAGGGACTAATTAAGAAAACTTACCATAGAAATAAATAAGCACCTGCAGTAGTAGCCATTACACCTGGAGTGCTAGAATACTTTACCTATCTTAAAAACCAAAACCAAAATGGATATAAGCAGACCAGGAAGAAGAGTCTGTTCCTGTTTTAATTTCTTCTATTGGGAAAATAGTATGGCTGTTTGTAATGACTCGTCATTTGTTACTAATAAATTGATTTTCCCAAGCATGCAAGCTTATCACTTTATAAAATAACTGAAAATGCATGCTTTTAAGGATGCAATCCTATACACACTTATCTGAGAGCACTTACATCTGAGTAAACATGCCTAGTCTTGTAATCTGGGGAACCGGGTTCGGGTCTCTGCTCCTCCACATGCTGCTGCTGGGTGACCTTGTGCTAGTCACACTTCTCTGAAGTCTCTCAGCCCCACTCACTTCACAGAGTGTTTGTTGTGGGGGAGGAAGGGAAAGGAGAATGTTAGCCGCTTTGAGACTCCTTAGGGTAGCGATAAAGCGGGATATCAAATCCAAACTCTTCTAAATGTGTGCCTATGGTGAGCCTTTCATTTTTTTAAAAAAAAAAAACTTTGTTGTGGGGGCTAGGTTCATCATTATAAACAATGTTTGTGGTGCATTCTTACTGTTTTAGTCTGTTTTGTTCCACAACTGTGGAGTGGGTAGTAGTTTGAACTTCAGTACAATTGGACGGCTCCCTTTAGTGCAGTGAAGCGTTTTCTTTTAACATCAGAGCCATTTCTGATCATCAGTTTGCAACAGATCTGGTGCAAATGAGTTTGATTTCAAGTACAGTCATACCTTGGAAGTCAAAATTGCATGTCCTCCTAGAACTCCGTTCCGGAAGTCCATTCGACTTAAATGTTCAGAAACCAAAGTGTGGCTTCTGCAGCCAATCGGAAGTCGCAGAAGCTCTGTTAGACATTCGGCTTCCAAAAATAGTTTGCAAACCAGAACAGTCACTTCTGGGTTTGCGGCGTTTCGGTGCCAGAACGTTTGGGAACTAAGCTGTTCCATAACCAAGGTACAACTGTGCATGTTACCAACATGCTATATTTTTGATAGCTATTTAACTTGTGTACCTTGTGCAAGATCTTATAGCTCACGGGTGGGGAACCTTTTTGATTTAGTGAACTAGAACTTTATCTCCTCTCTCTCCACAGGCCTACTTTTGCAGGTGGGTGGAGCCACCTGCTTGTGTTGAGGTTGTCAGGCGATTTGATAGGTGTGCATTCTTCCTCACCTCTCAAGGTTGCCCTGTGGGATGTTAGGGGGAGGGGTTCTGCTTTAACAGCATTTTTCCTGCAGGGAATGTGTTGGTGAAGCAGCACCCAACTGAATTGTAGTCTGCTCAGCAACTGATGAGCAGTGTCTTCAGTCCTGCTCCATGCTGGGACCTGAGCAGGATTTAATCTCCCTTCCTCAGTTGATGATTGTGGATTAAATCCTGCTGCTTTGGCTGTGTATGCCAATTCTCAGCAGGGGAATTGATGTGTGCAGCCAATGCAGAATTGAACCCTGACCATCAGCTGATACCACCCACCAACAGCTGACTGAGAGGTGGAAGTAGGCTTGGGAAAATGGCCTTCTGGGCCAAATTTGACCTTGTGGGCAAAGGCTGGTCTGTGAACTGGATGTTTCCAATTCCTGATTGGCTAATGACCATAGTGTTCATGGTTAAGTAAAAGAGTTCTAGGAGGACATGCAATTTTAAACATACTTGCTTGCAAATAATACTTAATTGCAGTGGATCATTCAAGAATGCAAGCTTTGAATTTCTTTTGATATTCCTGATTTTTCTTATTCAGCTAATCTTCATTTCTTTTTTCTTTATCAGTACCTTAGCCTCTATAATGACACCTCAAATCCAATGAATTGCCCATGTTGGTTTAAAGATGGCTGCAATTTTATTTACTTACGTATTAAAGTTTTGGCATCTTGTTATAACATGGAGATTGAACTGGGAAGTCAATTTAGTGCTGAACACAGTGCTAAGAGGTCACTATCTCTTTTTCTTCTCTGCCTCTTGCAGCTGTGCAACTTTCAAACTAGGTAAGCTTCATTGGTGAAAGAGGCTGAGAGGGGATTCTGTGTGGTCGTTTGGCAACCATACAAGCATCTCTTGATGCTTCCTCTTAACCTGGAAGTGATGGGGAATGCTTCCATAGTTGCTTAGCAACTGCATGCGTGTTTCCCCTTCTACTGCTTTGTCTGTATAATGTATACTAGCTCAGTTGGCATGAATGTGGCTGAAAAAAGTGCAGCTGTTACCACCACTCCTTGCTTTAAAGTGTTAGCTAAGACTGGGAAGCAAAATCATTCCCCCCTTCAATACTTCCACTGGGCTAGTGATAAATTGGATTTGGCCCATGGACTGTCAATTAGCAGTTTTTGATATTGAAGACCCTTCCATGCAGAGCTTGTCTGAGGCCCTGGGCAGGAGTCTTGTTATAATAAAGTTATAAACTTAAACAACGCCCCCTACCCCTCCCCAGCCCCCTGAGGCCTGGGACAAGTGTACCTGGCTGGGCCCCCACTGCTACCATATTGGTTGCTTTCTCATGTTTATATTTTGTATCTCCTAATCTGATTCATTATAAATTAGGAGTGTTGAATAACAGATTCTCATTATATACATAATAATGCATCTCCTTTTCTTGGATGAGTTTAGTAAAGTATATGTTGAAATACTCAAAAGTGGTGTTATGGCATAGCTAACCTTTTAAGTACAGTAAAATGACTATTGAGTAACTTATTTGTTGGAGAAATAATAAACCTATGCTGAACAAAGGTAAAAAATCAAAGCAACAATACTACTTTGTTCCTGTTATCATAGTTCTAAAGCCAAAAATATTAGAGACTGGTGAATGAGTGATACCAACATAGAAATGTGTGATGGTTTGAATTTTTAGTGGAAACTGCATGACACATCAGACAGTGAAAGAAATGCACGGTATGCAGTCTTGATATTGATTTTATATGGCACCCTTTTGAATATTAACTGCATTGCAAAGTTAAGTCAGGCATGTGCAGAACGCAAAGTGGGTGTGGATGGGTGGGGAATGGTAGGTAACAACTAGCTTCATTTTGCCAGTGTTACTTTAGTGTTGCCCGTCTTGATCTTGTTTGGCAGAACTCTAATGATGATCTGTTCAGGGATGGACTGTGGATTGCAGGTGTTTAGTATATTTGTTACTAAACCCTCTGGGTTGGATCCAGAGAAAAGCATGCAGAAAGGGGATTGCAGAAGCTGACCTCTGCTTCCCCCAGAACTCCTCTGCTGAGTCCAGGGCTCTGTGTGTGTGGCTGAGGCGATCTCTGAAACCTGGGCAGTCACTAGGCAGGACACAAGCCTGCTAAGCCTTGTGGTCTGGTGCGTGGATTCTAATCCTGTGTTACATGTAGCAAGGCTAGATCTGGTCACTTCACAAAACAATATTTCATGTCCAGCTATTACAATGCTAATATGCCTAAAAGGCATGGAAAAAGTTGCATTTGTATATGGTTTAGTCATAGAATTGTAGAGTTGGGAGGTTCTTCTAGTCCAACCACCTGCAGTGATGCAAAGGAGGAGGAAATTAATGAAATTTGTTAAGCATTGTAAACCAAGAAGCTGCTGCAGAGCTGTTACTGAAAAGTATTTACTGAATGACTTCCTTGTGTAACAAGTTTTGTAACTTCAACACTGTTCGACACTGGCACATGTAGGATTTTGCTGTTTGCTTTTACTGTTTTTGCTCAATCATGCTTTGGCAACAAGCAGTAGAAATAAGCGGTAACATACTGGTAACATGTACTGGATTTCAGCCTGAGCTAAGTCCTCATGTATGAAATGTAGACATTTAACGGAAGCAGGAAGTTGGTGCAGCAAGCCTTCATTCCTCCAAACTGTAGTTTGAATTTGCTCTCTGAGGATTATTGGTGCTTAGAAACGACTTTAATTGGCCTGCAAATGGCTTTGCAAGCCCTCAAAAGGCACCATTATTAGATTGTCATTCTAGAGAGTCTCCCAAACTTCGTATAACTTTGCAGGTATGTGAAAAGGTTGCCAGCCATTAAAAAATTGTGTAGTCTTGGTTGTTTCACTGGGAAGCTTGTGCATTATGTGCAATGCAATCTCACCTTTTAAAATAAGATTTTCCTTTTTTAATAGCTATATTGCAGTGCTTGTTGAAGGAATTTATATTTCATGATAGTGAAAGAATAAGTATGTATCTAATTACCAACCAGCAATCACTACAGAACTTGAAGCTTTCAGCCTCTAGTGGCTTTGCGTTTTTTTCTTCAGCACTATTCTCAGAGAACACATTTCACATTATATGTGTAGAAACTGCTACAAAGAATATGCAAAACATTCAGAACTAAAACTTTTTTAAAGACCTTTGTCCTTGCTGCTCCCCCCCCCCCCCGCTTTTGCTGATCAAAGTTAGTTCCTTGGCAAAGCCTGATTTGGAGCTAAGTACACTTTAAAAAGCTGATGCAAACTTGGAGTGCTCGGAACAGGTGAAAGAAAATGTAATAAGAAAAGCAAAAAATCACAAATCTTATCAACTGCAGGAGGATGTGTTTTATGAGCCCTTTTGGACATGCCATTGTAAACTGAATATTGTGTGTATGTTATTCTTGCCCTCTCTCACACATACCTTTTGTGTGAAAGTTAATTCTTGCAATACTTCAGGCATCTATGATTGTGGAGAGGTGGAAACTTTAAAAACAGGTACGAGGGAGAGCTTGAGGTTACTCATCTCCATCTCCAATAGTTAATAAACACAACCTAACTTCAAGGCTACTCTAGAAGCTATAACCTTATTGGAACTTTTCACCTGCACGAAGAAAGCAATCCAGTTGCAATTCTTTGACAAAAGAGTAGTTTTTGCTGGGTCCTGTATTTTCTCAAAATGTATCTACAGATTCACTCCTATCTCCACCGATTTCTCAGTGTAGAAGTGAATGAGTCCTGCTCAAAAGCAGACCCAGTTCTATGCCTCTTTCCTTAACCATAATGTTTAGTAAGGGATGCCTGTGATGTGATAATCACATTGTGCACATCCCTGTCCCTGCTATATATCATTGGCTGTTATGGGAGCAGAATTAGGTTCAGCTCTGGCTGAGGTGTTATTTATTATATACTATAATGGAAATCAGAATACTCTTATGTCAGCTTTCCCCAGGGATGGGAAGGGAGGAAGGCAAGGTTTTAAGACTTTTTAAGTGTATCTTGTAAAGTTGTTAAAACCTTGTATATTGTTTTGATTCCTTCTTAATATAACAGAACAACTACAGCAGTCTTCTTAATCTTCTGTCTTCCATATCTTGTTGGATAACAACTTCCATAGTCTCTGATTTGGTCATGCTGGCTTGGGCTAATGGGATTTGGAGTCCCAGCATCTGGAGGGTGGTAGGTTAGGGAAGCCTGATAATATGTTATGTATTATTATTATTTTTATATTAGAATTTGTGCCTTTGGCATGCCTACTTTTATACATAGTTCTATTAAATTATTTATGACAATGGCGTGCAGGATCAGAGATCTAGTCGAAAATATAAGGAAGAAAAATAAAGTGAATGGGAAGATGGGGTACCAGTTTCTGGTTGAGGCTTCTGTTTTAACCTTTGCATTTCTGTACTGTCACAAGTCTTCACTTCTGCTAATGAAGTAGAACAGTTTCCCATGACTATGCAGTTGTATGACACTGGATACATTGGGGGGAGGCGGAACTGATTGAGACTGGATTAAAACTGAATGTTATGACCTGTGATGTAAAAACCAGCTATGTTGGAGTGTACCTTACTCTTGAGAAAGAATCCTCTCAGTCACTCACTGTTTTACCCATGTCTCTGTTCTAAGCCTTTCGAACATGATCGGAGGAGCTAAAGCCAGTTCATGTTTTGGGAGACATAGGTGTTTAGTTCACAAAGCTATACTGATGTTTAGTTGTACTGTGATCTTGGTGGGGGCAAAATTATATATGTGGCAATCCATAATGCTTCCTTATGCCCTGTTTTTTTTCTGTTCTGTGGACAGGGTATGGTACTAAAGCCACTCCTTGATGCTAGAGAGACTCCAGAAGGCTAGACTCTGGAATTCAACTTCCTTATTCTCTGGCCTGTGCTTCTCTGTGGCAAGATGGTCAGTGCTTGTTCAGTATCATTATACTGTCTTAATAAAGAGCCGTATCTTCCTGTGTGTTGCTGCAGATTATATTTCTGTTGTTCAGGAGAGCCCATCTTCCAGAGAGCAGGTTCTTGAAGCTGGGGGAAAAGTTAAATTGCCAATGAGACAATGTGTGGTTATAAGCCAGCCTGATCCTTTGAAACATGCAGACAACTGAATACCTGGAAGCTCCTCACAATATTTTTGGTTTCTGACTTGAGAGTTCTTGGACTTCATAGTTTTTTAAACTTACAGATAAGAGAGGGTGCGTTATTGAAAAACTGTCTGTGGGTTACACTGATGTTAGGTACATATTTTGAATGTTGGTGTTTGCAATGAGGTGCTGTTACTTATCCATAGGATGAATTACTCCATGGGAGACTGCATAGTTCTTATCAAATTTGGCACCTACTAAGAAAACGAGAAGAGCCTGCTGGATCAGGCCAATGGCCCATCTAGTTCAGCATCCTTTTCTCACAGTGGCTGAACAGTTGCCCTTGGGAAACCCAACGAGCAGGATTTGAGCACAAGAGCGCTCTCCCCTCCTGTGGTTTACAGCTCTCCAAATCAAGGGTGTGGCACCTCCTGCCCAGGGGCCAAACCTGACCCACCAGGCCATTTTGGATAAGCCACACCCACCTACCTGATGTCAGGTATGGGGCGAGTAAGGGTAGAGCTTCAAATGAACAATTGGGAGCTTAAGGTGGACGTCTGATTCTTCCCTTGCTGGAGCATTATGATGTCTGATGACTCATGTAAAAAGTCCGTTGCACAGCACTTCTGAAGTTCTTGACAGCCAGCTGTTTATCAGGTGCATGGGAACTGCAATGCAAGGGGCTTTGCCAGCCCTGCACTTAGCAAAGCTCTGAGCATTGGGCTTGCACAGCTGCCTTCTGCAGGGATTGATTGTGCAACCAAGTTCCCCATGGGGATTTGGTCAGGCAGGGGTGAACTCATTGCCCACGGTGATAGGTGATAATTTCAACCTTGCTTTCCGCAGGGATTAGCTGTGCAATTGAGTTTCCATGGGGAGCTGGGTTGTACAGCTGATCTAGCAGCATCTCTCTCTGCCCCACATCTTACATACATGAGGTATGTTTGTGGGGTTTGCAGAAAATTGGGGGCCACATTGGGTTCTGTGGCAGGCCAAATCTGGCTGGAGGTTCCCACCCTTGCTTTAAGAGCCTAGCAGTGGTCTAGCCTTATAGGGAGGGGTTCCCAAAAGACAAGTGTGTCCAAACTGCAGGAAACATTTCATTCTAATGGTACTTCTTGCAGAATGGAACATGGTTTTGGCCCTCACTAAGGAATGTATTTATCAAACCTAAAACCTCATATAGTGGTTTTATTTTTTGGGGGGGCGGGGTACAATCTGCAGTAAATACCAGCATGCAGACTCAAAGAAGTTATTGCGGTGGTAGTAGGAGATAAAAAGTGCTTACCAAGGGACTGTGGGGCAGGGTGAATGGGGGGGGGGGGTGGTGCTTTCATATTTTCACAGCGGTTTACAAGAATCTAAGAAAGCCATACTGTTACACTGGGTTCCTTCACCCCATGGAATTGCTTAGAAATTGTGGGAAATTTATATCCCCTAATTACTCCATTATCTGACCCACTGAGTTTTCACACTCTTCTTAACTAGTTTGTAATACGGCCACAGCCCACTTCTTTTTAAATGGGAGATGGATCTCCAAAGCTTAACAGAAGAAATATTCCTGACCTTTTAAGTCTTGTTATTTGCTAATACACATCTTCTGTTTTCTCAGCAGGTAACATCGAAAGGTGCCAGCTTAAATCCTAATGCAAAAGTATGGCAGGAAAGCATGCAAGGAAACTCTGAAGCTGCACCAGCAACTAATGGCACTGAGCAATCATGGCAAGAGACAGCAGCTGTGCCGGGAAATAGTACAGAGGGTAAGATGTCAAGACCATACTTCTAAATATGAACAATGGCTTAATCCCTTGCTTAGCTAGGATTGTGGTTATAGTGTGACTCTAAATCCAGCAGTAAGAAGCAACCAGTTCTTTTGTCCTTGAAAGCACAGTAGCTGCTTCTGGGTGCTGGTTGTCTGTAACAGAAGGCATTACTTCAGCTTCAGAAGAGGCAGCTGGTTTGCTTGGATTAGGAGTGGGGAACATGTGGCTCTCCAGATGTTGTTTGACTTTAACTCCCATCAGCCCCAGCCAGCATGACTAGTGGCTAGGGATGATGGAACTAGCATCTGGAGAGCCGTGGGTTCTCCAGCCCTGGCTTAGATAGAAATATATGTGAATTTGTGAGGAAGTGTGTTGAAGATATTCACATGGTTAGTACTCCGGAATGGGAGTGTTTCTAAAAAGTTACAAAGGCCCAATGATGACCCAAGTATCGCGCTAAGAGGGAAGCAAGTTACTAAATGTACAGAAATGAATCTCTTTCTCACTTTGCCTTTTTCTGTTCCCTTTGTTTTCTTTTCTCACCTTTTCCTTGAGCTTTTCTCATCATTTCTGAACTTTAGTGAACATGTGACCCTGTGAACAAAAAGTTTGAAAGCTGAGGGCCGTGTACAACCCAAGCTGATTGAATTATTCCTTAGATCATGTGCGTGGTAAACACATCGGCAAAATAACGCCTACACAATTTAAGAATGGTGAAAATCTAGGCAGAATTGTGATATTTAAGATTATGCACAGCTTGAAAATTATTTGCATTTAAGAAGAACTTGGTTCTGAATTCTTATGGCACCAGCCACTTTTAGTGCTTTCCCACATATTTCTAGTGGAAATAGATTTTTTGAAATGTAAGTAGACATTCCTAGGATTTTTAAGCATGTGCAGTTTACATGTAATGTCACAATGCCTCTAGTTGTGTGGCCTCTAGTTCTTGGTGGCGAGAAGTGTGAAATGTAACCCATCATCCCTTGCATATTTGAAGTTTAGGGAAATGTAGAATTACTGGAATAAATTCTACCTATGGGAGATTCTCTGCTGCAAGTAGTTGCTGTTTTCAAGGGAGAAGCAAGGTTGCTGTTAACCTTGTTTTGCTTGATTGTTCTGTTGCCTGTTAAATTCATACTTTAATGAACAATTGTTTTAGGTTTCAGTTTCCTGCTAATGCAGCAGGTTCTGGAGCAAACAAGATCTGCTAAGGAATTCATTTTCTTAGGAAAGGTAGTTCAGATAGACCAGAGAAGGTGGGTAGGGAAAACTGCTGTCTTTATAGAGTTTGCTTTAGTAGCTTCAAAATCTCTATTTTCCAGACTTTCTATTCCAAATTTTTCCTTTCTTCGTGTGCTGCATGAAGGGGCACATACAGCTCCAACATACAAACCAGTCTTTCCCCTTAATATTCCTCACCCCATGTGCTTGTCTTTTCTCCCTCCTTTCCTGAATTCCCACATTGCTGCTTAAACCTGTCAAGAACATGGGCATTTAGAAAGAAAGCCGTTTGAAGGGAAACTACTGTTGGTATTGTCCCCTGGGTTGCCCTTATAAACAGCTCTCTTAGTAAAAGCTTGATATTTATTTGCAGGTGTCATCCATTCATTGTTACTAGGAAATCATAGGAAACTTAGGAAATAAAAAATGTCACCTAGAAAATTTTCTACATCACTGTAACACACATGAGCATGTTTCACACACAGTTTTCTGCTTTCCCAGAAACATGTTGAGTATTAAAACTGGTTATTTTAATCTTGGCTGTTGGCAGTTGTGATCACTTCTTAGATAAGAACTCGATCAGTTACTTAAGTACAGTATGTTTTGTAACCTCATCAGCAGTTCAAAGCTGTTCTTATATATAAAATAAGCATGTAATACTTATTAAATAAGGGACGCGGGTGGCGCTGTGGTCTAAACCACAGAGCCTAGGGCTTGCCAATCAGAAGGTCAGCGGTTCGAATCTCTGTGACGGGGTGAGCTCCCATTGTTCGGTCCTAGCTTCTGCCCACCTAGCAGTTCGAAAGCATGTCAAAGTGCAAGTAGAGGGCAGGAAGGTAAATGGTGTTTCCATGCGCTGCTCTGGTTCGCCAGAAGCGGCTTAGTCATGCTGGCCATATTACCCAGAAGCTGTCTGCTGATGAACGCTGGCTCCATCAGCCTATAGAGCGAGATGAGTGCGCAACCCCAGAGTTGTCCGCAACTGGACCTAACTTTCAGGGGTACCTTTACCTTTACCTTTTACTTATTAAATAATGTACTTTGAATCCACGGTTAGTATTTGTGTGGGGCGGAAGGAGGGACTTCTAAATTCAGCCTTCTCCATTAATCCAAAGTTGACTGAAACTGGATAAAGGGAGCAAATAATATATAAAAGGCCCTGCATACTCAGTGTTTGTGTGTACAGGTGTATAAAACTACATTGTTTGTAATGGTAACATTGATGGTTGCCAGGAGTTGGTTTTTGTTGGCGTTTGTAAGCTCCTTTGTGAAGGAAATGTCTAAAAAAGTGGGATACAATAAGAATGGAAGGAAATGCATTTTCATTGCTTGCAACCTGAGCTTTTTTCCCATTTATGGCTTTTGTACTTGTGCCAGGTAATGCTGAGGTTGCAGATGATGGTGCTAAGCGGTATGACACAATGTATTCATCTTGTGAAACATCAAACAGCTCAGGTGTTGAGGAATCCGCGGCTAATGGAATGGTCTTGACACATGAAGAACTTGGATACCAACTCTATGATGTTTCTGGTAAGCTTCCAGTCTACTTGGCGAGAGCCCCTAAATATAGGTACCTCCCTGTTTTTCTGGATATTCAAATTGTATGTTTTACCCTTTGCATCAGCAATATCCATTACATATATTCTGTGTTAAAGTCCATTCATGTGTACTGCATGGGGATTATCAGCAAAACTCAGATTTAGAATAGTGACATGGTTTATTTGTTTCCTTCCACACAATGCACACACATGCTTGTTGTTAAAGATGCAGGATGGTCTGACAATCCCTTGAATTTCTAGAACCCTCAGGTTTTGTATGACTTTTAAAACTTCCAGTAGGGTTGTGAAAGAGCATCTTGGAAGACAACGTTTGGAGGTAGTACAGTGGGGTATATTCTGAGAGTGAGATCAAAGAACTGCTGACAGTGGCACTTAGGAAAAAGCTTCAGAGACCCTGGAAGGGAAGCAACAGGTGATTTACTGTTTCAGGGGAAAATAAAACAACCTTTCTAAAAGTGTCATGCAATGTTATAGTCTTTGTCAGTGACCTTGTAGACTTGCCTGGTGTCTTCAGAAAGTATTGACTCCTCTCCTTGGATTGAATTTGAAAGATCATGTTTATAGACATATACAGTTGACGCTAGTATTTTTTTTACATAGTAAACCCTTTTGAAGATGGTGCTTTCCCCACCCCACCCTGGTTGCTTATAGTCCTTAGGCAAGATAGTCACACTGCAGTAAAATTTGCTACCATAAATGACACTGCATTTTGAATGAAGCACATATAAACCAGTTTCTTCATTCAGATGTGGCCATGAACTTTCCTTTGTGTACCTGGCAGTGTGTAATATTTCAAATGAGGGGTGGTGGGGATTAAGTCACAGGACATTAAGTTCTGACTGGGAAGGAACTGATGCTCCATGTATGCTTTTCCTTCCCATGAGATGTCTGTGCTGTATGTAACATGTAATAACAAGGAGCAGGCATCATGCATATATTCAGGGCACTGTTTCTTTTCACAGACTGGGATGGGGGAAAAGATGGGAGTTCTGCATCTTTGAAACTACCCAAAAGAGAAAATTGACTTATCAAATCCCAAGATGGCAGTTTTCACCCTCATAGTAAATAGTTGGATGTTTTATCAACTTCTTCAGGGTAAAGATGTGCCACAAATTACTGTATGTTTTGCACCTTCCTTTGTGTCATAATGGTCTTATACCTTTCCAGGCAGTCTCCTTTATATCATTTAAAAGCTGAATGAGCTGAGACCAGAATCAGTTTGAACTCACAGTTGGATTCAGATTAACCATAGCTTGTCATCCATAGCCCTCTAACATGTCTCTATTGTGAGGCTACTAATAGCTACCTTTCCTCAGTTACAATATTCATGTTAACTTGAAATGAGAAGAAACTCTTAATTTTATGCCACCTTTTAAACCATGGTGCCCGGTCGATCAGGCAGTGAATTTTTTCTAAACCAGAAAGCTGTTGTTTTCGCACTCATCATCCCTGTTTCTTTGGTTTTGTCACAAGTGACTTAATTGGACATGTTTAGGGTAGGTGAAATAGTAAAATCTTTTGTGGGTTAGAAGGCCTGACTTCATAAGTCCAGTATAAGCTTTGAAATGTTTCTGCTTGCTGAGATGCGAAGGAGCTATAAACAGATTGTGCCATTAATAAAGCAATCCAGGAATCTCTGTTTAGAGCAGAAATATCAGAATGGATTTTCCAACGTGCTAGATCATTGTAATAAAACCACTTAATAACAATAAATTTATATTTTGTTGTTCTACTAAAAGTACCTGTTGCAGTGCTGGGGTACCTCCAGCCTCCCATTTGGTCAAGCCATGCCCAGCTGCCATCATACGGCGTCAGTTGTGGGGCAGGTCATGACATTTGGTGCTTTGTGGGCTGTACCTTGGTCCACACATTTGATTTCATCTAATTCTTAGTTATTCAATGGGTGGCCTGCCACACAGGAGGTTGGGAAGATAATGATCTGCCAGTTTATCACTTCTGGCCTAGAGCTATGTGCAACATAATGGTAAAAACATATTGTCAGATGCTGTGTGGTGGTTGCTCGTGAGTAACCAGGCAGGACTCCATTCTGTCTTTTACAGGTTTTTTTGTGCAAATTATTTACAGTGCAGATACACAAGTTTCATGTCTGTCTTAGTCACTTGCAGAATCCGGGAGTGGCCTCTTCTGGCTTTTCCCCCAACATAAGAACGTAGACACTCCAAATCTCTGCCTCCCCTCTTTGCGTTTCACCCCTCTGCGCAAGCTGGGCGACGGAAGTGGTATGCGTTCCTCCTGGCCAGCCCGGCTAGGTGAGGCGCTGGTGCTCTTAGCAGCACCTTCAAGCCCTTTCCGAAGTTGGCTAGCCCCTTCCCTCTCTTCTCCATTGGAGGTGTGGCTTTTCTCCTCGCTGGAAGAGGAACTGCTCCTCAGAAGCTTAGGAGGCTCTCTGTATCCCAAACGCCTCCCTGCCTCCCTCCCCTGTTCCGATGGCAGTCCCCTGACACATATATACAATGAAAAGTATATACAAGAATACTATACATTTCTAAGCTCAGTAACAAGACATAATATAGCCAATACCTTAAAGCAAAACTTGTATCATATATCAGATAAGAAGGATGGCAGTTCTTAAACCTGCACTTCTGCCCCCCTCCTCTGTACGTTGGGTATTTTGTTTTTTGTTTGGTTTGTTTTTTTAAAAAAGAAAAAATATTAGTAATTCACTCTCGAATACATTTTTTTCAGATGAAGGCAGCCCCGTCATTTCTCCGGAAGACTTGAAAGAATGTTTGAAGAAACAATTGGAGTTCTGTTTCTCACGGTATTGAACTCTAATGTATTGGTAAATGTAACTAGGGCTAGATATTGGCTCTTGCCATGGTGTATTTCATTTGTTTGTGGGAGTGCAACTTCCATTGGCTCCAGCCAGCATGGAGTCCAACAGTAACTGGAGGGCAGTTTACCTTTGCTTTAAGGACTCTTATGTAAGTGGTCAATTAAAAAAAAAAAAAAGCAAAGGTTTCCACTTGAATCCTCCTGTTAATATTTGGCACAATGCTATTGTGACAGAACGAGGTTAGCATTGTGCCTCCTGACCCAGTCAAGATTCTGAAATTCTTACTGTAAAAAAGAAATGCAAGTCACTTTTTAAAGTTTTTGTTTGCTTGTTGAAATATTTTCCTTTCTCCTTTGTGTTTTAGTGCTGTTTTTGTAGCGATTTTATATTGCTCCCTGATAGTTTTTGTGCTTGTCTAGTTTTCTATTACTTCAGGGTTGCATCTAACAAAGTCCTCCCATTAGAGCAAGGACCTCTGTCTGTGCAGTGAACCTGCATCTTTCCTTCTTTCTCCATGTGCCCCCTGCTCCCCCAAGATACGCTCCAGAAGGTTGGGGAAACCTCGGAACAGATTTTGAGGGGTGGCGTGGGAGGGTCCAGGGGCGGAGGAGAGAGGAAGTCCAGTGAGGAGCTGGACATTCTTGCAATAACAGGACATCTTTGCTGGATGCAACTTACTGTTGTTTTGTATTTTTTATTGATATTGTGAACTGCCCAAAGGTGAAGTAGGTTGGATATAAATGTCTATAGATCAGTAGGTAGCTACTCCTGACAGTTCAGCATTCACTAACCAGGCCAAAACCATAAGGCAGGTGTTTCTTTGTAGTAATAGGCAACACGTATTGGTAATACTGTATCAATATTTAGAACAAATAGGTAAAAGGATGTTATGTTGCTGCTTTCATAATGTGTATGATTCCATCCTGTGATCTTGGTATATCTCTGTTACATGAATGTGTACAGTATAGTCCTACACAAAAACAATGTATCTTTTTAAAAGTTTCTATTTTTTCTTACTGTTTGGAAGTGTTTGATATATCTGTCCCTATGATAAGCCACGCTGATTTCTGGGTATCATTTTACAAATATGCTTATTTATTTATTTCTAGTGAGAATCTATCCAAGGATCTTTACTTGATGTCTCAAATGGACAGTGATCAATTTATTCCAATATGGACAATCGCCAACATGGAAGGAATTAAGAAACTGACAACTAATATGGATCTAATTGTGGAAGTACTAAGATGTATGTCAAACTCTTTTCGTAGCTGTATTTTTAGATGCATTTACCCCTGGATAAATAGGTGCATTTCTGTATCTGAGAAACATATGTCTGCACCTAAGGCACTTATTGCTGTTTTTAACTGCCTTCCACTCCCTTAAAGTGAAACTGCACTGTTTGATTTGGGACTGCTTTGGTGCCCTTCCTATACATAAACCTATTATGTTTGAGCTATGTGTAACTGAAGGGAAATAATTACCTTCCGCTTTCATGCCCCAGGGTGAGGTTCACTGTAGCTTCAGTGAGTGTCTCCTTCTGCAGTGGGGCTCGTTCTCATGTTAACTTTTCTCTCCTCAGAGGTCTGAAGGCCTTGAGCAAATATTCATGTTATGGAGGCTGGTGAGAGGTGAAGGAGAATTGCAAGTCCTGTGGCATAAGTGCATTGTGGAAGTGAGAACATCACTGGATGTTGCCCATAGATTTGTTGCAGTGGGTTTTTCTGGAGTAATTCCTACTTTGGTTTCTGCTTCCTCTGGTTGAAACTTCTTTACCAAAAAGGGGAAAGATTAACATGAGAATGAGCAGAGCTTGTGGGCACTGAGAATCAAGTGAATTGAGTTACCCATTTCAGGATTTAAGTTGAAAATTGGGCGAAAGGGTTCATGTATGTCGTTCTTAGGGTCTTGTTGTGTTGTATCTGTTTCTGGCAGTTTAAAAGCTATTCTTTAGCTACTACTTCTTTTTAAATTCAGCTACTCCTATAGTCCAAGTGGATGAACGAGGAGAAAAAGTTAGGCCAAACCACAAACGATGCATTATTATTCTCCGTGAGATTCCTGAAACAACACCTGTAGAGGTAAGAAAACATTCAAGCATTCCATTGATATAGCAAGTTGGAAAAAAGTACCATTCTGCAGGGAAACTCATCTGGGTAGAAAGGACCAGATTCAGCTGGCTTGGTGCACTTGCAGAAGTCAGCACAAGGGCTCATTGTAGCACAATGGGGTTTTCCCCTCTCCTCCGCTTGCACCACCTTCAAATCCATTCTTTGAGGTGTGAGGAGATTGTCCTGATGGAAAGATCTCCTTAGCACAGCGTTGAGTTCCACCCACAGCAGCCAATCACCTCTCAGGATTAAAGATATTTTAAGATGTCAATCCTGCAGAAAGCTTTCCTTTTCCCATTGAGAACTTAGAATGATGTGCATTGTTGTAAGGCAATACTCTCTAAGGCATTATTCTTGGTTAATCGCAATAACTCCCTCCAGGCTATCGGGGAGATTTGGAATATTTGGTAGCGATCATTTCCGCTTTTGTAAAGCATAACTGAGTAGCATTTGCCATACCTATACTAAATGCACCTTAACAATGGCATTTAAAAAAATGGAGAAGTTGTTTTTTTAGTTGTGAAATATTAGTTCACAATAGCTGAGGATATGGATATTTGTTTTGGAACAAGGTTGCTTTGTTTTGCAGGAAGCCTATTTGACTTAGGAGATCACATGGTGGCTTTACAGATTGTTAGCAATCTTGTTTGGAAGTTGAAGTAAAGTAATGTTTCTTATTGTGATTGCTAAATGCACTGTTCCACATTTATGTAAGCGGAGTACAGGTCATTGCTAATGTAGGTAACAGTGCTTCACTGAACTTAAGCATTTTGTACTCCAGTAGGAATTCAAAATGTTTAAAAATAAAGATGATAAACATAGTTCTGCATATATATTAATTCACTCTCTTTGACTTTTTTCATAGATTGTACAATGTCCCAGTTGATAATATGTCACAAAAACCTATACAGCAATTGTAATTTACTGAAATAGTCTTTTTTTTCCCCCTCCAGGAGGTAAAGGCACTGTTTAAAAATGAAAGCTGCCCCAAAGTGATAAGTTGTGAATTTGCTCACAATAACAACTGGTACGTTACATTCCAGTCAGACACTGATGCACAGCAGGTAAGAAAATCATGTGGTGGCCAACATTTTACACTGCTATTATATTCTGTCCTCTGCTAGCGGGTGAGGGCAGCCAAGAACAGTTATAAACCTATGTCTCTCAAAGCAATCATGTAAACGCAGCCAGAAGTTGAGAACTTTAAAAGACTGAAGGCAGCTAAGGACACACAACTGATTAACATTGCCTCCGTTACCTGAGGGGTGTGGGTGGCATAGCAGAATGGGCATATCCCAGCTGTTCCAGGGGTGTATTTGCTGCTTTGATATGGGTAGGAAACCCTTTCAGCTCAAGAGGCACATTACCTTCCAGGCAACTTTACTGAGGCCACATGCCAATGGTGAGTGGCAGCAAAGGAGGGTGGAGCAACAAATCAAATGCAACCATTGTAGAGTAGGCTGGTTTCTAGATACACTCTCACACTCTGTCCTTCATCAAAGCAAATAAGAGGCATTATCAGGAGGTCTAGGACATATTCCAGCCTGGCAAAAGCACACAGGCTAGTGGAGATTGTGTGGGAAGAGTTCTGAGGGCTAGAGGCAAAGGTTTGGAGGACTGCCACCAGACCAGCCACCCCAGCTTTAATGTAACACTTTATGTGGCAAAGCTCCTAACTGTTCCTCAAGTAACCTCCGTAAAAGGAGCCAGATTGTTTTTCTTTCTTTTTAGTTCAGTTTGTATTTATGCAGATAGTTCCATAAGCTTTCCAATATCTCTGAAGTGTAATTCTGTCAAAGTGAGTCTCTCAGTGAATGTTTTTGTATCTGTACAGGCATTTAAATATTTACGGGAAGAAGTTAAAACCTTTCAGGGCAAGCCAATAATGGTAAGTTGCCTCAAGTATTCTCGGATCTTAAGTTATATTTCAATATTTAAATGATTGGCTCAGCACTGTGGTTTTAATACCAGTTTGGTGTAAGTGTAATGTTTCTCTCCAAATTGATTTATTTTAATCATGGTTTAAAGCAAGGGTCAGGAACCAGCGGGATCCTGATCTTTCTCTCGTCTCCACTCCCCCGCCTCCCACAACCAAGAAGGCCAACTTTTAACATTGGGATGGGACTGATAGGGAACTTCCTAGTGCAGCTGATCCCAGCTGATTGTTGTTTTTTGTAGGCTCTCTTCAGGGGACAACAGTCAGCTGATTGTCACTGCTTGCAGAGAGCTGTGTGCTGCACTTTGCCAGGGCTTCGATCAGCTGCTAGCCAGGCCTTCAAAGTGTCTTGCAGAAGGCTTTGCAGGCACCTTTGATTGTCTGTGCCTGCAGCCCACTTTTGGCCAAGTCACAACTACTTGCCGCATACATGACATTGTATATGATGGTCAGGTGTAGGGCAAGTGGTTATGGCTTGAACAGAGGTTGCCCACCCCTGGTTTCAAGCATGGTTAGCATTACTGGAGTTGACTACAGTTAAGTCTAATCAGGATTGCATTGCGGACATGGTTTTGAGGCACTTTTTAGTCTTATTCATAGTGCCAACCGAACCGAACAACATTAAACTATGGCCAAAGCAAACCATGAAAGTGGGAGACGAGAGGGTAGCACATCCTTGATGTGGGGGAGAGTCCGCTTCAAGCGGTGCTTTGCAAAGCTGCAAAGAGCATTTTGACAGGTGCACAATCCCACCTTCTGGTGAATCATGCTAATCCTGGTCAATCATGCTTCTCATTCCAGCATTAGTGGAACTGCTTGCTCTTGCTAGCATACCTACTAAGCAGATCTGTCTCAATAATATTGAATGACAGTGTTAGATTAAATAGTCAGTTTTAATTGTTGCGATATTTTTGAAGGAAGGCTTATATTGGGTATTTGAAATATAGAACTTCATCCCAGAAGCAAACCAAATTGTAAACTTTGTTGAAAGTGCATTTTTAGCAATTTGTAAAATCTAGTTCTGCAGGCTAACTTGATAGATGAAGGAAGTAGTACAAATAATTGTGGCTTCCTCTTTTCTTTTACTCTGATACAGACCTTTTAATGGCCTTGTCACCATGTATAATAAATGTGCTGTGGTTTCATCTTCCTTTTACAGGCCAGGATAAAAGCCATCAACACATTTTTTGCCAAGAATGGTTACCGGGTAGTGGATTCCAGTGTGTATGTTCAGCCTGTTCAAACACAAGCACAGTTTGCCTCACCACTATTTATGCAGCCTGTATATAGTCCTCAGCAGTACTCCATCTACAGTATTGTGCCTCAGTCATGGTCTCCAAACCCTGCACCTTATTTTGAAACACCACTGGTAAGTTTATGCTTAAGTCTCATGTGTGAGTCACCTGGGTTTATCTTTCTTTGGTGGCTGAAGAACACTCTTATGTCATTAAATACCACTTGAGTATTTTTAAAAATAGTCTTTAAGCATTTTCAGTACTAAATACAGATAAACTGTCTTATTCAAAATTGCTGAGTGGTTTTAAAGGCCTGCTTGAAAAACCATGAGATTCTGCAATGGAATAACAATAATACATTTGAGCCTTCTCTAGCTATGAACTAGAATTAGTGGGTTTAATAATGTTCAGCATTCTACTAGTTGCTCTGGAAGTAAGCTGCTGAGGATTCGAGGCCTTTACACACAGACCTTTTAATTTTAAACTAGTGATAGATAATCACTGCAGAAATTCACACCTACAACCACTGGGATATGGGGTTTGGAGAGATGTTGAAGAAGCCCCGCTATGCAAGATTATCCTCAGCAAGCCCTGTCTTTGAAACTCTGGGGATTCTTGCTGTTAATATAGAGAAACCCCACATTGGTTCTCTCCTTCTCTCCTTGCTTGAGCTAACATGTCCCCATTTTCCTGCCTTCTTATGAGAGCCCTGACTTTCTAGCTTTTACATACTCTAAGGAGAACATCCCCACTCAGTATAGCATTACCTCCCCACAGCTAAGTATTCTGGTAAAAGGGGAAATGTATACAGTTGGTGGAAATGTAGAGGTAGGGAAGCATACTTAACTTGGTTTTGAGTATACTGTTGTGGTCCTCAGTTTTCTAGTTAAAGAACCTTTGTTTTCAGTGGGATGAGTCCTCTATGCTATCTCTTGATATATACTTTGTGTCTGCTGCAGGCTCCATTTCCTAACGGTGGATTTGTGAATGGCTTCAATTCACCAGGATCGTACAAGACAAATGCTGCTGGATTAAGTATAGCTCGCCCATTCCATAGAAACCGGTAAGAAAACTGGCCACACTCTTCTTGGGAGTCCTATGACTGCATCTGTCTTGTTAGCCATTCTTTTAATCAATGCAGATTTCTCCCATTTAGCCATTCGGAGACAGATTCCGGTTCAGAGAATTTTCAGTTCCACGCTAGAATTTGCTTCCTCTGTTCCTAGGATTAGCTGGGAAACAGCTTCATAAATTTATATTTGCTATAGCTCACCACTCTTGGGTGTAGTTCGCAATAAGATTTGCTGCTGCTGTTGTGATATGCATGGGCCATGGGACACTTACTGCTTCTTGGCTACAAGCATGTCTCCACCCCTGTACTGAAGGCAATGATGGGTTGTGAAGGGAGGAAGAAACCACAGATTTTTACCATGCTTGCTGTGCTCAGGAGAAGCTGCTTTCACAGCAGCTCCACAAGGTGTGAGACCAGCAGCAGGGAGAAGGTAGGGAACTTTCAGACACCCTTGCCCACTCCTGTTTGAACTAAGCAGAATTTAACCCCCACTGTTCAGCAGTGATTATATCCTGCTGCCTTAGGTGCACAGCCAATGCAAAATTTAATACTTAATCAGTGGCATCAGCTGATGGGCATGCGGATGTGGTTTAGGGGAACAAGCTATGTGGGCCAAATTGGACCCCTTGCAGGCCAAAATTTGCCTGTGAGCCAGAGGTTCCCCACCCTTGCATTGCAGGCTCATTCTTCCGTTGTATTGAAGTGTTTATCAGTGACACACTTAAAGGAATGCTCTCTGCAGTTGGGTGTGCAGTGGAGGAAGGTGTAGTGCAGTTGTACAGTACAGCATCTCAATGACCAGTTCATTTCAAGCTACTTCTGTTATAACCGACATATTGTCTCCACCTCTGTAATTCATTTACCAAATTAGACTCTGTTCTGATGCAGCTGTAAAGATTTGAGTGTAGATATGCTCATTCATAAAAGAAGAAAAAATCCAGTAAATGGGAGCAACTCGTAATTACTGAAAATGATAGTGTGCTAGGTTAACACAGTCATTGCTTTCTGTGAGATTTCATTTGCAAACAGCCTTTGTACACATTTGGGGAGGCCAAAGTTCAGGGTCGTCAGACAGTATCACTAACAGAAGTTGGACTATGATACGGTAGTTTCAGCAACAACGGGACCTGTGGTACTGTTGTTTTAATTTTAACTGAAACTCAATAAAATTTGGTTTCTGCATGCACTTGGCTTTCTAAAGCCTTTAGTAAGACAGGTTGAGACATTTTGGTATGGACTGAGTTTTAGATGCCACCAGCATGTGGAACCTACTTTCTATGGCATTGCTTGTACTAAGTGAAAAGCTGGGGAAAATGTAGAAGATGCTGAGACGTCCTCTTTATGATTATCTTGGGTCCAAGTAACTTGATAAGCACTTCCCATGGAACAGTTTCACTTGTGCACATAAAATTTTTGGTGTGCTCTGTCAGGTTTCAGATGCAAACTTCCTACATTAATGTGTTTAGGAAAGGTTGTTTTAAAAGGAAAAACTTTCTGTTTAATGTAGCTTTGCATCAAGTGGGTAGTCCACCTCAAAGCATATTATGGTAAATATCTTTCATATCCTAATTTATAGTTGCCATAGCTTGGAGATTGACTAGAAAGTTTCAGTTTTATGTTTTTAATCTAAACCAGAAGATGTTCTGGTTTAGGCAGTATGAATGCGTATCTGTCTTTTCCAGCTGTTTTAATATTATTACATGACTATATAGTAAGCTTTTAAAGCTTGGTTTCAGAGCCGTACAAAATTATCTAACCACATTGGAAAGTGATTTTCTCCTTACAAAAGTATTTTTGTCAGTGGGCATACATTTTAGGAAAACAAATATCTTGGCCTGCCTTAACTATGCCGCCCCCCCCCCCCCCCAGCTGAACAAAATATTTCTAATCTTTGAGAATATCCTTTAGGATTAAATCACACCACAGCTTTGGAGATACATATGCCTTTGAGTAATACTTCTTGACAGATCAGACGGTTGTGCGTTTTTTATTTTATGGCAGCATTGAGAATGAGATGTGGATTCTGAGTATCAGCCCTGTGATGACAAATATTGCACATGAGAGAAAATGGGCCTTACAATCGAAGTCTGAGCATCTCTTAATATTCTTATACTTTTCTCTCCTGCTGTTTTCTTTCTTTGGCCTCTCTTTCTCTTGCTTAGACTAAGAACGTGTGCCCTTCTCAATGACAGCTAAGATTATGAGATCTGAGGGCTGGCTCACACTTTGAAACCTGGTTTTTCTATTTAATCGTACTGTGTCTTGGTCATAGCATTATTCTGGAATTTGTAAACTGTTCATTTGGTTATTACTAGTGTGATTTGTATTGTACTACACTGCAATTCTTCAGTTTCCTATAAGGAATCATTTCTCAAAAAAAACAACTATAGAAGTCTCTACATTTAGGTCTTAAAGCATTCTGGACCCTCTTGGCAGTTTTTGTTGATGTCCTATGATGACTTTGATAACCTTCTTGAAATGGGAATGAATGGATTAGCTGATTCCAGTTACTGCAAAAAGAAGAAGTGGTTACCAACTGGTTTCTAAATATATTTCAGACTTTTGCAAACTCATTTGTGACATTTGAAGTTGAATCAGTTTACGGTTTGGGCCAAGAAAGAGTTTTTCCATTAAGGATTAGATTTATTAATACTGTGATACTAAATTGATGGCTGTACACCCCCTCCACTCACAACAGACAGAATAGTTTAGCAGGGTGTGTTCTGCTCAAACCCACCTTACAGTGTTTCCAGCTAATACTGAGTAAGTCTATTTAGGACCACCACCGCCCCCAAATATATTTGAGTGTTTTCAAAGAAACTACTTGCACCTTGATCCCCTAGTGGCAAAGGATTTCTTGGAGTTATTTGCCTCTTCCTCACAGAGATGTGATTCTTTATTGGGACATGATAATAAATAATAAATTTATAAATAATTTTTTATTTATACCCCACCCTTCCCGGTTCAGAAAACCGGGCTCAGGGCAGCTAACAACAAATTTAAAACACTTAATTGTAATACAACATAGAAGCAGCATAAAATACAGTATAAAAATATACAGTAAAAATACAGTGTAACAATAAAATTTAAAGTTCAAAAATCAGTTTGGGGAAAATCCATCCAATAAACATTAGATAGTCACCAGGGCTAGCTGGCTGAATTAGTCCTACTTGAGCCAGCGAGGAGGCCAGGGGAGAATTGGCTGTGGGGTCCCAGACCAGGTAATCATCATAAAAGGGGAGGGGGAGGAAAGAGAAAGGAAATAAAAGATCAGGCTGAATTCAAATTAAAGGCCAAGCGGAATATCTCTGCCTTACAGGCCCGGCGAAAGGAGGTTAAATCCTATAGGGCCCTAGTCTCATGGGACAGAGCATTCCACCAGGTCGGAGCCGTCACTGAAAAGGCCCTGGCCCTGGTAGAGGATAGTCTGACTTCCTTAGGGCCCAGGACCTCTAAACTATGGTTATTCATGGACATTAAGGTCTTCTGTGGGGCATACCAGGAGAGGCGGTCCTGTAAATGCGAGGGCCCTAAGCCACAAAGGGCTTTAAAGCTCAAAACCAGCACTGTGAACCATGAGCCTATACTCCACCGGGAGCCATTGCAACTGGTAAAGCACTAGGTGAATATGCTCCCATGGCAGGGACCCCGTGAGGAGCCTCGCTGCAGCATTCTGCACCTGCTGGAGTTTCTGGGACAGTTTCAAGGGCAGCCCTGTGTAGAGCAAATTACAGTAGTAAAGCCTGGAGGTGACCGTTGCATGGATCACTGTGGCCAGATCAGGGCGGAAAAGGGAAGGGACCAACTGCTTAATGCGGCGAAGATGGAAAAATGTCGTCTTAGCTGTTGCTGTAACCTGCGCCTCCATGGAAAGGGAGGCATCAAGGATTACACCTAAACTCTTAACGGAAGGCACTGGCACTAATTGGGCCCCCAGAAGAGAAGGGAGTTGGTCCCTCATCCCCATGCCATCCCGACCCAGTCAGAGGACCTCTGTCTTTGAAGGATTTAGTTTCAGTCGGCTCCCACGAAACCATCCAGCCAAAGTCTTCAAGCATCTGGTCAGTGTGTGTGGGGCTGAGTCGGTGTTGCCATCCATCAGCAGATAGAGCTGAGTGTCATCAGCATATTGGTGACAACCCAGCCCAGAGCTCCGGACAGTCTGGGCAAGGGGGCACATAAAGATGTTAAAAAGCATTGGGGAGAGGATTGCGCCCTGCGGCACTCCACACACCAAGGAGTGGCACGACGACATCTCCCTCCTTAGCGCCACCCTCTGTCCCCGACCAGAGATAAAAAAGCACAGCCATTGTCAGGCTGTGCCCTGTATCCCCAGGTCGGCGAGGTGGTGGTCCAGAAGATCATGATCGACCATGTCAAAGGCTGCTGACAAATCTAAGAGAATCAGCAGTCCCGACCCGCCTTGATCCAGTTGTCTAGGGAGATCAACTGTTAGGGCAACCAGAGCCGTCTCGGTCCTGAAACCAGGATGGAAAACGTACTGAAATGGATCTAAAGCTGATGTTTCCTCCAGAAACCTGCCAAGCTGTTCAGCAACCGATCTGTCAATTACCTTACCCAGATACGGAAGATTTGAAACTGGGTGGTAATTGGATAGATCTAAAGGATCTAATGAAGTTTTGTTGAAGAGCTGACACACCACTGCTTCCTTCAGCTCCCTTGGGAATGTCCCCATGAAAATAATAATGACTGCATATGGGGACCTTATTTTACAAGCTGTAAGCTTAGTGCTGACTGGGTACCACATCCATACAGGGAGTCAATGCAAACTGAGTGGTTTTGGTTTTTTTAAAGGGGGAAGTAATGATCTGTTTTAACATGATTAATTGCACCCCATAAAAGAAAAATTATGGAGACCCTTATTGTGCCCTATATTTTAATCTCGGAATAGGTGAGGACAAAGGAAATGGAGGCATGCTCGTTTGAAGGTAGGAAATGAGTGGTTGGATTTTGAGCTGAACCTGAAAATGGATTAGAGTGATTATATAGATACACAACTTGACAGGCACAAAAAAACCAAGCTGATTAAAAAAACAGCCTTGTTTTTGCTTTCGAACATTGTATTCTGTCAATTCACAGTTGCGATGCTGGTGGCCAATGTAGATTTGTATTGTTATTAGGAAAACATACTACTAGGCTTCCTTAGTTCTTAATGTGTTGGTGGCCAGTTTAGTTTGTTGACAGGAGCACCTTTTTGTACTGTTGGGTTAATTTATGTCCACATATTTTGCATATCCAGCGTGAAGCCTCATTTCCGATTGTCAAGTAGTTCTGAACATTCTGCTGAAGTAACATCCGCAGTCAGTGCTGTGTCCGTAGGAGATGGACAACTGCACAGAGCCAGCTCAAGGAACTTCCAAACGGAACGGCAAGCAAACTCATTGTCAGGACACCAAGATCAAAGCTATTCACCGAAGGATTCTTCTGTTACACAGATAGAGCAAAATGGTGATTATGGCATGAGCCGAGGCAGGTAAGGAATACATCATTTACAGGTGTGCTTTAAGGTTTCTGCCAGCTATATAAAGCTGCATTATAATGAGCTAGATCATTGGTCTATCTAGCCAAGGATGTCTGTGTTGACAGGCAGTAGCTGTTGTCAGGCAGGGGTCTTTCTCAGTGCATCCAGCGCTCTAGTTTGTCAGCATTTGAACTTGGGACTACTTTGCGACAGTAAAGTCTCAAAGCTACTCTTAAAACAAAATTCTACAAACAAATGAAATTCATACAAATGCTGTTCTTAAATTTAAAATTCAAAATCAGTAGCAGACTAAAAGTGAGTAATAAGAAAGGAAAATACCCTCTCTCAGACATGAAAGATAATCACCAACACTTTGAGCTAAAATAGTCCCCAAAACCACCACAATATTAACACTGGTGCTGGAAAGATATTAGTGTTAATTCTATGAGGGAACCTTCTTTCTACCAGCTCTAGGGTGTCCACAAAACCGGGCAAACCCCAATAAAACACAGGGAATATAAAATGGGTCGGCATTTAATCATATCAATAAGCTGTTGGCAGTTTTAGCAGCTTTAAAAATAGTTAGAAAGTTCATGGAAGCTTCTCTTTGCTTATTTACAGGAGAAACATTTTCAGAGGTCGGAGAAGACGGGAAGATGACAGACTTGTGGTAAGGTTTTGGGTTTACTAAAAGGAATATTTGTACAGTCATACCTTGGGTTGAAGTTGCTTCAGGTTGAGCATTTTCGGGTTGCGCTCTGTGGCGACCTGAAAGTAACGGAATGCGTTACTTCCGGGTTTCGCCGCTCACGCATGCGCAGATGGTCAAAATGACGTCACGAGCATGCGCAGAAGCGGCGAATTGCGGCACGCGCAGACGCGGGTTGCATTCTGCTCTGGATGCGAACGGGACTCCGGAACGGATCTTGTTCGTATCCAGAGGTACCACTGTACTGTAAAACAGCCCCTGTGATGGCCCTTCATATGCCAAAAGAGGTTTTGTCCTTTCCAAAATAGTGGCTTGGACCATTCGTCCCTTCTGCCCGAACTGTGACCCTTCTCTTCATTCCCACCTGTATTGCACGTTAAGGAGTCATACTGCTCTCAATTTCCATTGAATATATTTTCTTGAAATCTCATTTTGTGCGAATTTCAATAGTGAGATATTTTCTCACTGATATGGATCACAGCGATACCTAAATACAAGCACTTGGGACTTCTGAAAAGGATGTTGTGGCTGCTTTTTGCTTCTCCTTTGGTCCTGCGATTGCTGTGAGTGAAGTCGTGGCTTGCTTGGTTTAGCATGTCGTCTGGACCCAGGCCTGTGGTTTGTCTCCAGACAAACCACAAGCTGTGTAACCACAGTTTGTTCTTAGGCTTACTGGAAGATGCAAATGATGAGCCTGGGTGTGGATGGCATTCTAAGGCAAATCATGGCATAGCTCACAGCAGTGCAGCAGCAGCAGCAGGACTGCAATCTTCTATCCAGGAATCTACTTGCTCATGCTTTCATTGAAAGCTGCAGTCTGATTTAGCATTGCGTGTGAACCAGTTCACTGTATTGCATGAATATGGCTTGTAAGGGTATCTGGATGGAGGGAAGAGGTGTGTTACTCAATTTCTTCTCTAGATTGAATATTGATTGGGTGGGGCATAGTATGTTACTCCTTCACAGTATATTAACATGTTATCTTCTTTTTTAGCGGCCTCCGCCTTCAGCTGAAACTAAGACTTTGACACCAAAGTTTGACTTGCTAGCCTCGAATTTCCCTCCATTGCCTGGCAGCATGATAAAAACACAAGGGGACCCAGTCTTGGAGAGTAGGATGTCGGACGTTGTTAAAGGAATAAGCAAAGAAAAGGTACCTAATCTCAGTGCTTGACCTAATCTCAGAGCAAGAAGGGGAGGTTAGAGTGAGTCTTGTCCTAATCAAGGGCACAGATTGTTAGAAGAGAGCAGGAAGTGGCTGTCTCCCACCAACCCGGCCCCAAATCCTGTGACTGATAATAAAACAAATGCACCCCTGTCTTGGAATGCTTGCTACACAGTGCATAACCTTGTCTTGCTCCAAGGGGTCCATACAGGAGCACTACGTCTAATGGGGCTGAATGTCTGGGTGAGAAATCTGAGCCAGGTTATTATTTCAGCCACCCTTGTAAATAAGCCCATACAGGTTAGTAGCCTGCAAAATGTTTAGTTGCCTGCTGAGGGGCTCACAAAAGAGGGAAGGAGAATGAAGGTCAGGAGGCCAGTGCCCTGGAAGGTTTCACCAGTGATGCTTGCCCTGGGCCCGCCTTTATTTTTTATACTGAATCATTTATACCTGAGTATAGCCACCATTTAAATTTCCCACCGTGCCCCTATATAGCATCGCTTTGGAGCCTGCTATCAGCTAAGCCTGCCACCGGGCCCAGTGACAAGAGTTAGAGACCCATTAGATACAAGTTTGCCGAAGGCCCCATCAGACCTGTAACTAGTCATGTGACGAGATCTGTCCCGTCCCCCACAGCAGCTTGCTCTAGGTTTGCACTGAGTATGGAAATGGTTTGCCTCCTCTGAGGGCATGTCTAGTTTTCTATGCTGTGAGCATAGGAGGGACTGAGAGCTCCATCCCTCCTCTGCCAATTCCCTCACTCACCTGCATGCAGTTTGTGGCCACTGTGGCTACCAGGCTAGTGCTTTAAATACAAGGCTGATTTCACCCCTGCTATAGCTGCTGGTGTGTGCAGTACTGGAGTAGACAGGTGCAGCTGCTTTTACAAACTTGTAAAGGGTCCATTTTAATGTATGTATTCTTTGGGCTTGATTGAATGACATTCCTATTTTAAAATGTTTGTGTGCCCCTTGTTTGTGGCTGTGACTCATGTGAGTTGTTACCTTAGTCTGTATTGTTGAAAACATCGTTTCTTTTGCTTCCTCTAGGAAAACAAAGAGTTGCCAGTCGATTGTATAACATCTACTCAGGAAGAGCAGGGCCAGAGTACTGTTCAGCCTGTCACGAGTGCCAGTTCTCCCTGTGAGATTGATGTTCCTGGATTAAGGTAAGGAGACAAGTGTTAGTTTTAAGTTGCACCTGGAACTATGTAGCTGCATTGAAAGGGAAGGTCAAATATATTTATGTTTGTTTTAGTACTAGAGGCATTTTCTGCCAGCAGGCTGTTCAAAGTGACATGCAATCAATAAAAAGAAAACCAAGGGGGGAAGCAAATTACAGGGCAGCTAGTTAAACAAAAGACAACAGCAAATACCAATAATAGTATGGGTGAAAGTTGCAGCTATACTCAGAATGCCCTGCCCTTTTTCCTTTAATTGATGAATGCTTTGTGTACTCTTCATGTTTGTAAGAACTAGTTCATGGTGCTGCCTATCTCCTCAGATGTCTGGTAACAGATGATTCTGTTTTAAAAGGTACTGTGCAGTAATCTGGGTCCCCATATCTGGTTATACTGAATATCCTTAAAATAAGTAAACAATTCCTAAGAGCTCACTTGTGAGTCTTAAGAGCAAGCAGATTAAATGGAGGAACATGGTTGCACTTGGAGCCAGTTCAAACATAATTCTAAGCCAAACAATGACTTGGTGCTGATGAGCCTCTGCAGTGAAGATTGAGACCATAGCACACTTCTGGTTTTGCTCTGTTAGCCAAGGAGAATCTGTGGTTTGCTTAGTGTTAAGTCTGAATCTGGGCTCATAGTTTGTTTCCCCTAGAAAAGCCACAAGTGGTAAACCCAAGAAACAAGCCTTTGCCTACAGCTTGGGGTTTGAAGTGAGACAAATCACGAGCCTGAGTTTATACCTAATACTAAACAAACCATAGCTTAGTCCTGGGTAGCACTGCCAGACCAGGGGAGGAGAGCAGTGGCTGCACCCACATATTTGCTTGTTTTGTGCCAAGCCATTTATTTGGCTTTACATTCCATGCAAACTGGGCTATTGTATTTTAATGTTTATCAGACAAATGAATATAAAAACAATGAAAAAAATGTGTTGCTCATACGACTAGTGCATAACAACACAAAAGGAGATGGACCTATGATGTTATGATTAATTGTGTGGGAGTGGACTGGCATTGTGTGTGATGATGCGTTCAACATGCACACAGGGAAGGGAGCATATGGAATCTGTGCCCCCTGCCTTTAAATATGTTTCCATACCTGGAAAATGATTGCTTTGGATGCAAGAAATCATTTTCAAGAAGCCCAGCTAGTTCCTGTGCAAGGTGTAATATCAAACTCTCATTGGATTTACCAGTGCCACTCAACCAGATAAGCTGGAAGAGGTCCAAGCGCAGAAAGAGGTTGCAAGCCAGACTTCGCCACCTTCACCTGTGTGCCCCCTCAGTACTGTAAAATCACCTAGGACAAACGCCACTTCATCTACAACCAGTACAAACACGATGCCTACCGTGACAGTACAGGTAAGGGTGTCTGCTTTCAGTGGGTTTTCAATGGCTTTAATAAACACCTCCAAGCCTTGGGGAATGTGGGAATTTCACCCCAGTATTTGCAGTGAAGGTTTGTGTTTGGATGGAGGGGGCTGTTGAAAAAAATAATAAAATAAACTTTTGCATTGACTGAAGAGAAACTACAGTGGTACCTCGGGTTACATACGCTTCAGGTTACAGACTCCGCTAACCCAGAAATATTACCTCAGGTTAAGAACTTTGCTTCAGGATGAGAACAGAAATCGTGCTTTGGCGACGCGGCGGCAGCAGGAGGCCCCATTAGCTAAAGTGGTGCTTCAGGTTAAGCACAGGTTCAGGTTAAGAACGGACCTCCAGAACAAATGAAGTACTTAACCCGAGGTACCACTGTACTTGGTTTTTATTTTAAAATGCTGTCCTTTTGTATTCTGGCACACTAAAACCTTTCTCTTTGACACCCAAAGCAACCTCGGAAGCTCAGCTATGCTGAAGTCTGCCAGAAACCCCCAAAAGAGATGGCTCCAGTTTCTGTTCAGCCACTTAGGGAGCTGCGTACCAATGTAACCTCTCCTGCCAAAACAGAAGAAAATGGCACCCATGAAAGAGCTGGAGAGAAGGCGTGCGAAAAACCTGAAGGACGGGTTAAGGACTTTGCGGTCTTCAGGGGCAACGGGCCTCCCAAGGGAGCCGCAGGAAAAATCAGGGAACAGAGGCGCCAATGTGGACGTAGGTCTTCTCCTCAGGGAGCGCCTCGGCGTGTTGGCAAGGAACAGTATGTGCCACCACGATCACCAAAGGAAAATTGATCAAACTTTTTATTTAATCATAAGTATGGACTAATGAGCAGTAGAGGAGAAACTGGCCAGCTGTGAGAAATTCAAATGTGGGGAAAGCGGACACTGAATTCAAGAGCACAGAGTTTGCGGTGTGAGAGTGCTTGAAGAGGTCCCAATATTCATCTCAAAGTGATATATAAAATGCTGGAGGAATTGAATCAATATAAATATGATAAAAGATTATAATTTTTGTAACTTTTTTTTTTTGTTTTAATTTGCAGCGGGTTTCCTGCCTGAAGGTAGAGTCTTGGGTTATGAATTAGTTTGTTGAAAATGAGGAACAAATACATACACACAATAGCATGTTCCTCACCTGGAGAAAGAAGAGGCAAAATATTTTTTCCCTTTTTTTCTTTTTTGAAAAAAGCATTTCTGTAAAAGTTATAAATTACTTTTTAAATCTATTTAATGTACGGCTTGTAGGATGATGTGTATGCCATTAATGGCCTTGCATTACAAATCAGCCCCAAAACTGACATGCTTGGTCAGTATGAATGAGTGTAGCCACATACTTGTTATGTCATGATTTAGTCACTGCTGATAACTGAATGTACTACTGTAGTATTTTGTGTTTTGGAAATGTAGTATTTGAACTTACTAATTTTGGTCAGCTTTTAAAACTCTATTTTACTTTGGATTATACAAACAGCAAGATTAGTAAATGAATAGTGGGCAAGGTTTTAATTTGTACTTGCTTTCCCCCTAATTAGGGATTGCATTATTTTTATTTTCCCCCACTGCTTAAGTATTTTTCTCTAAATCTTTATTACAGAATTATGCACATCTAGCTGGAATAGTCGTTCCAGTACTGATGCAGGACTAATACAGAAAAAGTGCACAGCAGTCCTTTTCTTGGTATCACATTTAATGACCTTGGATTTTCATCTCTTCAGTATGCTTAATTGTGTAGAAGTGAGGCAAGTCAGTTTGAAGTTTGGCCTTTCTATGATACATGGATGGGCCTCTAGAGTGACTTGCATTGATACATACTGTATATTGAAAAAGCTCTTTCTACTGAAAAAAGCACTTCATACTATACTGGAAATCAGGTTTTGTGTAGAGGGCAGACTTTTAAAACAGCAAGTTTGGTAATTAGGTTTCCTCGGTTTTTTAGAGGTGATAGCCATGGAAACTTCCAAGTTAGTCTGGAGAACATTGGAGAGGATTTTTACATAGCTTTATGTTAATTAGATTAACAACATTGTGTAACGAGCAGTCTGGGTTATAAGCTGGTAACTCTAGTAAGTCATAAAAGGAATAGGAAAGCTACAAGTTAAATCTGCCAAAATCTGCATGCTAGGGTTCAAGGTTCTGTATTAAAGTGTTAGGGGAAAGTATCTTGCAACAACAAAGTGTACCTTTCTTTAGTTAATAGCAAGTATAACAAATTTAAAGTTGTTAGTTGTGAACACTGGAAAATGCAGTTGCGAGATACTACCACATCCTAGTTTATATATGCTAGTGATAACTTTAAAATGTCAGTGGCAGATAAATAATTTAACTGTGAAAATGTTCATCTTCTGATTTTCTTAGCCAGATAACCCTTGGCAATTTTTACTCAGTAGGCATTCTCTATCAATGGCTTTGAGAACACTCATATCTATTTTTATAAGTATATAAATATATATATAAAGTTAGATTTGTCATTTCTCTAACTTATTATTCAGCTTGGCAATCACTTTTTTATTTGATTGAAAAGTGTATATGTACTTACATAGTTGATATTCTTTTTTTCTATGCATGTTATTAATCATTACTCATTTTAAAGTACATGTGCTGGGTTTGGCAGTCTTTAAATTTACACAAATCATTGATCACATCTGTTAACACACAAACCCATTTTGGTTTACTCATAATGCTATTTTTGTATGGACATAACCCACAAAAGGTGAAAAATATTTAAAAGTGTTAAGAACGCTGCAAAATGTATGGAAGAGTACTTCAAAAATTCTTTTTTAAGATCATAAATCTAATTACTGCACTTGGATTGGAAAAAAAGGTTGAACTGTGACAGTTATCCTTAGGGTAGACACGTATTGTGACATTACAAACTAAAGATGTATTTGAATTTATAAGAGCCGACAGGAGTTCTGGAAATATATATATGGTTGTCTGTCATTCAGAGAGAATGTAGTTGTTTGGAAAGGGGCTAGTCAAAACAAATTACCTGGCAGTGTGAGTGTGTGAAACCTAACCCTGCGTTATGTATCGACGTATGGGTAGAATCTTTGTTCAAAAGCAGATCAACTTGAAAGTGTAGCTCTTTGCTTTTTTGGATGTTAAAAAAATAGAGCTCACAATTGCTTTCTTGTGAGTTAAAAATGTTGACCTATGGAAGAGATGTGTTATACACCGTGTGTGTGTGTGTGTGTGTGTGTGTGTGTGTGTTTGTGTGGGTTATGGCTCTTGTTCAATGTATGTGTTAAATGTGTAAAAACAGCTTTTTCCAGTGTAAAGTTGCTACTCTTGAGGGCTCAATATTTGGTAACTATCATCTCAATTAACATAGCCTCCCCCCCCTCAAATCTACTATAAACTTTTAGGTTTAGAGGAACTAATGAAGTAAATGCAACTGTTAAAAAGAGAGTGAACAGTGTGTGCTGTTAACTTTTCTTGCAGTTATTGCATGATTAGAAACTTAACTGGGCTCACTATTGCTCTTGTCCATTCTCAGGCAGTGTCTTGAGTCTCCATCCATCAGTCTTCCCATATTACTTTGGAAACGAGAAATAACATCTTTAGAACTAGATTCACTGCTGGCAATTCTGCTGTTTTATTGTAAGAATGTTGAATGTGGCAGTGCTTGTTTTCTGCATAGTTTTGCATTAAAGTGTTAATGGACAAAGCATTCTTATAGTTACTGGGAAATTGAGGCAGTGAACAACAACATGTGAACCCTTGTCCTTTGTCTATTAAAAAATACTGGATGAATGTAATATATACCGGCATAGCCTGTACTGGTAAAATAACCAAAACAAGCATTTTCATTGTAAATATTGAAACAGTGGAGATGAAGCTGATGTTTGCATTTCATCCATAAAACATCAGTGTCAAAGCTGTCTACCTAAATGCCATTACCTTTCACCTTAAAGGTCAGTAATGGACAGACATGCCTGTTGAGTCTTATCAGTTGAAATAATAATTCATTATAATGGCAAACAGCTTTCAGTTTCCTCAACTCTCATTTGTTGGTGATTTTATGAGTGTTCTGAGTTTTTCTCCTTTCATGTTTTTAGGATTGGTAAATAACTCTGGGTCCTATTATTGTACTTATGTTCTGGAAGGGAAAAAAGGGGGAGATACTCCGTTGGCATGGAACTTAATATTCCTACTTTCTTTTCTTTTTTGATTTAGCTTGGCAGAAAGTGTGATGCAGATTTAGCAGTAGGTTGAACTAAACCCATCTTACTGACCAGAAGAAAACTTAAAAGATGAAACTGGGGCAGATCAGTAGCAATTAAGTGACTTAAGCAATGCTTTTATTGTAGTAAAATAGCTATGGCCTTACTATTTCATCAATATCGGCTAAATGTCTGAATATGTTCACTCTTTTTACTGTTACCCAAGTGAATATTCACATGAGAGAGAAAAAATACCTGCTACATGTGTACAGATTTCAAATTTGTAAAATGCAGCATTATATACAGACAAAATGCAACAGAAATGCACTTCGGGTTGGGGGGAGCTTTTGTAAATTGTGATTATAACAAATATGCAATAGGTTTTTTTTTCTTTAACTTTTGATATTTCCTTCTGAAACATAAGATTGTTATCGTTAATCTTTAATGGCCTATCATGCTCTTGTGTGTGTGTGTGTGTGTGTGTGTGTGTGTGTGTGTGTTTGAGAGAGAGCAGATATTCTTTGTCTGGGTTTCCTTTAGGATGGTACATTTCATTTAAAAAAAAAAACTTTGGATGAAAGTTAGCTGGGTCTCCAGCCCTGGACTCTGGAAGACATCTGATGAGTGTATTAATGTAGGTTTCAGAGGATATTAAATGGAAACTAATCGGTCTTCAAAGTAACCTGTAACAGCTTCAAGAATTTTGTATTTAATAGCTGGAGGGTGTGTGTTTTTTACAGAAGATTGTCATGGATAAAATCCCCCCCTCAAATATATTTCTGATGTAACTGGCTAGTGCACAAATGGTTTCAGTTCTTCAGTCAAAACCACTCAGCTATGTCTCTCCTGGAAAAGTTTGGTTTCTGATATTTATATTCTCACTTTTCTGTGAGACTTCTGTTTAAAAAAAAGAAGTAGTAATTATCTGGATTCTCTACTTTGTCAGTTTGGTTTATTCCTGTTGTCAAAGCTGTCTAAAACAAAAATGTGTAAAGTAGGTTCATGCTTAATTGTTAAAATTATACATGTATTTGTATTTGTTTTTGACATTGCCAAGGTGCTATGGGAAACTGAAATAACCGTTAGAAGGAAATAATAAAATCCACCTTAAAAAGACACACATCCTTTGTCCAGATGCTAAATGACTTGGTATGCCGAATATGTGGCAGTGGAAGACCTATTACTCAAAACCACTAACTGATCAAAACGGAAGGACGGGCAGGAACTATATGCCTGAAGCTAATTGTTGAGACATTCCTAAATAGGTGGATCTTAAATGCCATTATGGCAGGCAGGCTACTTTGGATGTTGGTTCTTACCCATACGGCTAATTAACTACATTGGGAGTATAGTTGTAGATTGGGAAGGCTAACCTGTGGCGCTCCAGATGGTGTTGCCCCCAGGCAGCATGGGCAGTGGTTGAGGATTTTGGGAGTTGTAGTCCAAGACCATATGGAGAACCACAAATCTGCCCCCCCCCCCACTATAGAGGATGTATAAGACAACAGCATTCATTCTTTTAAATTTCATCCTGAAACATAAAGCCAATACTTCAGTTGGCCAGTCTGGCCCAGTACAATGGAAACTATGACATCTGTCCTCACCGACGTTATTTCACTTTGGCTTTTATCCTGTGCTGTTTTTTTACAATAGAACTACATGTAGTTGGAGCCTCACCAACTACTCAGAATCATTCAGTTTGAAAGGGAAGGCTGTTGCAAGGGTGTGAGGGAACAGTAGGGTGGTTTTTCTGCTGAAAATCACCCGTCTTCCCCAGAAGGGGCAAAAACAACTTGGTGATGGCATGACTTTCTGCACAAAGATTGTAAGAAGAGTTGAGTCACTTAATTCCTCCCTGCTTTGAATTGTGGCGTTTGTAAAATTCTGGGAAGCTGGGGGAAACCATAGGCCTACATCCTATGACAGCCTAAGTGAATATTCCCCACAACTACATGAGATGCCTGTTGGATTTACACTTTTGCTAGCTGTTGCCTGATGATTTATGGCAAAGCAAACTCCATTATTTGACAACATTCTTTGTGGAACCTCCATTGAAAGGTTTGTGAAGGTACTGGGACAGCAGCGATAAACCCCCTCCTTATTTTGTGCGTTGTATAAAACAGCATATATGGGTTTTTCCAGTCTTCACATGCAGAAGGGGATCAGTTTGCCAGTTTTATTGATTTGCTATAAGAAATACACATACCTGAACAAATAATGTATAAAAATTATTATACAATTTAGGTAACATAAGTTGCAAAACTTGGTTATTTGTATTAAAATATTTCCTCAAGTATTTCCATATTTGTTTCCATCATGTAAGGTAAGGTAAAGGTACCCCTGCCCGTAGGGGCCAGTCGTGTCCGACTCTAGGGTTGTGCGCCCATCTCACTTAAGAGCCCGGGGGCTAGCGCTGTCCGGAGACACTTCCGGGTCACGTGGCCAGCGTGACGAAGCTGCTCTGGCGAGCCAGCACAGCACACGGAAACGCCGTTTACCTTCCCGCTTGTAAGCGGTCCCTATTTATCTACTTGCACTCGGGGGTGCTTTCGAACTGCTAGGTTGGCAGGTGCTGGGACCGAGCAACGGGAGCGCACCCCGCCGCGGGGATTTGAACCACCGACCATGCGATTGGCAAGCCCTAGGCGCTGAGGTTTTACCCACAGCGCCACCCGCGTCCCACCTTGTCACAAAGTGTGAAAAGCCTGTGGGAAGCCTCAATTCCTGACTACATTTTATCGATGAGGATTTATTACCACACAAAATAGCATTGATTTCAGCCTTACTATGAAAACCAGGAATGGGGAACCTTCATACATAACATGTTTTACGACTCGTCACTTATGTTGGCTGATGGGAACTGGAATAGACACACCTGGAGGACCACAGATTTCCTGTCCTGGAGTAAGCAAAGGAATCTCAAATGAGCAAAGGAATCTTGTTAGCGGTTTGAGATTTAAATGCAGCTTGTGATTTTGACAATATATTGATACGCACAACGTCGCATATCAACCCTGCCTATTAAAGTGAAATACAAGATACTTTCTACTCAATCCTGGAGTCCACAAGCACTACTGTGCACTTAAACACCCCAGCTGCTGCTTGCCAATGACCTCTGCCCCACCCCAAAGCAGCTTGCTTTAAACACAAAAAGGTGGTTACAGAGGCATTGATATTTTGACTTTTTGGAGATGAGTGATTATGAGCATTTGCCAGGTTTTTCATGTCCATGACACGTCATAAATTTTCCAAAATGTGTTGGCCTGAAAAGGTTGAGAACAACTTGTTAATCCCTCCCACATTGCTTACTCAATTCCTGAGAATTCATTCCTGTTCTTGAGCATGGTGTTTCTGTGGTCAGGTTTCCTGTATGCATGTCACCATTGAGCATGCTGGCTAGAAGGCTGGATCCTGTAGCTGTAGGATGGCCACAGAGTATGAGAGTGCCTGTGGACGTGACCGAGCCAGTGTAGACATCGCTGCAACAAGTGTGAACATTCTGGGAATGTGGGCTTGGGAGAGCACATCTTTTCCCCCCAACTGTACTGCCATGTGATGCTCCAAATCTCCTTGACTTTGCACGTATTGAAGATGTTGAGGCATCACTTCAGGGAGATCAACATGCCCCCGACTCACTTCCATAAAGCAACATGCAAGGCAGACCTTTCATCTTAATACTGATCATTAGCAATCCCGGGGCTAAAACAAACTTGAGCTACGCTTGTGGGGTGACCCACTTCAGTGCTTCTAGAGCCCAGACCCTCCAAGTGTCCCTATTTTCCAGGGACCGTTCTGGATTTACAGAAGCCTTCCTGGATTCTGATTTAATCGTGGAATGTCCCGCTTTTCCTCATGACACCCCTATTTTCATCAAATATTGGAGGGTATGGAGTCATGCGATCCTCGAGTCAAGGAGATAACTAGACAACCTTTCAAAGACATCTGAAGGCATGTATAGTGAAGTCTTCTCATGTTTAGTGTTTTATGTTTTATATACAGTGGTACCTTGGGTTACATACGCTTCAGGTTACAGACTCCGCTAACCCAGAAATAGTGCTTCAGGTTAAGAACTTGGCTTCAGGATGAGAACAGAAATCGTGCTTCGGTGGCGCAGCGGCAGCAGGAGGCCCCATTAGCTAAAGTGGTGCTTCAGGTTAAGAACAGTTTCAGGTTAAGAACGGACCTCCAGAATGAATTAAGTACTTAACCCAAGGTACCACTGTAGAGTGGTACCTCAGTTTAAGAACAGTCCTGTTTACGAACAATTTGGTTTACAAACTCTGCAAAAATGGTAGTAGTGTCCTGGTTTGAGAACTTTACCTCGGTCTAAGAATGGAATCCGAGGGTGACGGCGGCAGGAGGCCACATTAGGGAAAGCGTGCCTCAGATCAAGAACAGTTTCGGTTTAAGAACGGACTTCCGCCAAGGTGGTTGTCACCGATGGAAGCGAAAGCTCTGAAAAGGCTCAATATGGAGGCCAAATTTAAAGACTATTTACAGAAATATTGTAAAATTAATGAATGATAGAATGATGTTGGATAGTAATTAAGCGGTTTCTAGCTGTAATGCTCTAAGAGAATATGAAAAGGGTTATAAATGGGTTAAAATCTAATGGTAAGGATTTGCTGAACCAATAAATTGAAGTGGAATACAAAAAAGGGAGGTACGAGGAAGTCCGGGAAACAAGCTAAAGGAAAATAAGTAATAGAAAATATGTGTGTTTTTAACTGTTTTTATTTTGTACTTTTTTTTCTCTTTTCTTTTTCATTTTTACTGTAATATTTCAAAAAACCTTAATAAATATCATATATATATATATATATATATATATATATATATATAAAAACGGACTTCCGGAATGGATTAAGTTCGTAAACCAAGGTACCACTGTACATCGGAAGCTGCCCAGAGCGGCTAGAGCAACCCTGTCTGATGTTCAGGGTATTATTAGTGTTAGCACTTTTTTTCAGGGGTTACTCAAGGGTACGCAATACTGGCACCTATTTTTTGTTGCTGTTAAAAAGTTTGGCTCTTACTGTAACAACTTCATGGTGATTACCAGCACCTATTTTTCCATAAAAAAGCTCCCCCTCCTCTTCCTCTTCTTCCTAGTGCTTTTTCTCAGGGGTTACTCAAAGGCATGCAGTACCGGAACCTATTTTTTGTTGTTGCTACAGTAGGAGCCAAACTTTTTAACAACTTGTATTTTTCTAGAAAAATGCACTTCTTCTAATTGAATAGGATGTCCGTATTTTGATTGGATAAATGTTGGAGGCATGTTGTTGTTTAGTCGTGTCCGACTCTTCGTGACCCCATGGACCAGAGCACGCCAGGCACTCCTGTCTTCCACTGCCTCCCGCAGTTTGGTCAAACTCATGCTGGTAGGTAGCTTCGAGAACACTGTCCAACCATCTCGTCCTCTGTCGTCCCCTTCTCCTTGTGCCCTCCATCTTTCCCAACATCAGGGTCTTTTCCAGGGAGTCTTCTCTTCTCATGAGGTGGCCAAAGTATTGGAGCCTCAGCTTCAGGATCTGTCCTTCCAGTGAGCACTCAGGGCTGATTGCCTTAAGAATGGAGAGGTTTGATCTTCTTGCAGTCCATGGGACCCTCAAGAGTCTCCTCCAGCAACATAATTCAAAAGTATGTTGGAGGCATAGGAGCCATCTTCTAGGGGCTCTGGGGGCTTTGACGCCCCCATAAAATATATGAAGGGGTCCCACTGACCACCCCCCTAAAAAAAGTTGATGGCATTCCCATTCAAACTTTGCACTGCGTCACGTGGACGACGATACCCCAATATTTTACATCAAGTTGTCCCCCCTGGTGGGAGGATATGGAAACCTCTGGAAATGCCTCACAAGCGCCATACCAATGGTAAGCGCTTTCTTCAGAAGGGAAGTATGGCCCGAGCGAAGGCTATCGCGGCGCCGTGCGCTTGTCCGAGGCGGCCAGCGGAGGTCGCCCGCGGCCTAGCTAGCCGTGGCGCCTTCGCCGGCTAGGCCTAGCCCTGCCTGAGGCGGCGCTCGTTCGGTTCGCGCGGTGGTGGCGGCGCCGCTGCTGCTGCTGCTGCTGCTGCCGGAGCCCGGGCTGGGCCTGCCCGCCTCCCGCCTTTCTCATGTGACCTAGCCGGGGCTCAGCTCGGCTGCGGGGAGGAGGACGAGGCGGCGGCGCTCGGAGGCGAAGCGGGAGGAGGAGGAGGAGGAGGATCACGGCCATGGCGGCGGGCACCCTTGCTTGGCGCGGCGGGATCCGGAGCCCTCAGCGCTGAGGAGAGGAAGGAGGAGGAGCCGCAGCTGCTGCTGCCGCCGCCGCCGGAGTCGGCCACTTTTCCCTCCCCATCATGGCTGAGCCGCCAGGCGGTAACGGCGCCGTGTCTCCGCCGGCCAGCTTGCCCCGGGAGGTCCGCGAGCAGCTCGCCGAGCTGGAGCTGGAGCTCTCGGAAGGTGAGCCTCTTCTTTCCAGGGCGGGAACGGAGAGAGGGCGAAAGGGGATCGGAGCCCTTCTCCCCTTCCCACTCCTGGCACCTTTCCATCGCTCGCCCCCTGTTTGGCTAAGCAGAGGGCATTTCCCCCCTTCGGTTTTGGGGGCAATGATGGTGGTGGTGGCGGCGGAGGAGGAGGAAGGAGAAGAGGCCCTTTTCTCTCCTTTTCCTAATCCTGCGCTCTTTGCAACCTCCCGTTTCCCCCTTCTCTAGATAATGGCGTTTTCTTCCTCGTTTAGGGTTAGCATGGAGCTGTTAGAGAGTGTGCAAACGAGCCTTTGGGTTTCTGAATTCTTCTTAAGTGTGCGCGCGCGTGTGCTTTGCATTTTCATTTCTTTTTTTATTGGTTTTCAACTACAATCCAATAATAATAGCCTCGTTGTAGCAATACCAGTTTATAATACAATTATTATTATCAGTAGTTCAAATATCGAGTTTTATCATTTAGATAAGGTCCCCCCCACGTGCTAGAATTGATGGCTTGGTTATTTGCTATATTTCTGCGTTTCAAAATGTTACTAGTTTCTATATATTCTGGTCATCATCATAATCCCTTATACAACAACTGCAATATTAATAACTTCTATTTGTGTTGACACATTAAATGATTTATAAAATTGCAAGTGAGGAACTCAAACTATATCCTTGTTCTTCCTATGTGTGGCAATTATTTTGTCTATGGTGTTTCTTCTTGTTGTGCTTTCCATTTTCTGCTCCTTTTCTTTATTTCTGTGTTTGTGTGTGTGTGCGATTTCCATTTTCTGCTCCTTTACTTCTGCTCCTTTGCCTTCCCTTAGTCTGTATTAATTTTGCAAAGGCACACAAGAGATTTCCTCCTCCTTCATTCCCTTCCCTTCCCCCCCATCCGCACTCACATGCTGCCTGTGTGACTTCATTGTGAGTTGAAGCTTGCACCTTAGCACTTACATTGTTAAGTTCTCTTTCTTTGCAGTCCCTTTGCCACGTTAGGCAGTGGAAATGGGTAGGCCGCTACCTCATTGCCACCTTGCTCATACTGTAATCCGTTGGGGTGCAGAAGCGTCTCTGAATCTTCCCTGGCTTGTGGTAGATGCTGGTCTTGGTGACATCTGCAAATGCACAAAGCTAAACATTGTATTGAGCTGTGGGGGTTCCCTGTAGCCCGTTGCTCATCCTTATAGCATGTATGGGTTGTTGCTGCACTTTATGTACTTCTCCCTGGTTGTTTAAAATACTGCATGCATTGTGCAAATGATACCCACATTAGGGGTAGAGTGGGCATCCCTTCTGACTCCTCAGCAGTGTGCCTGTCAGTGAGCATCACTGAAGTGTGGGGAGAGTGTGACTGAGCTGATGGGGCTTGGATTCCCCATTTCTCGATAAGGTCCCCGCTGGATCCTTTATTGTAATATAAAATCCCCCCACCCACCCTTCTGTTACACACTTATCTGTCATCCGGCCTTCTTCTGATTTGCTACTTTCCACCAAGCCTGACAGTTCAGTAGGTATGGAAAAAAAATCTGTGTTTGCTTAAAAGACTTGTTTAAAAATATTTCCATGGCTCTGTCCTTTGAAAAGGGGCTACAAGAGCTGTCTTGGAGTGGTAAATCTTCCCTTTTTCAAATGCCCTTGGGTAGCTTGCTCTATGTATGAGTGAGAGAGAGCTCTAAGCCTTTCATACAGTTCGAGGGAAGAGACTGACCTGATGCTTGCTCTCTTCCCCCCCTTCCCCCTTGCCCTCTATATCATGTAAATGCACCAATTTTAATGTGTTCCTGTAGATGGTTTCCTCTTCTGTTTAATTCCCTGTCATCTTACAGGTTTTAATAGCTCCTTCAAGGAAAAAATCAACTCCTTTTTATGAGGTGTACATGTGGGTGAGGAGTCTCGGATAACAATGAGGGGTGGGGGGAGCATAATGTATTTTCCATGTGACCTGTGCAAGCTGTTTCATGCAGCTGTAATCAGTTAACAGAAAGTTCCTGTTTATGCTAAAAACAAAACCTTAAATTGTGTTTGAGCCATAAATGGCACATTTCCTCTTTTCTTTTCTGTGGTTGCATTTTTTTTTAGTCTCCATGTTGAGCTTTCTGCACACTGGCTGTTAAGCTATTGTCCTCAGTTTTCTTGAAAATGACGCCCATAGATGGTTTTTGCAGAACAGAAGACACTGTGTGTTGAAGTTGAGAGAAAAGGACTGACTCTGCATAGGGGGAGGAAAAAGAGATGTCATTTTTACAGGGTATACATTCTCTCTCTCTGGTGTAACATTAGGGATTATGTCTACAGGGCATTTTTTTTGGGGGGGGCGATCAGTTGCCAGCCCCTTTTGTGTACCGCCTTTGCTTTTTTTATCATGAATGCATTGTGAGTTATTTCAGAAGAGAAATTATTTGCGAATTATCTTACTGGGGATAAGTTACTTGGGTTTTCAACCAAAGAGCTACATTGATTAGATCAAGGGCTTGTACTTGCCTAGTAGAATTTTTGATTTTCAGCAGCAGACATAAGCATTGATATCATAAAAAAACTGCTTTTGTTTTGCTCCTTTGCATCTTTCTTTGTCATTCATAATATGACTGCTTAAGAAAACACAAAGTGCACTTGCAAACACTGAAAAAAATGAATGGTTGTTTGAATCTTGGCCACAGAAACTTAAGAGATGAGCACTTGGAATGTCATCTAGTGTATGGTGAGAATATGGTCTAGATGCCCTCATACCA